GTCGAAGGGACAGAGAGCTGCTTTCTGCCTCTTAACCCAGCCGTCAGAATCTCACCAACTCAATTAGCCTGGGTACTTAAACCACCATCCCACCTCTACCACTATCGGCTAACACCCCAAGCTCCCCTTTGACATCTCCGAAGGCACCGACTTCATCTCTGGCCTCCGCACAATCGCCGGCTCAGGTACATCCCCCTCCCCCCTCTAACCATCCCCAGGCGATCCTACCCTCCGCGAAGGTCTAGCAACACACATCTTCTCCACCACAAAGAGCATGGAAAAGCGCGCCTTCGTAAACTCCGACGGCGACTTTCTCATCATCGCACAACAAGGCAATCTCGACATCCAAACCGAATTCGGCAATCTCTACGTCCAGCCCGGTGAGATCTGCGTCATCCAGCGCGGTCAACGCTTCAAAGTCGCTGTTGAGGGTCCAACCCGGGGATATATCCTCGAAGTATGGGGCTCGCACTTTGAACTTCCTGAACTTGGGCCGCTGGGTTCAAATGGTCTTGCTAACGCGCGGGACTTTTTGTACCCCAAGGCTAATTACACTGTTACCCGTGATGATCCGTGGGAGATCGTGTATAAGCTTGGCGGTCGCTTCTTCAAGAGCACGCAGAACCATTGCCCTTTTGACGTTGTTGCTTGGCATGGGAATTATGCGCCTTACAAGTATGATCTCACCAAGTTTGTGAACGTGGGATCTATCTCTGTTGATCATATTGATCCGTCCATCTTTTGCGTTTTGACAGCTGCTTCGCGAGATGCGAATGCGCCGCTGGCCGACTTTCTCATCTTTTCGCCCCGTTGGGATGTCGCGTCTCATACCTACCGTCCACCGTATTATCATCGCAATGCAGCTTCTGAGCTGATGGGCCTTATTTACGGAGAGTACGCAGGCCGGTCTGATGAGTTTCAACCCGGTGGCGTATCGTTTGAGTGCGGCTGGGTTCCCCACGGTGTAGCCTACGAAGTAAATCCCCTGATCACCTCCCTCACTCTCACACTAACATATTACAGGAATTCAAAGCAGCGTCCGCCCAACCCCCACCGCAGATGCAAATCTCCAAGGGTGCAGTGGCATTCATGTTCGAGAGCTGCCGACAGCTGACCATCACAGACTGGGCGTGGAACAGCGACAAGAAGCACGAGCACGAGCCCAAGATGTGGGATAACCTTGTCGACAACTTTTCCGAGCACCTTGATGAGATTAATGAGATCTTGGGGAAGAAAACCCTGTAAAAAGTCGTGGGGGAGAATGTCACGGTAGAAAGTCAATTGCAAATGGATTGTTTTGATTGGGTTCGGCAATTTAAATAAGGCATGAAATTGATCCACTGTTTTTGGGAGGAGGTGCAGAGGCTCAAGGCTTCCTCGGCCTCCGAGGCTGACAATATTATCAGATTGTTACGGCAGTTCTATAGTGAGATATGTCTGTGTTATTTTGATATACTTTTCGCTTCCGTATTCGTATGAGCAGTGGAATTGTACTCCACTAAGGAGACTCAGTATCCAATCACAGATGACATGTCTCGGGTATCTTTCATCGCTGTGGGCCGGGTTGAGCTCTTCCGTTGACTTGAGAATGGGTCGATATCAATTGATGACATTTCTACATCAATAAAAGCATCAACATCATCACTTTCACTCACTCACCACAAGCCTCACCTCTCGACGCTCATTCAGTCAACTCACTCATTTCATCGGCTGTCCTCAGCCTACCCCTCAAAATGAAGGCCCCAAAGACACCAGAATACGAATTCGGCGGCCCGTAAGTTCCCTCCCTCACCCTCCCCCTTCATCGCTAACTCCCATCAGCATCGGCGCCACTGGTATCGTTTTTGGTCTTCCAATTCTGATGCAACTTCTCTATCTCGGCTGCAACGACGTGTCAGGATGTCCCGCGCCAGCTCTTCTTGACCCCAAGACATTGACATGGCAGAAGTTCAAGGAGCAAACGCCTTGGCCAAAGGATGGTATCTGGGGATTCATGAGCTGGGAGGTCACGGGGTGGCTGTTTGCTTATTACTTTTTGAGTTTAGTGCTTTATCGCGTTTTGCCGGCGCAGGAGGTTTATGGGACGAAGTTGAGGGAGTCGGGCAAGGCGCTGAAGTATCGCTTTAACTGTAGGTGTCTATTGATCTCAGCGCTTGAGTAGTGAAACTGACAAAATTGCAGCCTTTTCTTCAAGCGTTGTGCAGTTGGCCGCATGTGCTGTTGGAACTTACATCTACGGCGCTGAATTCCCCGTCTGGACCTTCATGACCACCAACTATCTCCAACTCCTCACCACAAGCACCGTCCTAACATTCATCGTCTCGCTCTACGTCTACGTCGGCAGTTTCTCCGTCAAGAAGGGCAACCCCGAACTGCGCGAGTTAGCTAGAGGAGGTCACACCGGCCGCATCATCTACGACTTCTTCATCGGCCGTGAACTCAACCCTCGCGTGACGCTTCCTATTTTCGGGGAGATTGACATCAAGTCTTGGTTGGAGATGCGCACTGCTCTTACAGGCTGGATCTTGTTTAACTGCGCCTTCATCGCTCAACAATATCGCAACTACGGATATGTTTCTGATAGTATCTTGGTCATCGCTACGGTGCAAGCTTACTACGTGCTTGAGGGCCAGTACTCAGAGCTTGGACTCTTGGGTATGATGGATATTACTCAAGATGGTCTTGGATTCATGCTTACTTGGGGTAACATGGTCTGGGTACCCTTCCTTTACTCAACTCAGTGCCGCTACCTCTCTGTCTATCCCGTTCATCTGGGACCTATTGGTGTTTGCGCCATCGCCACTGTCTTTGCCATCGGACTATACATCTTCCGATCCTCCAACAACCAAAAGGCTCTCTTCCGCAAGGATCCCAATAACCCTGCTTTCGCAAACATGACCTTCATCCAGACTAAGCGCGGAACCAAGCTTTTGACAGGTGGATGGTGGGGAATGGCTCGTCATATCAACTACTTTGGCGACTGGCTTCAGTCTCTTCCTTTTTCGCTGCCTACCAAATTCGCTGGGTACGTTATCCTGCCAGCTGGTAGTGCTGTGGCTGGCAATGAGGTCGTCAAGATGCTGGATGGTCGCTTGGTGACCCCAGATGGTGCTGCGCCTTGGGGTATGCTGTTCACGTACTTTTACTCGGCTTGGTTTGGGTTCCTGCTTATTCATCGGGAGAGGAGAGATGATGCTGCTTGCATTGAGAAGTATGGCAAAGATTGGGATGAGTATAAGAGCAAGGTTAGATACAGAATCTTGCCTGGCGTGTACTAATGGCTGTAGCTGTATCGGTGAGAAAGAATAAAACCCTCGTGGAAATGGATTTATATTAAATATTTCAAGCTTTTGATAATGCATCTGTATGATTTATCGTGAACTGTGTTGTGCTCTACCTTGGATTTTGCAGCCGAGATGTGACAAGCTTTAACATTTAATTACTAGAGAGAAAACACCAGCCGTAATGGGATGCCCAAAGTGCCAGAAATATACTAATGAGAATACAATTAATTATCTCATTCTGGTCTTTAAGCTTGACATCGATATGACAAGATACAAGGAGGCAGAGGCATAAGTCTTAATTACAAATTGTGTGAAGTTGTCTAGGGTATATGAACGCGTCTTCGCGTGTCAAACGGGAATACCCCGCATTACGACAACGCGTTGTGGGCCAAGTGCGGAAAAGTGTGTTAGTCAGCGAAGCTATTATCCTATCAATGATATATCTTATCTTATCACCAACTGAGGAGCTGAAACCCAACAACCTGAGATTCACGGTTTTGAACCCTAAATCGCCAGTTATCAGCAATTAACTCAGTTGCCATGGCTCCGATTGTGCCGCAGTGCCAAGTACGAACATAGAAATATCAACTCTGCAATTGATGAAACTCACATACTCGATGACAGGCACTGCGATTCGCTAATCAGCAGCGATGTACAGAAGAGGCCACTCACGCAAATGAGCTGTTCTGCCTCCTGCATGCAAGACAAGCCCACGGTCTGTACATCGGTTACAAGAGGCGAAATGCACAGCTTGATGCTCTCGACGAAAATCCTCCAGATTATCTGGCAGGGACGCATATTCCCCTTGCCAACGATGACTTCGACTCTGTTGACGACAGCAAGGAGATGGAGGAGATCATTGATCATCTCCACGTGAAATGGAACACCCTCAATCGAGTGATTGAAGCTCGTAGAAAGCACCATGCTCATTTCTACTCAATCAGCTATGACTATGGTCATCAGGCATATATCGACAAGCTCGTCAGTCACCGCCACATTGTCCTTCTAGCACTGGGACGAGCTCGGAAGCGACTCATGGCCATTCTGTACATGAAAGAGCAGTGGTACTCGTGGGTGCGCGATGCACAAGATGACGAAGAATTAAACCGCGAGAAAGAGCAAAAGAAGCTCAAGCAGGAAGCTGCTCTGTTCAAGCGTCACATGAAGCAGATGGAGGCTAGAATGGAATTAATGCGCAAGAGGGAGGATCAGAAACTTCAAGATGCCTTCCTTGAAGAAGCATATCGAGAGCGCATGGCTATGAATGAAGATGCAGATGATGAGGCCTGGGATCCTACCTTCCCGTTGAAGACGAGGAAGACGATAACGACGAAACCATGGAGCAGCTGTTGCAAGGTGATAAGCGATATCATCATCTTCACACTGATGATTGGTTTAGAGAACGAGCGATTAAAGAAGTCGAACGTCGTCGCTTCTTTAAGAAAAAGACCAAGAAATCAAAGCGTCAGAGAAAAACAAAGGTTACGATTTGCGGGAAGAGTATCTGGAACCATGCTAGTGAGAATGCAATGTCTCGCGATGGATGGCTCCAATTCAGTGTCATGGCCAAGGACTGTGATTTAAAGCATGCTATCCAACTTTGCAGAAACTGGTCCGAGTTCTCTGATCTCAACCTCCTCACGCTATGGCAGTACTTCCCCGCGTCCAACTGGACGTCATGGGGCCAAGATCGCTTCATGCAGCAACTCCAGCAACTAGGTTTCTTCCCCTACTTCACAGACTTTGACGCAGACAAGTACACTCATCACCATCAAATCGGCGGACGGAGCCAAGGTCGTCGCCAGCATGATATCGTTGAGACGAGGAACATTCTCGTTGGAAATATGAAGCGGAACGATCCTGTAACCAGACGCTTTTTGCAGTATCTTCTTATGCGGAGGGGAGAGCTTCTCGTCATGGTGCGAGATGGCAAGACTGGGAGAGTTATTACTGCGCCAGATGATGAACAGCTCTGGACGTATCGAAAGAAACAAGGTCTTGGAAGGGCGTCGAAGAATGATTGGTTTAACATTCTAGAGGTAGGGCCTGATTTTATGAAGTTGACGGATATTCTGCGAGAGTGGAGGTTTGGGTTTGATGATTACTATGATGTGTTTATCTGGGACTTTGTACCCGGCGAACCACACATGGATCTCTACAACATTGTCGTCATGGTAAGTCCCCCTATCCCCAGCCTGACCACTATCTCTGACTTGCTAGGAACTCCGTAACGCCTGGCGTATGAGAACACCTCGCGACATGTACGTCCACATGGAATCCCTCCTCCGCAGCCTCCACCGCAATGAAAAGACCATGCGCACGCGCCAGATCAAACCCGGCGAGAACCTCAAATCCCTCTGGGACACCATCGCCGACGAAAGGTCAGAATTCCGCCTCTTCGACGTGAGCAACAAAAAAGTCACCATACGCAAAGACGCCCAATCGCCATACATGTTCTACAACAAAGCCAACGAAGTCGAAGACGCGATCCTCTTCCCTGACGAACTAACCTCTGACAGAAAGAGTGTTGCGTTCCGGGAAATTAGGAATGGTGTTGCGAGTATCGAGGATGGGATACTGCCTAGTACGGCTAGACATTTCGTCAAGGGGCTGGAGGCTATTAATAAGGGCAAGGATCCTATGAAGGCGATGCGTATGGCGAAGCATGAGGATCAGGATAATATTTGGGGTCTGCCCAAGGTTTGGGAGACGGCGCTTTTGCAGGCGAGGAGTGATAAGTTGAAGAACGCGCAGAAGGCACTTCTTCAGCGGACTGGGTTGTTGCATGCGTATAAGACGCTGTCGTATGATCGACGGCTGGAGGAGTCTGATGCCATGGAGATGATGGAGCGAGATAGGGCATTCAGTAAGTTCAGTGTTCCTTTAACTTGATCTAAGCTAACACGGACTAGGCTTCAAGGAGTCTTTCCACGCCGGTGATCTCGAACCAGGGTATAACGCCAAATACAACCTCCTCCAAGAAACACTCCGCGCTATGCTCAAAACCCCTCGCGTCGGCTCAACAGACTGGATCTTCTTCATAGCCGAGATTCTTGAATGGCTTGACCTCCGCGGCGATTACGATGACTACGTGCAAGATCCGCAGTACCCTGGGCCGCATAGCTTCATCGTGCAAGACATTATCCAAGCATTCGCCATGATAGCTATGTTCTTCCCCAACTCAGATGTTGCAAAGCTTCCAACCATGTTTGTCAACTCCAGCCAGTGTGACGAGTTTAGAAAATCAGGAGTGTTTGATCCTAAGGAACGAAGCAAAGTGCGGCCTGATCGGAGGACGAGAACGAGCTATAAATTCAGGGATAAGGAGTTCTGGAAGGAGTGGAAGGAGTTTTATAAGACGGAGAGGTATTTTGCGGATGTGTACCCCATGGAATGGAGTCTCGCAGTCCGTCCTATCATCGCCCACTGTTCGTCACCCCTCGGTCCAACTTTCGTAGCATACATAACTAACAAATCACAGTGTATCAAGCTGGTGTTATAGCCCCAGCGTACATGCAAAGCCATCCCGAAGTCGTTCTCGGCATGGCAACAGCCACAAAGAACCCCATCGCCCCGACAAACTCGACCTCTTCATCAACTACCAAGACCAATACGGCAACTTCCCAATAACATACCCGCCAACCTTCGTCGACCCCTCCAAATGGCCAGAAGTAATCCCCACCGCACGCTCATTCTCCCAAAAACACCCAACCGCTCGATTCGCCGTTCTGCGTCTCTGGTCCGCACCGCACTACTACCCCTTCATGGTAGGAATGTTCAACCGCAGAAACACGAGCTTCCTCGACAGTCGCGGGCGCTCGTGGGAGTGGAAGTTTGTGCCCAAGGATATGCCTGGTAGTGAATTCAGTGCACATCATACCACGGGGAAGAGGCTGGAAGTGCTCAAGGATAAGTTTGGGGATAGGGTTATGCATAGGGGGGATCTGATATTGGTGATGGGGGTTGATGAGGATGATTTGTTGAGGTATTGTACGGCTGTTACGTTTGCTATGCAGACGAAGCCGTGGTTGAGGGAGATTGATCTCTGGAAGAGCTTTATTAACGTGGACTTTGAGTTTTTGCTGGACTTGGAGCCGTTTTGGATGGAATAGAAGAGTCTGCTGGGAAGATTGGAAGTGGTGTAGAGCCTGGAAGGGGTAGGTCTGCGGAGTTTTGGTATTATGAGATGAGATTCCCACCGCCGCATTCACGGAAGCGAGCATGTCCGCTTTTACACTACCCGAACCAAACTGGGAAAGGACCCTACCTAACTAGTTAGTACCTTTAAATATCGGCATATTAATTCAATGGATAAATTACTTAGCTGGGCAACTCGGACCTTACTCAGTAGCAGGTCGACATAAGACTAGTGAATGTTAGGTCATGGAAGTAGAAGTAAAGTCCAGCGTTATATAGTTCTGTCTATGAGTCAGATAGTAGCTGGAGAATGTATTGAACTGTATTCTTGCATAGTCCAGGTTACAATTTGGAACCCCCCGCGTCCACCTTCATCATAACACTCTTGACCTCCAAGAAGTTGTCCATGCTGTAAAGCCATCCCTCTCTACCCTGCCCCGAAGACTTGTACCCACCAAAAGGAAGATCTCTTGCAGTCGTGGGACTAGTGCAGTTGATACCAACATACCCCGAGTTGAGCTGTTGAGTGACCCTCATAGCCCGATCAATATTCTTGGTGTAGACCGCAGCGTACAGTCCAAACTCTGTGTCGTTTGCCTTCTGAACGGCCTCCTCCTCTGTTTTGATGACGTTGATGTTCACGACAGGCCCAAAAATCTCCTCCTTCATGATCTTGGCATTCTCAGCCGTGTCCAAAAAGATCGTCGGTTCAATGAAGAAACCTCCCGTCTTGTCATAACTCCCCTTGCCACCTTGAACAAGCTTTCCTGACTTCTTACCCTCGTCTATATAAGACAAAACAGTCTCGTACTGAGTTTTGTCCGCTTGTGGACCATGATCAACACCCTTTTGCGTTGGATCACCTGGTTTCGCAGCTGCAAGTGCTTTTTTACTAGCTTCAATGAACTTCTCAGCGATGGTGTCCTGCACGTAAACGCGAGAATTCGCCATGCAGACCTGTCCGCTGTTCCACTGGATACTGTGCATAGTGTCCTTAGCAGCCTGCTCAATATCCGCGTCATCGAAGATAATAACCGGCGATTTACCACCGAGTTCCAGAATGACTTTCTTCAGGTTGGATTTGGCAGCTGCTTCCTGAATCGCCCGTCCTGTACGGCCCGAACCAGTAAACGAGATTGCGCGTACATCCATATGTGATGACAGGGCTTCTCCAGAGGGGTTGCCGTGGCCTGATATGACGTTGAAGACTCCAGGAGGAAAGCCTGCTTTGTGGATTAGCTCCGCGAACTTGGCTGCGCCGAGCGGCGCTTTCTCGCTCGATTTGAGCACGACTGTATTTCCGGTGATGAGCGCGGGCGCAGTCTTCCCCGCGAAGAAGAGGAGAGCGGCGTTCCAGGGAACAATAGCACCGACGACACCGAATGGCTGACGGAGAGTCATGGTGACATAGCCCGGCGTATTGAGACTTGCCTGGCCTTGGATGTGAGGCCAAGCTTCAGCGTAGTAATCATAACTCCCCGCAGCGGCGTATCCCTCAAAGAATTCCGGGAGTGGACGACCCATTGATTTAGCCTCAAGCAACGCCAGTTCGTCATTGTGCTGTCTGACCAGACCCGCGAGTTTCTTCATGTAGCCGCCGCGCTTGGCGGGATCTAAAGCAGACCATGCAGGAAAAGCACGCTGAGCAGCTGCGACGGCGTTGTTGACATCGTCTTTTGTGGCTTCGGGGACTTGCGCAAGACAGTTTTAGCTTAGAATCAGAGCGGGGTTTGTTGTATGTTTACCATCTGCGACTTTATCACCTGTCGCTGGGTTGAAGAGGGGAAAAGTGTTGCCGTCAGAAGCGCCGACAAGCTAAGACCGTCAGTTCCTCGATTCACGAGCGGGGAGTTGGCTTATACTTGGCCGTCAATGAGCATCAGAGGCTTGATTACCTCGCTTCCATTCGTGGAGCCCATTTTGAATGATGCTGTTTGGTGAAACTGTGAGTTTGAGTACAGAGAAAGGTCTCAATCTATCAATGACGAGATTGGTTTCACATGACATCAATCATGAACTTGATAGGCAAAACATCCGCGAATATTTATGCGCCACCCCCGCAATATTCGGGAGGGGAAACAGCCGTGAAACAGTGCAGCCGAGACACGGCGCTATGAACGGCCCGAGACGATGATCGGCAGAGTTTATGAGCTGATGTTTGTCTATGATTCTATGCATAAAAATAAGTCTATGATATCTATCGAAGTCGTTGAACCTGTGAGCGTGGAGAGAGCTTGTTGTTGTTGCCACTTAAAGTTACTCCACTGGAAGCCATTGACAAGCCAATTCCTTGATCTGAGCAGGGAAATGGTTATCCGGAACCTGCGCGCTCTCCCTGCTACCGAACCACGCGTAAAATGCTCGAAGACTGGCCAACTCAGGGTCTGCTAGAAGATCAAGGGAGTAGAGGTCTTTGGCAAAGTGTAGAGTTGAGTACAAAACACAATCAGCGATGGTGACCTGTCCATCTCCACCATTAAAGCGAGTATCGCCCTCGTAGTATTTCTCCAGCAGTTTCAGATTCTTGTTGCAGTACTCGAGAGCAAGTTTCGCAGTAATCGGATGCGTCTCCTCAAGCATATTGAACAGCGCCGTCCCCTTGTGGCACGCAAACCCAAATTGACTGGTGACTTCATCCGCAAGACCCAGGACTTCTCTGACGCGTGCTTTCTCCTCCGCGGTCCGTCCGCGCATACTTCCAGCAGCATGCTTTGCAAGTTCAACTTGCCACGGCTGCTGTGGATCATCGCAGATGTCTTCAAAGTACTCAAGGATCGCGACTGACTGCTTGATGAACTTTCCATCTGGAAGGCGTAAGATTGGCGCTGTGCCTTGAGGTTTCCCGGGCGCGGTCAGGCTATTACTATTCGGGGAGACGGTCACTTCTGTGACTTTGATGAGTGGTGATGCGAGGAGTTGTTTCTCGGCGAGATAGATGAGGACGCGGCGGGGATACATGCCCCATGACAAGGAGAAGAGCTCGAGAGGGGTTGACATTGTGAGTGTAATTCACCGATGTTTTTGTTGATTGAATGAGTGGTGGCAACAAGGTTGGCTCGTAATGGAATTTTATATGTCTTTGGCAAGGAGACTTTGCGGATTGTTTACCTGATCTGAAGTCTCCGATAGGTCGGTGAGTTTTGTGTCGGCATCTTTAAAGTGACCGATGGCCATTGGCATATTTTCCGGCCATAGTACGACCGAGACAGGTAGCAATGAGAGAAATGAGATATTTCAAGGCCCAGGCTTCTGCGCACAATGGCAGACATATCATCGGGGCGGCAGGACTGGCAATACATTGAACTGACTCAACAGGCATGTTATTCATTACCGTGTTTTGCTCCCACTTTAATCCAGAGGGAGAGATTATCTGGGTGATTATGTCAACGGTCTGAATGTGGAATCAACGTTTTGTGCCGTTAGCCTCAGCCCTCTAAACAAAACATCTCAATATTTTAAGTAGGCAGTGCAATTGAGCAGCACATACGCCACATTGAGAGTGCGCAATGATCCTTATGTTTCTACCATGTGCATTTGTCTATAAATCCAACACTTCCTCCCTCGTTCAGACACTTTTCGAAACACACAACGTCCTGCTCCCATTTCATAGGGGGCATCCTACCCTCACATATTCCTCATTCTCTCTCCATCTCATCTCCCAAGATGGCTACCTCATGCCTTTCACGTCTCCTCCTCATCTTCCTATTGGGAGCCATCAACGTCGTAGCTCATCCTATGAGCAAGGACAAGCCAACAGGGTCAGGCAATACCGTCGTCCAGAGAACACCATGCCTTAAGTGGAAGCCCAAAGAGGAACACCAGCACAATCACATGCATCACGGCAATAACACATACACCTACCAGAAGATCACGGTGAAGCTCGATGACAAGGACGGAGCAAAGCATAAGTTTGATGCGGATGAGGATGAAGAATCGACCAAGACTGAATATCCGAGCAAAGCTTCTGCAAAGCACGGCGAGACCAAGGGCACAGCCCACAACCACAAGAATCTGAAAAGAAGCGACAGGGCCGTTAATCTTAAACTCACCGACGAAGAAGTGGACGAGATGGAAAGGCTTGCGCACAGCTATACGCTATTGACTCGGAAAGAAAAGATCAAGTTGGAAAAGATGTTCAAGGTATATCAGCATATGAAGGAGGAGGAGGAAAAGCTCGACAACTCCAAGCCGAGCACAGCCAAAGAGCCAAAGGATGATGTCTTTGACGAGGCCAGCAAGCAGAAGGACTACAAAGCTCAACTCGACAAACTTAAGAAGGACGAGGGCTACAAACCCAAAGAGCCAAAGTATGGTGTCTTTGTTAAGGCCCCGAATGAGAAGGACTACAAAGCTCAACTCGACAACATCGAGAAGAACGAGGACGACAAACCCAAGGACGCAAAACCCTGGTGGGCACTCCCGACCGGCAAACACGACCAAGCCAAACATCATAGGAACGAACTTGCTTCAACCGGAAAGAAAGGAGTTGAGGCAAAGTGGAAGATTACGAAAAGATGCGAGGAGATGTTACCATGGTGGGTTCAGCTAATAATCAAGAAGGTTAGGAAGGATAAGGCGAAAAAGAAGGCGAAAAAGGAGGAGGAGGAAAGGAAGAAACTGGAGGAGGAGGGAAGGCTGGGTGGTCGAAACAGAAAGTTGTCTGGCTCCCCGCCCTCGTTTGGGCCAGGAGTGGGATTACAAAAGGACTCGGCATATTCTAAGCTGAAAAAGATTAAGGAGATGGAGGAGAAGTTGGCCAACGCACCACACAGAGACAAGCCTAAAGACTGGTTTGAGGATAAAACGAACAAGGCTTTTGATACAAAGCCCAGTGAAGAGAACGAACCTCTGAACGTGGGTGCTAAATTCAACGACGACAAGCCAAGTTCTTCCGCATTGCAGCAAAAACAGGACAAGGAGGAAAAACAGGAGCCAGAGGTGGAACCCAACAAGACCTCGGAAGATTCCAAGGATGGACAATCTAATCAGAGCAAGACCTCCCTTACACGGAGGTTTCTACATGTACACGTACCTTATCCAGGCATTAAGAGACGGCCTGAGTCGAAAGAGACCGTAATCGAATTTAGAAAACGTGGGCAACCAAGCAACGTCAAATTTAAACAGGAGTCAGAGGAGCAACCGAACACAGCCTCGGAAGATTCCAAGGATGAAGACTCTAATCAGAGGAACTCCCTTACAGCCCGGTTTTTTCCACCACGCCCACGACCTCCGTCTAGTGTAGAGCGCAAGAGACGGAGGCGACTCGAAAGGGAACGTAGGATTCAGAAGGCCTATGAGAATTACATTAGAGTACTACGCTCAGGGAGTTTACGGGGCCTTGGGAAGGCTGAAGATGAGTTACTGAGGGCAATATGGACGAAAGTATAACCGTTCACAGCGAGGGCAACGAGGCAAACCCTTCTGGAGAGGCAGAGCTTCAGCTAAAAACAAACATCTAGACGACATCCATGATTAAGCTCTATCTTATGCATATTTTTCGGCAATTGGTTTCAGGTTTTTTTTGGGACAAAGGTGCCAGCGCTTTACATTGAGAAATAAAAGTCTCAGGGGGGGTAAGCGATCACGGGGACTGGACGCAGGATACCCAGGGATCAAACACGAGCAAGTTCAACCAGCACCTGATCTTCATTCCTCTCACAAGCTCTCGACTCGACAGGCCTCTCGTGGTGGGGGGTAAGGATAGCTCGATCCTTAGGGTCTAGATCTAGATTGCGCTTCACTCTAGGCTCGGTTGGGTACTGGATCTTCAATAGCTAGTGCCACAGCATACCAATACAATCGACTGTAATTTGAAGAATTGTGTTTTCTTAGGAAATAGAATTCAGTGGCTTCATGACCGGAAGTGTACTAGTGCCTGTGTGATATGTAATACTCAATGTCTTGTCAAACTGAAAACAGTGACTTTTATTAATTTCTTAGGATATGAGTTATAACAGATCATCCCAAAATGAATGAAAGTGTTAGTCCTGCATGCAATACTTTATAAACACAGTTCCCTTGCAAATCACTCTGATACTATCCAACATGTGCATATCTACTCATCAGATGACTCCCTCGCGCGGGTACGAACCCGCGCCAATTCAATTTCAAAAGCCTTATTCTTAGCATCCTCATGTGAATCTGAAGAACCAGCGCAAGACTCCAAGTCAAAACCTCGCGATGAATGTGATGAACGTCTGATGGGTCGACTGGGCGAAATCTCCGATTGATGCTCTGTGAGTCTCGCTGCTTCGGGTTTCTGGATTGAGTCGGTGGTGTAGCGACTGCTTTGGCTTGTTCCTTTTCCTCGGATGGTGTTGAATGCGCGTGAGTTGGCGGCGAGGTTGAAGTATGGTCGTAGTGAGGGGAGACAGGCGATGACCAGGCCGAGATATAAATCCAAGGTATTCCAGAAGTCTACGTATGTTAGCTTAGTTTTGTGAAATTGGGTGAGGGACTTACGGGATTCGACGATGGAGACCTTGCGGTGTGCACCATCGATGAATAGCTCGTGGAAGCGGATGATGCTGATGACCATGTTGATGATGCCAAGAAGAAAGGTCAAGTAAACACCAACTCGCAGCCATCCTTTGATCATGAGATCAGGCACGATAAGCCAAGGAAGAATGAAGACTGAATCTGTTAGCTTAGGTCATGTCATGAACAGGAGGCGCTTACTGAAAACATCGCCAGCAAAATGCAGAGCCCAAGAAGTCTTCAAGAACGTCATCGCAGCATCATGCGGGCATTGGTTATCAGGGTCCAGCGACCTATTTAAGTCAGCAACTTGCTCATTTCCCTGGTGACGGTGACTTACCATAGTCGAGTGACAGGGATACAGACGCAAAATGGCAGAATCATCGTGACGATATACGAAAGCGCAACATAGAGAGCAGTCGCCCAGAGAAACATTCTCCTCTTGTGCATATGAACAGGAATGACCTGGCGGTAGACAGCAAGCAGAGCAGCTTTGCAGAGATAAAACGCCGTGAAAAAAGGCAGAGCACAGATCCAGAGCAACTACGAAATGTTAGTCCATCTCCTAAAGCTCAGTAACAGTGTCATACCTTGAGAACAAACTCTTTGTCGCTGAGAGTTCCCTCCCAGTCCTTCAGACTGCTGTCGACCCATGGCTCCATGACACCCATGTGAACATACGTGATGCAGAAGGACGCCACGGTAATGCCAGCTGCCCATGCCAATAACATCCATATGTCACTGTCCATGAGCCTTCGTTTTTGGATGACGAGGCGGAGGTAGATTCGTGCGATGATGACAATTGTCGATAAGGCTATGAGCGTCCATTCTGTAATCTATACCTGTTAGCTGATGCACATGACAGTCACAATAATACTGACCAGAAGGGTTGACGGTCCTATCGCCATGATTGCGGTGTTATCGTGTCCAGATCTTGTATGATACCCTCGTCGTTAAAGTGTTTTCCGGTAGTGTACTCACGTACGAGTGACGCTATATGTAAAACATGGGAAGAAACAAACCAGCAAACGCATCAGCCCACGAATGCGATGACACCCTCTCTAAATACCATCCTCGCTCTTTCGCGAGCAAAAAGAATAAAGTTTACCTTCAGTTTTCATAAGCTATCCGGAATCTCTTAGCGGACGGGACGTGGCGCATTCCGTATGCAGGGGCTAGACGGGAATCTGAGCAACCACAAAGGTTAAAAAACTGGGTAGTAAGACCATAAGAGTCGAGCCTGTTGTTGGTGATGGGCATTGCTGGTATGTTTTGTAAAGTCAGTTGGGTGTAGCGATTTGGTATTTGCGTAGGTAGATGATGTAGACCTCATAACAGCATGCTCGCTTAGTTGGTGAGGCTTGGAAAGAAAGGTTGAGGGCAACACGTGGCAAAGCCATTATTGAGAAACGCATTGTTGGGAGTGATGATGAGATGGGAGATCGTACGTCCAGGCGAGCATGTTGCCAGATCGAGAAAGTTGAGGGATATCTGGACCGAGATGGCTTCAATTGAGGGTTTAACGGTGTCAATTATAGACCTGCTATACCGAAGTAGTAAGTTTTTGAGGACACCATTTGGTCTAGCACCCGTTCCAGCATTGGAACACATGATTAGTAAATGTCGAATTGTGCTTATGTAGATCCCACCTTGAAACCAGCTATCGGGTGAACAAATTCGTGTGCACCAGCGTTGCTCAACGTCTCGATATCATACGTGATATCCATTATCTCGAGCTCTCACCTGACTATGATCCTCAATCAACCACCATATATCCAAAAAGAATTCCTCCAAATCTCAGAGAACCTCGGTCTCCATACCTCATGCCAGCTACCAGTCCCCAAAGCAAAAGCCGTTGGTCCGAGGCATGCAACACGAATAAAGACGTTACTGAATGACCATTGTATGCGTCATCCAACACCGAGAATTCAACGGATCTACGGCAGCAGCGTTATGGACAATGGTGCTTTTGCCGACGCCCAATGTCAGCGGCGCCGACGAAAATGTCGCTGATCTGCAGGCTCGCTGATCGACCAACTCTATTCGAAAAGAGCTGCATTTCGCTAAGACCCTAAACGTTGCTTGTCCGAGGTTGTATCATGACGAGGCGAGTTCAACTGCACTTTAATCTGGGAGGTCAAAGAAGGGCTTAGCTCTAGCGCACAGAGGTCAAGAATACGAATAGACAAACACGAATAGTATACCCATTATCTAGTCTTGTTGAATTGCACAACGGTGTCAGTTGAAGTGGGCTATCTCTTCACGTCTTGAGGGGGCCAAGGATGACCTCATAGGATCAGCCGTCCAAGGGAAGGCTACTATGTAACGTTCACGCGGAGCCTTTCGAGATTGTAGAATGGATTATTATGGAGTCGCATTGACAATTCACGCGGTGAGCAGGCATACCTGAGATCGCCTGTACTTAGTTAAATTTATGGAGTAGCTTGGCAAGTAATACGACGTCGCGTAGAGGCCTTGGTACCTAAAGCCTCCGCGGAAAATATCGTGCAAGCGAACATATTATACGATATATAAACAGAGTTATATGTGAATGAGGCCCAAAACATCACCAAAATGTTTCATGTAATGTTTTGAGTCAGTCAAATGTTTCAGTGGGGTAACCCTCAGATGATCTGAGTCGCCATGACTCTCTTACAGGGTCCGTCTGAGCACAATCCGAGTCACGAGAGGGCCAAAGCGCTGTCATGATTAAATATCTATTAGCGTAAAGAATCGTTTCCTCAGCTAATTAGACTGTTTACTGCGTCAATGCCGAATGTCACGATAGCGCCGAGACGGACTGACATCTCAGTGCCATATTGACGGACCCAAAGCATTAATGGACCAGGGTAGCCTAGTCACATGCTCTCTCTCTGCAGCGGGATCTTCGTTCGTCACCGGCCATGTTACAGATCTACTTGAAACCAAAAGACACGCCAGGGAATTACGGATAATCACGACATTCGATATCGCTCGATTATCAGGCAAGAATTTGTCAATGCGGTGAGTCCAAAACAAAAGCAAAAACGAGATCTGATATGCAGGTCATTTCAATATCTCAGCAAGGATAAGTCTTGGCACTCAGTCTTTTCCAAGCTGTTGGGTTTTTTGGCCTCTTGAGCAATATCACCAGTGGAGAATTTCACCAATTGATCGACGAAACAAAAGATCGCACAGAACTTCTTCATCGTTACAAATCCCTTACAAACCTCTCAATCTTTAACCTCGGAACATTCGGTAAACCTGTCAGTGTCACCAAACCCCACTCCAACCACATGGTCATATTGTGATCGGCAGTTATGCCAACCGACACTCACGCTCGCCCGCAACGCGCTGCGGCAGTTTTGACCCCTCGATCTGGTTGGTCGCAGCACCACGCAGTAAAACAACGATCAGCGGTAATCTTCAGGTCCAGGGTATCATTGCCTCCGCAGATCAGGTCGGAGAGATTACACACAGCTTGAGGAAAGAGATGCACGATTAGATCATCGCTCTGCAGGGGGACTGATACTAATGATTGGATATGTAGTATAAGCTCAAGCTCGTCGATCTCTTACAGTTTTGAGACGGAGTCTGTGAGAGCTGAACTATGAGCCCCTCCTTCAAGTGATATACTTAACTGTCCTTGGGGTCCCCTCCCGCGTGAGGGAAATATGTTTCTGATGATTCTAAACATTTGCTGAAATTTGTTTTTGATACAAATGCACAATGTATATCCGTTGGGCTGACGAGAGTCATCTAACCATGGATACTCGCTCAATGCCGGCGGATAGTTCATCCCGCTCGGTCGAGATTCAAGCTATTCTCATTACCTTCTCCATTCTTTCCACGATCACCGTCGCATTGCGACTCTATGTGCGATACAAGGTTCTTCATTCCCTCGGCTGGGATGATAGAGTTATGGCTGCTGCCCAGGTCCTTACAATTGCAGCTGCGGTGGCTATTGGTCTAGGTAAACTTCATCAATGCTGTGAAGGTTGAGTGAGTGCTGATGTGTGAGTAGAGAATAATTATGGGCTTGGACATCATACTTGGGAACAGTCGAAGGAGAATTACGTTGCTTACATGAAGGTCAGCTTCACTTTTCTATGGCCTCAACTATTGCTGACGATTAGTAGGCGTTTTATGCTTCTGTCATCGTGTACAATGTCGCCATGTGTCTCGTCAAGATCGGCATCCTTCTTCAATACCGACGAGTCTTTGCCATACCGATCTTACAAGCGTTAACATTCTACGGACTCGTCATCATGATCGCATGGACTATCACGATCGCTTTCCTCAATACTCTCATTTGTGTACCCGTCGCCAAGTTCTGGAACTCAACTCTAGATGGACATTGCATCGATCCTTTGACGGTCTGGTACGTCATGGCTGGCTTCAACCTCGTCACAGACATCACTGTATTCTGTATGCCGTTACCAGTCATTGGAAGCTTGAACCTTCCCAAGAAACAAAAGATTATGCTGTTGGCTATTTTCAGCATTGGTTTCCTGTAAGTAGCTCAATCGCTTTATCACGCTGTTACTAATAGGACTAGAACCTGCATCATCTCGATTATTCGCATTCGAACACTAAAGACAGCTGCTTCAACTAAAGATCCCAACTGGGATAATGTCGACGCCGCGATATGGTCATTCCTCGAAGTCACCCTCGCTATTATTTCCTCATGCCTACCTACTCTCCGACCACTATTCTCCAAGATCATGCCCAGGCTCTTTGCATCTTCATTCGGCCGAAGTAGCAACCGTGTATCACAGTACGGCTATACTCGAACACGTAGCAGTCAAAATCTGCGTAGTATGTCTCGAAGGCGAACTCAAGACATCAGCCATGACTCAATGGAAGATACATCCACCTTGCGAAAAGATGAAGTACCTCTCCCATCAATCACCAAACACTACCGAACATACCCTGGTGTTAGTGTCAGTATTAAGGCTGAGCAGGGACAGAACGGTGATGAGGCAGCGTCGCAGAGTCCAATTGAGCCAAGCTCACCAAGTCGAGGCATCAAAGCTACTACTGTCGTCACACAAGAAATCGTGGTAGAGAGACGCCCAGACGATGAATGGAGCCACGGCAGACCAAGTGACAGCGATGCAACTCTCCGAGAATGACATCTGTCCACAAAACAGAGAAATGCCGTTCCACCGCTTACTTATGAGACATGCATACTAACTATTACCTCTCCCTTTAATGTAATCTTAATACAAAACCCTTTTTTACCTATTTTTAGCACCTTCACCGTATGTTCTAGACTCGCACCTTCCCCGGATTGAGGAAGGGCGGAAGCCTCGGGCCCTCGGCACGGGTTAGTTCAGGTCGACGCTTTGGGGTTAGTTACGAGAGATCTAGTCTCTGGTCTATTCTCGTCACAAGATGGCTCGATACGAACCGATAATCGCCCGTATAGGCTTTAGCAGAACGCCACAAGTCTATGCCGGCTCGTATTCAACTTTAACCGCCTTTCACCGCAATATCCGAACGTTTTGCCATTTTGTATAAATAAAGGCCGTTGATCAACTTATTCTCAATCATCACTCTCAAGCACTTTCTCTCTCATCTACAAAGACTCTCACATCCCAAAAAGCATCTTCTCACTCTTCAAAATGAAGTTCAGCATCCTCACTGCCCTTACCGCCATTGTTGGCAGCGCTGCCGCCGCTAACCAGGCTGTCGTCAAGAACGACTGCTCTGGCACCATCTATGTCCAGTCCTGGCCTTACAACGGCGGTGCTCCTGGACCTCTTGTGACCCTCAAGCCCGGTCAGAAGTTCTCTGAGAACCTCCGCTCTACTGGATCTGTACGTTGAATTCGTGTCTGCTTTCATCACTGAACTCTTTGTACTAACAATTGTTATAGACCGTCAAGATTGCCACCACCAAGACTCTCTCCAACCCTCTCTTCTTCGGCTACTCCTCCACCTCCAAGCCCAACTACGTTTACTACGAGTTCAGCACGTAAGTTCAAGACCTGTCCCTGATTTGGTGCCATACTGACATATCTAGTCAATGGGGCAACCCCTTCGCCAACAAGCACAACATCCTTACCACTGGTAAGGGATGCAAGCAGTTTGACTGCGCTGCTGGCGATGCTTCTTGCTACAGCACTCCCAGCATGAAGAAGGTCTATGGCTGCCCTCAGCCTGCTACCATTACTGCCACTATCTGCGCCAAATAGAGGATACACTTGATAGAACTATTGAACTCGCACAATGGTGTAAGCTATCGGTAGGAAGAGGGATAGAGAGAGAAATGTATAGATCTTATTGGTTGAGCTAGTAATGCATATTTAATAATGGAAACATTTAGCCTCAAATGAAAGCTTGGTACTCGGCAAGAATGCAATGGTGCTATGAACCTCAAGTAATAGTTCGTAGACACAAGAATAACACGAATGGTCCTTTGGAAAGGAACTGTTCTCAGGCGTATCACACAGGGCGATTTACTTCAAGCAATGGGATTAGAGCTTATGATATCTATCCCGAGCTTCTAATGGAATAGTTGAAATGCACTTGATCACTGTTTTCGAGGCTAAGGAATTCTTGTCTCAGATGAACTACAGAATACCATCTGCTTTACGGGGGCAGTCTCAATCTTGATAGATTCACCATCCAAAGCCATTCGACGTGAGCTCATTCGCCACCTGCTCAGCCACCAGCTGGTTAATAGCAATTCCAGGATGATAGTCATTAAACCACAGCTATTGCAACATCAGCATAAAATACCTTTACTTAAGGGAGGCTACTCACGCATGACTTCCCATCGCTGTTGTAGCAAGTCGCATCAGGTGCACCATAAGCCTTGGGGTTGTTGATAGCCTTCTTGAAAGAAACAGATGTATCAACGAGTAGTGTCTTGACACCAGAGTTGGCTTTCTTGAACGTGCTGAGCTTTGAGGCCAGCTTGCTGTTGTAGAGCTTAATAGCCTTCACGAGAAGAGCGTTCGAGTCAGCGCCTTGTTGGATCATCAACGGTGTCAATTCGGTTGCTGCCTATTGTTAGTATAGATGCCTGATGCTACTGTAGTCTTCAGAAACTTACGCGGAACGCTAAGTAGAACAAACTTGCGCAGACCAGCCTTGTACAGAACCTGAAGTAACTCAAAGTATCTCGTAGTAGCCTTCTCAACCACTGCATCTGCATCCTGCAGATAAAATGAGTTTCCAACGTCATTAACGCCGATCCATACTCCTGCAATCGTATTCTGAGCTGTCCAAGAAGTACCAGCGGGATGCTTGCCCACAGAGTTAGAAAACTGGTTGACCTGATCCACAAAACTCAAGACAGTGCTTGCATACGGCTTGACGATGTTAGCATCGACTGTAGCGCCTCCGTACGCAAAGTTGTATGATAGAACGAGAGAGTTGTTTTGCTCTTTGACGATGTCGCCGACCCAGTTTGCTCCACCGGCTGCTGTCCATCCTGGGAATGGGGGGTTGCCGAGGGGGTTGGAGGCGGAGGGTTGTGCGCCGTTGGGGTCGAAACCTGTCTGGGAGTATGAGTCGCCACTAAAACACGTCAACTTGTAGTTCGCAGGTGTATCGTTTGCTGACTCACAAAGTGAAGAGATAGCTAATGCTTGACGCTGCGTGGACTGCAGCACTTTGAACCAAGATGCTACCCATAGCAGCAACAAGAAGTTTCGACAGCATGGTAAGAGACTGAATAAAAACCACTATGATTTGAATCACCTGCCAAGACAATTTACTCAGTCTTGCAAGTTTCACATAGCGACTAACGGACTACTTATATCTCCTCAAATCCGCGTTTCAGATCCTCGACCCAACCTTGTTTCCTGATCCCACAAACCACGAGCTGCTCTTGTGATCAAGGAATGTCGACGGAAGATCTTGTTTAAGCATAATGTCTAGAAACGGATAAACGGAGGAGGTCCGAGGCGGGGTATAACATATTTGGACTGGGAGACCGCAAGAAATACTATAATGCGGCATGCAGATCATACATTGAAGCTTTGGGTCGGGAGCTGTAATTGGTACGGAAGAATATTTTCCGTGGACAGATCTGTGTGATCCCGTCGGTCCGGTCTTGATATCGCTTAGCTTGTTAGTCTGCATGATATACTATGCAGCATAGAGGCTCGTGGAGAGGAGAGCGATTATAACAATGCCAGAAGGTTTGCAGCTTCTATGGTGCATTATTTATATATAAGCTTTAATATGGATATATGGATCTGCAGGACGGCAGGGATGACACGGTGGGATCTCCAGTGAATGAATCCAACTTAATTGCTTATCTGGGTAAGAATGTCACATGTCCTTATCTGGAAAAGCAAATGCTTTTCTTTGTCTGGTACAAAGTAAGGCGATTCTTTAGCACTGAAAGTTATGTCAAGATACTGTGGCACGGTATTGGTATGTCAATCAACGCCATCTTACTTGCCTGATGCAGGGTAGCTGGCTGTCTCGAAGCTGTTGCTGAATTGTCCCCGTACGAAAAAGGTATCTGTCTGGAATCTTCAGAGGACGGCTATTTCAATCGTGCGATATTCACTCTGATAAGAGATGTATTTTAGCTTCCCTCTAAGCACATTTGTGGCAGCTGGTAAAGAACGTGTTGATCCATGTTGCAAGTGTATAGGTTATGACAGAAAAGGCTTAACATTAGCTGCATACATTTTAGTATAGATTTGTTAGTGCTTTCTTTCACCCTTAAGCGAGCCTGGGCACTTTTGAACAAACCAAACAGGGATTCGTACACAAATGCGGGGGACTTGATGTAACCATCCAATAACCACGCATAAATTACCAACATCTCTTCTGCCGAAAAGCCGTGATTTATGGAGTCCAAACCCATTAACAAATAAAAAGCTCAACAATGCTGTTTACCACGTGGAAGCGGTCATTGGCTTTATCGCATTACCAACGTCGCAAACAAAGGCTTTAAGCTGAATCCGTTATCGTCGGCCGTAGAAGCTTATCTTAGCTTGCTTATCACGTTTCATCGTAATCAACCTTGATTGGGCAGGGTTGCAGATTCACAGGGGTAATCGTGAAGCTAAACTTGTTACTGCCACCGGCGAGAGCCGTCAGATCCGATTGTTGTTGATATTCATGGAGGTTGTGATGCATTTGAGATGACGATCCGGCAGCTGAGTTCCGAGCACATGGGGAGGTCCGCGATGATAGGAATTATATATACCAACGCTGCATTTGACCTGAAGCACGATGACAGGTGTAGATTCTTTACTGTTCTCAAAAGTCTCTCTTTTGCAGCCGCCTCGCTAGGTTCATCATGAAGTCCCTCACTGCCCCCAGCCTCCTGGCCGCGCTCCTCACGACACCCGCTCTCTCCAAGCCCGTCGTCGATGAAAAGTATCCCTACAAGGGCCCAGCAGTCCCTGTCGGCGATTGGGTCGATCCCACCGTCAACGGCAATGGAAAAGGATTCCCTCGTCTCGTTGAACCGCCAGCCGTGAAGCCTGGTTCTTCAAACCCCAGCAACAACGTTAATGTCATTTCGACGTCGTATACCCCTCGGGGAATTAACATTCACTACCAGACGCCTTTTGGACTCGGTGCTGCGCCGGTTGTTCATTGGGGAACGAGCAAGTCTGAGTTGAAGAATAAAGCTACTGGGTCGACTACTACGTAAGTTCCCGCTTCTTGGCGCAGGGGTTTACCCGATTCGTCTGCGCACTGAATCGTCATTGGCTTACGATTTCCAGCTACGATCGCACGCCTCCTTGTTCGGCTGTCAAGGCTGTTACGCAGTGCAATCAGTTCTTCCACGATGTTCAGATCAGCGACCTCAAGCCCGGCCAGACTTACTACTATCAGATCCCCGCTGCCAACGGTACCACCAAGTCTGATGTTCTTAGCTTCACTACCGCTCGTGAAGCAGGTGACAAGTCAGAGTTCACCATCGCTGTTCTCAACGATATGGGCTACACCAACGCCGCTGGTACTTACAAGTATCTCAACAAGGCTGTTTCCGACGGCGCTGCGTTTGCCTGGCACGGCGGTGATCTGAGCTACGCTGATGATTGGTTCTCCGGCATTCTGCCCTGCGAGGATGACTGGCCTGTTTGCTACAACGGAACCTCGACTGAGCTTCCCGGCGGCGGTCCTATTCCCGATGACTACAAGACTCCCCTTCCCAAGGGCGAAGTCGCTAACCAGGGAAGTCCTCGCGGCGGTGACATGAGTGTTTTGTACGAGTCGAACTGGGATCTCTGGCAGCAGTGGCTCAACAGCATCACCCTCAAGATCCCCTACATGGTTGTCCCCGGTAACCACGAAGCAACCTGCGCCGAGTTCGACGGCGGCAACAACACACTCTCTGCGTACCTCGATAACGACAAGAGCAATGCTACCCAGGCTAACATGACGCTTAACTACTACTCCTGCCCCCCCTCGCAGCGCAACTTCACCGCTTTCCAGAACCGCTTTCACATGGCTGGCGACAAGTCCGGCGGCGTTGGCAACTTCTGGTACTCGTTCGATTACGGTCTAGCTCACTTTGTGTCTATCAACACAGAGACCGATTACGCCAACAGTCCTGAGAAGCCGTTTGCTGCGGATCTCAAGGGTGATGAGACGCATCCTTTGGCGAATGAGACTTATGTCACTGATTCTGGTCCCTTTGGTGCTGTGCATGGTTCTTATAATGATACCAAGAACTATGAGCAGTATCAGTGGTTGGCTAAGGATCTTGAGAGTGTTGATCGATGCAAGACCCCTTGGGTTATTGTCATGGGCCATCGTCCTATGTATAGTTCTGAGGTTGCCAAGTACCAGGTTAACATCCGTGCTGCATTTGAGGATCTGATGCTGAAGAACAATGTCGATGTCTACATTGCTGGGTGAGTCGCATCTTAGCCAACCTCCTCCACAACACATATACTAATATTGGACAGCCACATTCACTGGTACGAGCGTCTTCAGCCCATGGGCCACAACGGCACCCTCGACTCAGGCTCCATCATCAACAACAACACGTACAAGACCAATCCCGGCAAGTCAATGGTCCATCTCGTCAACGGAGCCGCAGGCAACCTCGAGAGCCACAGCGTCCTCGACGGTGAGCCTCGTCTCAACATGACCATGTTTCTTGACCAGACTCACTTTGGTTTCGCCAAGTTGACTGTTCACAACGAGAGTGCGCTCTCTTGGCACTTTATCCACGGTGATGGTGGTGTTGTTGGTGATGAGCTTACTGTCTTGAAGGAGAGTGCTTCCAAGTGCTCTGCTGCTGGAAACTCTTCCTCGTCTGGAGGTGCGAGCGGTACTAAGGCCCCAGTTGCTACTCCTACTAGTGCTGGTACCAAGACATTTGTCTCTGGGGTTCTTGGCCTCCTTGTTATCGCTCTGGCTTTGTAGAGGACATAAAGACTAGATATAGATGATGGCTTTGTTAGACATTCTTCCCTGAGAGGACTTGTGATACATAATCACATAATTGAGTCGATTTTCAATCTCGTTTAGGTCAGTCATATGGCCTCGGGAATTGTGCTACGTGATCAACAAGTCCTAGACTGATAAGAAGAGACTGATAAGGCCCAGCATGGCTTAGGTCCTTGCGCACGCGCACCAATTTTCGCCTGGTAGATGACAATATGACATAGGTCTTCCCGCTCATTGCAGTATTTATCCGAACTCAGACATTCTATATCATTGGCACGTAGCCCATGCTTTCTTTTTATACCAACCATCCCTCGCCAGCTGTCACTCCCTCTTTCGTCACAGCCCAACCACTTTGGGCCCAAAGAGCAACGCCGCATACGTCAGATCCTCTGTGCAACAACGGGATGCGACGAGATATTCCCCAATGAGGAAGACAAAAGGGTCAACATGACGTAGATAGCGCCGGATCAGCTCGGCAGATACCGAGCTAAAATGACCTTGGCAACGTATAAGGGTAAGATTTTCGCTTACGCCTTGCTAGCTGACAGCTGATGTCTCACCTTGGGCGGATCGATGATGCTCGTCTGACTTGAAAACGGATAATATTTCATGACTGCGTCTCAATTAATTCTCAAATTTCAGACTCTTACTTTCTGTACTTTCTCGTGCCGGACGCTGTCGCAAATCAACTAATTCCTCATACTGCCTTTCATCGTGAAAAGTACCGAATTCAACATGGTCATTATCGTCACTGGTGTAAGCGAGCCTATAGAAATGACGCAGAAATGCAAGCTAATTTTATCGACAGGGTGCTGGGTTTCTCGGCTGCAATTTGATCCAGCTGCTTCTCGAGAAGAACCACGAAGTCGTCGTGATTGATTCACTATGGACTGGATCTCAAAGCACCCTCGATAATTTCCGATCGGACAAGCGAGTGCGATATATCCAGTGCGTTTTGTTTGCTCCCAAATGTTGTTTCAGTGCTGATAAGTAGTAGAGCTGATGTACGAGATCCGTTGCCGTGGATAGACAACGTCGAACAAATTTACCATCTTGCGTGTCCTGCGAGTCCAGTGCATTTTGAGACTCAACCGATTGATATTTTACAAACTTGCTTTAATGGCGCATCGAATGTCTTGGACTATGCATTGAAACACAACGCTCGAGTTCTTCTTGCTAGTACATCAGGTACGACTTCTCCCCATGACTACTAGGTATAATGCTCACTGATGGCATGCAGAAGTTTACGGCGACGCACAAATTGCCTGCCAACGGGAAGATTATAGAGGCAACGTCAACTGCTTCGGCCCACGCGCCTGCTACGACGAAGGCAAGAGAGTCATGGAAGCCCTCGGATACGCTTATCAAGCTGAACACGGTCTCGAAGTCCGCATCGCCCGAATCTTCAACGCCTACGGCCCCTTCATGGAGCCCGAAGACGGCCGCGCAGTACCCAACTTTATCATGGCAGCTCTAAAGAGAGAACCAATCACGATATACGGCGACGGACACGCAACGCGATGTTTCCAGTACGCTAATGATTGTGTTCGTGGTTTAGAGGCTCTGATGAATAGCGATTATCATGGACCGGTTAATATTGGCAGTGATCTGGAGATGGAGATAGCTGAGATTGCGGATATAGTATCGAGAGTTGTGGCGGAGAAGACCGGGTATGAGGATCCTGTTGCTGTGCAGTTGTTGCCGAAGAGGGAGGATGATCCTATTAGAAGGAAGCCAGATACGAGTCTTGCTGAGAGGGTTTTGGGTTGGAAGCCTAGGGTGTCGTTGGAGGAGGGACTAGCTTCGACGGTGGACTGGTTTATCCAGAGGGAGAACAGCATTTCGAGCAGGCTTTAGAGAGATATGAAGCCTGTATGACTAATGAAACACGTCTGATTTATGTAGCCTAATAAGGTATTGGTAGCTAGTTCTATTTGCTACGGAGTACTGTCGAGGGTAACAAGATGGTTTAACTCTGCCCAATATCTCAGCGTTGTATGACCACTAATTAAACATTCAAACGCTTGACCCAAAATTAATTCTGGACCCTACCATTCAGGATAGACTATGAAGTATGTGACATGGCATGTCATTCTTATTGGAATGGGGGTCAATCGGAACATCGGATCGGGTGCCTCCACTACTACCCTAGATTATCTGTCTCACTTAACCCACTACAAATCAGCACTCAGCAAAGAATGTGTATTCAGAATAGCCAGGACTCGCCTAGATAGTCATTTGCATAAACATAAGATAGAGCATCAAGCGTGGCTGTCGTAGTGCTCATCTATCCAGGCAAGCCACAATACAAGTCGCGTCAGCTTCACCCATCGCACGGCCACAAGGCTTATTCCCCAGCCCAACATCCCCATCCCACCGAGACCCGAAACACCGGAACGATCGGATACTCGCCGAGTCAGCGCCAACCGCTTCACAAATGCCGAACATAATCTCACCACCAAAAAGCCAACGCTACAGCAATTGCCGTGATCTGTGCGCTTTAGACTTTAAGGCTATGTAACCCGGCCCAATGCCCTCTCACTGGTGGAAATTCGAAACATGGGGCGTTCAATGGGTTAATTAAACTCTATAACGCTGACGCGCTCTCTCCCTTCTAGAAAGTGTCCTTTTAGCTTCTAATTAAACTTAATTCACCAAAAAGGGTCGGCGGCACTGCGTTGAGGGAGGGCGATATTTAAAGCGCTGCATCGCGCTATTTTTTCTGTATTTTGGTCTCATCAACCTCCAACGGTCTTTCATTCCTTCGTTTTCTTGTTTTGCAAATATCTACACTCCTTTAACCAACGTCACTCATTTGTATCTTCTAATCATGCGCGTCACCACCCTTCTAGGCCTAAGCGCCTACGCCGTCGCCGAGGCGAGCTGCTCGCGCAACATCATCTACTACGACCAGTGGCACACCAAGGATCTACCCCCCAAGGACATCACCCACAGCGTCACCCACGTCATGATGACCTTTGCCAACTCGTCGCTCTTCCTCACTGAGCCCGCTGGCAAGTACGAGCCGTTCCAGCCTCTGAAGCAGGTCCGCGCTCTGTTTGACCACGACGTCAAGGTCTGCATGACCATTGGTGGCTGGGGCGACAATGCTGGTTTCGACGAGGCTCTCAAGACCGACAAGAGCCGTCAGACGTTTGCTCGTGGTGTTGCTTCTAATCTCGATAGACTCGGTTTCGACTGTGTTGGTATGTGCACTGTTCATGGAATCTTAATGGAATGAGTGGCTAATACTTGGCTTCAGATGTTGATCTGGAGTACCCTGGTGGTAACGGCGCCGACTACAAGCAGGTCGTCAACTCCAAGAAGACCTACGAGATCAAGGCCTTCCCCAAGCTTCTCAAGGAGATCAAGAAGTTCATCGGCTCTAAGGAGCTTTCCATCGCTGTCCCCGGTCTTGAGCGTGACATGATCGCCTACATCCCCAGCGAGACCCCTCTCATCGAGCAGTCCGTCGACTTTGTCAACGTAAACACTCCCCATAGCCCTACAAAACCAACCACTAACCATCATAGGTCATGACATACGATCTCATGAACCGTCGTGATCACTACACCACCCACCACACCTCGGTCAAGGGTGCTACCCGTGCTATCGACAAGTATCTCTCCCTCGGTTTCCCCGCCCACAAGCTTGTCCTCGGTATCCCTTTCTACGCCAAGTATTTCACCACTAAGCAGGGTTACAAGTGCACCAACCCCATCGGCTGCCCTACCGAGCTCCTCGAGAACCCCAAGGACGGTAGCGACACCGGCAAGTCTGGATCCATGACTTTCGAGGCTGCCAACTTTGTCTCTGCCCCTACCAACTTGACTGCTACTCCTGATGCTACCTGCGGTGCTGGCACTTTCTACAAGTGCGCCACTGGATCTTGCTGTGCCGCTTCCGGCTGGTGGTATGTATCTACCTAGTCGTATCTAGACATAAGCTAACATGCAACAGTGGTGATACCGCTGCTCACTGCGGTACTGGCTGCCAGTCTGCCTACGGCAAGTGTGACGGCGCTGATATCACCGCCTCATTCCTCGAGGCTCTCGAGAAGGGCAAGACTGACAAGGTCAACGGTGGCCAGTGGTACTGGGATGGCCCCAACCGTATCTTCTGGTCCTGGGACACTCCTGAGCTCATCACCGAGAAGATCAACCTTCTTGCCAAGACCCGCGGTATCAAGAGCGTCATGGCCTGGGCCCTTGCTCAGGACAGCCATGACTGGAGCCACCTCAAGGCTATGCAGCAGGGTTTCGACCGTGTCAACGCTTAGATGCCTGGTGACTGGGCTCCTGGGGCCGAATCATAGACTCATAGAATAATAGCTGGGGTGTTAGGTCAAGAGATTTGTTTAGTACGGAAATAAATAAGTCTTCCCTGGTGCACTTGCTACTTACGCCTCATGTTGTCATGTCCGTGATTATGGTGAAGCCGGATGAGAGTGATTCAATAAGCTGTCAATAGGGAAGCCCTTAAGCTGGCCAGTCAGTCATTGAACTTGAGCTGGGATCTCTCTGAGGAGACGCGACCTCATCTATGATCTTAAGAGACGGTAGGATCGGCCGCATTACCAAACCAGTCGCTTACTCAACTTAGGTACTTTGGTCAAATAACATCCATTGGCGAGCTGTGGAGCGATTCCTGTCATATCGTCAGCCCTAATCCGCATTGGCATTGAAGGTGCAAAACATCTGACATTATGCTTATTCCAACAGTATGGGTACAGGCTCACCAATCATGGCTATTGGCTAACGTGTCGTAATCCGACTTGTGCCAGAGTTACGCATCCGCCATTACTGCAGTAAATACCCTGAAGGAAGGTGACTGTCTGACTGGGAGCCCGAGGAATAAATACTCGATGATCACTTGCCGAGTGAAGGGCTCCAGCTTCTCTTCACTTACCTTGTATCTATCTCAACTTGTGACAATGAGTTTCCCCAAAGACCAGAAAGTCGACTTCCAGGTATGTATAGATACGTTTACGTATGTCCACAGCGCTCTGGCTCTCAAGAAAGACTTTTCAGAACGTCATAAACAGCCAACGAAGCTCCACCCTCAAAACCCGACGTGGTATCTGTCCTAGCACAGAAGAGCCTCTCTGGGAGTCTCCCGTATCAACCCAAGATGACGTTAATCGAGCTGTGAGCGCTGCGAAGGCAGCATATCCTGCGTGGCGAAAGCTATCATGGGATGAGCGCGCCAGCTACCTCGTCAAGTTCGCAGATGCCATTGAGGCACATAAGCAAGAGTTTATTGACCTTCTAGGCCGTGAAGCTGGCAAACCGCTTCAGGCTGGTGGCTTTGAGCTTATGCTTGTTATGGAGCATGTTCGAGAGACGCCGAAGCTTAGGATCAAGGAGGACAAGCCTGAGGATAATAAAGATGTAAGTCCCAAGTTATTTATCAGCCCGACAAAGGAAGACTAATTGTTTGCACAGAGAACAGCCGTCGTACGCTACGTCCCTCTCGGAGTCGGCGTCGGCATCGTCCCATGGAACTTCCCCATGTTACTCGGCATTGGAAAAGCATACCCTGCCATGCTAGCCGGCAACACGTTCATATGGAAGCCCTCACCATATACTCCATACTCAGCTCTCAAGCTGGCAGAGATTGGAGCCAAAGTCCTTCCTCCTGGCGTGTTCCAAGCTTTAAGCGGCGGTGACAATCTCGGACCTATGCTGACCGCTCATCCTGCCGTAGCCAAGGTCAGCTTCACGGGTTCTACCGAGACGGGCAAGAAGATCATGGCGGCTTGTGCTGCTACGCTGAAGCGTGTTACTCTTGAGTTGGGAGGGAACGATGCTGCGATTGTTTGTGAAGATGTTGACATTCCTACAGTGGCTGGAAAGGTATATTTCTCTTCCTGTGACCTCATGAAGAAGGTTCACTGACGAGTCGATAGGTCGCATTCCTCGCCTACGTCCACAGCGGCCAAATATGCATGAACATCAAACGCATATATGTCCATGAGAGCATCTATGACAAGTTCGTTTCTGAAGTCATCAAGTTCCTTGGAGCCCTCAAGACCGGTGACTTCTCTGATCCGGAAGCCTTCTTCGGACCAATCCAGAATAAGATGCAGTACGAGAAACTCCGACGTCTCTATGAGGAAGTCGACAAGCAAGGATGGAAGCGTGCCATTGGCGGCGCATCAACTGCATCAGCCAAAGGGTACTTCATGCCACCCGTTCTTATTGAGAACCCTCCCGAGGATTCAGAGATCGTGCAAACTGAACCATTTGGCCCAATAGTCCCTATTATGAAGTGGAAGTCTGAAGACGATGTCATATCTAGGGTCAATGCATCAGACTATGGTCTTGGAGCGTCTGTCTGGAGTAAAGATGTTTCTCGTGCTCGACGAATGGCTGAACAATTGGAAGCGGGGAGTATTTGGGTGAACACGCATTTCGAAGTTGCGCCTAATGTTCCGTTTGGGGGACATAAACACAGCGGTATTGGCATGGATTGGGGAGAGGTTGGTCTTAAGGGCTGGTGTAATCCTCAGGCTTACTGGGTGAAGCATTCTGGGTGATGAAATAGATATTATGAGAGGAGGTCTATAGCTAAGTACACGATTAAACAAGATCCTGATCACTGACTGACTGTCCCACTACTCGTCCTTCACCACCATAACAACAACCTTTCCCTTAGTTCGACCCGACTCAACTTTCTCCCAGGCCTCTTCAAAATCATCCAACCCAACCACGCTATCAATATGTGGCTTAAGTTGACCGGCCTCCAGGAGTTTAGTGATGATATTCAGATCCTTACCGACCGGATCAATGACGAAGAAGATACTATTGACATCCTTCTTGACATCTTCCGGACGATTCTGCTCTGGTGGAGCACAGACGCTGACAAGCGTTCCACCCTCCCGAACTGCATACCAAGCCTGAGCCAAAGAAGGCATACCGATACAATCGAAGACGAGGTCGAACTGTCGAGATGCGGGATCTTGGGCGACCCACTCTCCGATACTCTGCTTCTTGTAGTCAATCGTCTCAGTCGCACCAAGCTGTCGGACGAAATCAATGTTCTGTGTTCCAACAACTCCCGTGATAGTCTTGACTCCAGCGATGCGAGCTAGCTGTACAGCCCAACTACCGACTCCCCCAGCAGCACCGTTGATTAAAACCCGGATATTGCCGTTCTTCTCCCGCGCAGCTTCGTCGCCACTCAAAGCGTCTGGGTCCAACCCTCCCCTAGTGAACAATCCCTGGTATGCAGTAAGTGCACTAATAGGACTCGCCGCAGTCTCCACCCAAGTCAAATTCTTAGGCCTAATCGCAAGCTCAGAGACTCGTGCAAGAACATACTCAGCACCTGCACCAGGGCGGTTCGCTTCAATACGAGCATAGACCTCGTCGCCTGGCTTAAAACCGCAGTTGTCGGGTGCTGAGACGACTGTTCCCGCGAGGTCTTGGCCGGGAATGGGGATCTTGTCGCCGACGAACTCGGGTGCCCACAGGGCCCAGTCGAGTTCGCCCTTGCAGGGACAAGTAGCGTGGACTTTGACGAGGACGTCTTGAGGATGGGCTGGGATTGGGACGGGTTGTTGGGATGAGAGGGTGAGTTTGTGAGAATGCTTGTCGGGTTGGAGGATAGCTTTCATTGTCGCTGGGACATTAGATGATGCCATGTTGTAAGGAATAGAGTGTTGTAAGATATATTGCAATATTGTTGGATACACGAGACGATGTTTGATGTAATGAAATGATTGAGAATGACAACAGCGACATAGCAACATATAAATATTACGTTGTCTTACAAGAACTAATACTCAATATTTGACTATCTCCGTCTGATTCCGGAAACTGTATTTCTTCAACTGTCATTCCCGAAGTCAGTCAGCGAAGATCGCCACTAAACGGTTTCCCGTGTATCGATTACCCGGATACCCGATGTCAGCCTGCATGTCAAGCGACACCAAAAACCTGACCACGGAGCATTTGAGCCAATCATATGTTTTTAAAATACTCCTCGGAGAAGCACAATCGCCTGTTTGTCAGCTCGCGCTCGGCTTGGTAATAACTTTAAACGCGATGTTAACAACCGGATCGCTGATGCTATACAGGATTGACTTCGCAGTTGTGTTGGGAAGCTTGCCACTGCGCTTGATGTCATAAATCACGATGTGGACTGCGATAGTCCGTATGAGGTTATCCTGAAATTGACCTAAACAAAGTGTGTTTATTATACACTAACATAAACTAGATGTACCCGCGCCTTTTTAATTACACCTCTTCAAAGTCTCTCTATCGTCCAGGCCCTAATCCTCTCATCAGCCCCTCCCGTTTCCCCCTGACATATCGGTAAGCCTCATCCCAGTCGAAACACTGTCACTATTCCAAATGCGCTCCTCATCATCATCAGTGACCGAAGCAGCTGGCGCCGGGCTTGGATTCAGGTCAACGGTTCGTTCAGGTCTCTCAGCAAGACTACTCCTACCAAGAATGAACCGACCGAGCCATGGTAAGAACTCTTTGAGTTGGAAGCGAATTAAATCCCTCTTGGGCTGGTTGATTAGCTATAGCCGTTACTACTAATTATATTTCAGACATTGGGTAAGCCTTGGTTAGGTCACTTATTCTCAGACTATAATTATTACTAGTGAAAGCCAGTTTAAAGTGAATGTACTAAGCAGCCAGTCTGGCACAGCGAATATAACGTCGACCTTGCATATAACGATCTACTTATATAGCCCAATCTTTCTCTCATACCTCCAGCCTATTATATAATACCCTCGGCGCATTGCGATAAAACCTCTCCATCTCGTCTGAAGCATCTATCAAGGCGGCAGTACCAATGTTCCGAAATGCCTTGGCTGTCTCCTTCTCGCGTGGAAAGAAGCGTAAGAAAGCATCCATTACAGTCTCTCGCTGCTTTAGGCCACCCTCTCTACCCATCACAGCCTTTACCCGCTTCCACTTTCTTTGCTCGAGTATTTCCTCTTCTTCTAGATATACGGCTGCTGGCTCTGCACTCTTTCCTTGTACTGGAAACTGCACTATAGTCGGCTGGGCTTTTGAGAGCACCACAGTAAGCTTACTAGCCGACGTCTCAGGCGAAGGCATTCCCATCTTGAAGCCGACCAGATGCTCTACAGTTGTTTGCGAGCTGCTCTGGCTGAGAAGATCGCGCGAGTCGTTAGGCATTGGCCCCCAGAGGTTGCTGGGAACCCTATCCCTGATGGCTTCTTTCATCTGGAAATTGACTCGCTGGCTACTGTCTCCGGCCTTGTCACCACGATAGACGCGGACCTCGAGACTAGAGAAGATTGGACTTGTCTCGTTCTCGTTCATCTGCATAGGACGGCTTAGAATCTTCGAGGCATGGTCTTTTGCCTGGTCCGTGTCGTCGTTGCCGAGTATGGCGGACGAGATGGGCGCACAACTGCGAACCGTGAACATGAAGTCGTAGCCTCGGACTATCCAGTGCTGTGACTCTCCGTCATTACTGGTATCTTCTTTGTTGTCCTTGACGGAGAGCAAGCCACTGACCGAAGCCATCACATGCGCCTTATTCTGCTGGGTTCTGTCGGCGGATCTCTCCCGAACTAGGTCCTCAAACTGGTTTAGGGTGAGCTTCGGAGGTGGCCCACTACCGTCACCAGCACCGAAGTCGACGTCGAAGCTGAAGAATGCAACGTGGAGGGTGACTGTCCCACCAAGCGGCGGGCCGTGGAGCCGAAGCTTAGCAGTCAGCTCAGCGCTCTTCTTGAAAGTAAAACACCACTTGCGGAGCTCATACGAGACCCCGGCGAAAACTTCCATTTCTGCCATGTAGTGCAGGGGAGCCAAGGTGACGAGGAAGTCGGCATGTGCATCAAAGGTTGCCTCTACACCTCCCGACTTGTACGCCGCGTGCAACAGACCACCAGCCATGATGGCATTAGGTGTCACCGCAACGTAACCCTGACCTGTCACGCTGATCTTGTCTGAGACTGACCAGTTGATTTGCATCCTAGCGGGGTTCGGATAGTGGTCGGGTCGCAAAAAGGCGGGGTGGAACCCGCCAAATGACACGACCCAGTCACCTCGATGAGGATTATCACTCCCAAACCAACTACGGATCGCGAACTCGCCAGAAGGGATGCAGCTATGGTGCAGAATGAATGAGGTCGGTTCGATTGCGCCATTAACAACCAGCTCGCCATGCACCAAGTCCAGGTTGCCGGCTATCGACAGGTCGATGGCCATGAGTGCCTTATCACGAGAGGCACCTCGAGGAAGACCGACTGAGGCACGCGCGAGGAGTCCCAGGTCCTTCTTATCTGGGCCGATACTTAGAGTTGCAACGGCACGAATGTCCATCGTTTGGCACGCTCGGATCTTCAAGCCAGCAGCCATCCAGAGCGACCCGATACTGGGGGTGACCCAGCCTTCTTTACGCAGTGCCACCATGTTCGAGTGGAAGTCCGGCCCGAGGTCTTTCAGCAGGGGATAATTGATCAGCTCATCTCCTCCTCCTAGAGGCAGTCGTAACATCGAGTTGTATCCGAACCCGGCGACGAGGCCACGAATTTCCGCCCAGCCCACAGTGAAGAGAGTCCCCTCCACCATAGCATAGACGAAGACGCTGTTGTAGGCTGGGAAAGGGGGCTTAGCATTCAGTTTCTGGTACATACCATACGCCCCGATCGAGAACTGGGTGAGGGAAATGGCAATATCGCCTGCAAACATCTCTCCTTCTTCGTCCTTACTGTGTTCCAGCCCTCCAGCGATGAGAATCGGAGCCCGGTCAAAGGCAACGTTGATTCCAGATATGGAAACCGTCAGAGCCTTTTCTACCTTAGAGATGGACGCACTCGCGTCCGAGATAAGCTTGTCCAAGCTCCCAAGCTGCTTAAGATCGAGCTTAACGGTAAGACCCTGAACTCCAGCAGATATGGGACCAATGGCAACATCAGCGTCGAGATGGACACTGAGCACATCATTGTCACTATCGAAAGAGACACCGACCCCAGACATATTAAGTCCCCCTCGCTTCTTCTTGATCGGTTTCATAGGACCAGCATCGGCTGGTGGAGCCTTTTGGTCTGCAGCAACGATCTGGTCTTGTCCAACAACCCCAGGCCCTGGCGCTGGCTTCTTCTCTCGTGTGAATGGATGATCGACCCAAACCTCTTTGTCCCCTACCAAACGGAAGTGAAAGCCCTTGGAGAGAGGGGCTTCATCAGGAGAACGACGAATCTTTGTCGTGGTGTCTGTAGAGAAACCTGCGCCCGCCTCTAATGCGGTAAGTTCCGTATTGGAAAAGTTCTCACTGGCCCAGACAAACTCTAGCTGGTCAAAAGGGAGTGAGACAGAGCCAACGAGAGGTACGTCGGCGGTGGATGGTAGAGGACCCAGCGACACAATGACTAGCCTCTTTGCAGGTAAGATCTCCTGATCCTTGTCTTTCTTTTCCTGCCTGAGCTGTCCCATTTGGACATGCAGCTTTCCAATGCTGAGAACCACTCCAAATGCACTCGATGAGCAGTTCAACTGAACATGGTCGTGATCGGGTTCAAAATCCGGGAGAGTAATATCTCGGACAAAGTCGGGCAGTATAGCGGCGACGTCACCCCCAAGAAGTCTTCCTAGCGTATCTCCAAGAGTTTCGGGTTTTTTATCCAGCACATCGGCGACAATGCTTTTCTCCACAGTGGCTTGAAGCATCCAGTCTGGCTTTTCTGAGCGGTTATACTCAATGGATGTAGTCACACCCGCAATTGTCATGGATCCGCCAAGTCTGAGTTTAGAGACAGAGGCTCCAGCGTATGTATAGTCAATAAATATCTCGTCAAGGTGTATCTGGCTGAGCATTTGCATGGCTGCGTCCCTCTCTGGGCCTTCGGCAAATATTGATGAGAGACTTATCATCGGAACATCTGTAGCCTTGGCACTAAAAGACCAGGCGCCACTCCTATACCCAATGGCTGCCTGAATAACACAGGGAGGGTCATCTGTAGCATACTCTGAGCGTTTTAATGTGATCATTCCCCAGAGATCGAACGAAGCCTGGGTGGCTCCACTTGAATAATCCAGATTTGCCTCTATCTGAAGCTCGGTTCGGTCAACCAGTAGAATGGGCACCTTTGAAGCTTCAGTGGGACTAGGAGGCTTGATCGCAGAAGCCAGGTGGCCTGATATTCGGGTCGCTTTGTTTGACACATAGAGCTCACACTGTGTGATCTCGCTCGGAATACCATATGGAATATTGATCTCCGTAGACGGATCGATGAATCTCAACGACATGAAAGGAGCTGCGTTTGGACTCAAGGGTATCGTAGAGTCCCAAACCTCGTGATCAATCATGTAACCGTCGAGAGCCGGATCGTCTGGGCCTATTGCCGCCGGTATGAATGTACCCTGAAACTCATATAAGCCAGGATTCCAAGACAGGCTCAATTCAAACATGGCGTGCTGCCCTTTCTGAACAAGATAGGGCATGCTGGCCTTGAAACTGACAGATGCCCCGAGGAGATCCCTGTCCTTGCTGACTGTGAGTGCAAGTCTATGGAATGAGATGCCATCTAGATCCTCCGCTGCTTCGGTCTTGCTTGCCATGGCGGAACTGCTTTCGTCATTCTTCGACCCACGGTTGCTAACAAGCACCGCTAGATCTTCTTCAAGAGAGAGAAGTGCATCGACAAGATCGTCAAACTGTTTTTCCAGCCACTTCCTCACTGAGGACCAGGTCACACCTTTAGAAAGAACTGTGATGACCATCCTGTCTGACAATAGCGAGAAGTACAGGCCCAAGCTCTTTGGACTTCCGACATCGAACTCCGTCCACAATGTCACCTCACTGGTACCATCAATGTAGGTGTTGCCGTGTTCGATAACTGGGGCCGCTGTCCGTTTGAAGACAATATTGAGATCTGGAAGGTCCAATTGAGAGCTGAGTCCAGGTAAACACTGAACAATCATTTCTCCAAGTTTGCCTAGTGACGCCTTGGGTTCCAGGTGAAGCGACCCACCAAGCCTCAGTACGCTGGTGTAATCCTGAGCTGGCAAGTACCAAAATCCGTTCCTGGGGGGAAACTCGCCAGAACTCTGGGTCAGTTGAACCTTAACCCCAGAACCTAGCGCAGTCAACCATATACCAAGATCCATGTCGAAGAGATCTAAGAAGTCGCTAAGGTTGTCAAACCCTCCCATACGGGAGCCTGTTTCCAGTCCGAGAAGTAGGTGTCCCGGTAGGCGCTCGAATCCCGTCATCTTGGCGCGAGCAGATGGATTCATTTCTCGCTCGAACTGCTGGTTGAGGAATTCTTTCTGGGCAGAAAAGGTAAGGGGCTGCTGGTCCTCACTCCGCTTTATGTACAAGCGCACGTTATCAAGACTCACAGCGAGCAGACCATCTCTAGCTGTGCGCTGGCAGCGTATCTCAATCCCAGAAACATAAGAGCCCTCAACATCAGACTTATTCCAGCAAGCCTGTAGAACTTCGAGCGTGATGTCGTTCTCGCCGAGAGAAATCAAGTCAGAACCAATCTGAGCGCGTTGCCCGAAGCAAATGGGACCTGCCCAGGCCAAGAAGTCCCATGCTGCGGTCGTTTCGTCGAGGACGGCAAAGATCTTACCCGGCATGTCCCTATTCAAGGGTTTAAGAAGTTCTTTACTTGCTACAAGACCGTCGATAGATACAGGCACTGTCCCATCTTTGCCAGCTGCAACTTGTGGTTGCTTCTGTGCTAACCGCTGCGTTTTTCTCTGTGGAGACACCAAGTCAGTCATATTTGTGGCCACGTTCTGTCAAGGTGTAATGTAGCATCGCAAACATACCTCTTTCAAGACAGACTCAGAAGCAGTCAGCGAGGAAGAAACAGCGGTCAGGTTGGTTTTGCTCTCGCTGAACTCAACCTCCCCCAGGTCATCGAAGTTCATTTCCAGGGCCAGGCTATCAAGGTCAGGTGTGTCTGACTCCCAAGTATACCGGTCTCCCAGGACTTTAGAGGCCACCCTCACTATATCACTTGGCTGGTTCTCTAGGAGAGAAACTGATTCTTCGGATAAGTCGACCACGACACGTTCGTCCCCGCTCGCTCCTGTACCTGATAGCTTTACCAGCTTTACCAGCCTTTGTACGGGCTTATCCTTCCAGTCTGTTTCAGGCTCCCCTGAGTCTGTCAAAAGCCTAGCCTTCCTCTTCTTGGTATTGGAGTTCTGAGGCGGCTCTTCTTCTTCTTCTTGTTGTCCTTCTCCTTCCATATCTTCACCATTGCCACCTAGGAGCCGAACTTTAACGACCTTTTTCTTCGTGCTGGGAGGTAGGCGCGTCTTGGCCTTTAGGAGCTCCAGCTCTGCCTTACTGTATTTTCTCACCGTTCGGCGCAAGACCGTCCAGCCGGACGATTTGCTCACCGGTAATGCCCTGCCGTCGAATCTTTCCTCTGACGAAGCGTGAAGACGTATATATAAAAGACCTCTATCGGTCTCTTTGGAGTTCTTCTGGTAGTCCATGACCTGGGAAACCTCGATCCAGATTTGCCGCATGTAGTGAGCCAGTGCAGTTCGCTGCAGGCCGAGTTCCTTCTCGACTCTCCAGAAGCAAGTTTTCACTTCAGCCTCAGCTTTCTCCTTCAGTTCTTTGTCCTTCTTCGACCTGGGTGCTCGTGGGAAACCCTTAAGCCTTTTCTTGGCCTCCTCAAGATCCTTTTGGTTGTCCTTAAGGGATTTCGTGACAAATTTGCTGAACATGCAATCAATTCCGTTCACGACCGAGGCCCGAGTCCACAGATGCAGAGCAAGGTCCTTGGGCAATTGAACCTTTGCCTGCTCGAGGCCCTCTTCAAACTCCTTCTTCTCGCCGTAGATCGCCTGCTCCTCGGTTCCCCCATAAATTTCTTTGAATGCTTCTATCCAGTCTTTCCGAACACTCGTGTAACTATTCAGGTTCATATCGACAGATCTGAGATGCTTAGGTTTCGACTGTAGCCCGAAAGGCATATAATAAGGGAACTGCAGGTTGTAGAGTGGCCGCTCTTGTACACGGGCTGCTCGACCAACTTTGGCTATCTCGCTTTTCGGAGGTGAGCTCTGTCAGCAAAATATCCTAATAGGGCTTATCGGAAGCTGATGTGCAAAGGCTGGTGAGGGTATTGGGTTACTGGTTTGGTCGTACCTTCTATAATACGTTGCAAGTAGTGCCACGGTTTGCCAACCTGTAATTTGGTCAAATTAGGTCACTGCTGAGAAAGAAATACAAGGTTAAAGCAGGGGCTTCAGCGTACTGGGATGTCCATGGGACTGGCCCGCGGAGATAATGAACTTGGATGGTCGGGCAGCTTTGACGAGTTCCACAGGCGTTGAACTACGGGCCCCATGGTGAGAGGCCTTCATCACCTCAATTGGCCAGTATTCAGGAGGGCCTTGATTGTTTCCGCCCTTGTCCTTGCGGATGAAGTTCACGATCAACTTCTCAGTGACAGCATGAGCGTCTCCTCCACACAAGTGGGAGATACGTATCCCATCAGCCGTCTTCCATATGATCATGGCCATTATAGAGACGTAATTGTCAGGCGTGCAATGTGCTTTCGGTGGGTCGGCTGCAGTTTTGGAACCAAATGCAAAGCCGTTTGACCCAATGCAAATAAATACAGGTCTCTTGTTGTCGAACGGTGGGTCGTCATCTTGACGCCTTTGCATATAACCTTCCAATACGCTCTGGGCGTTGTGTTTCCCATCAGTCCACCAACGGCCAACTGACTTCTTAGGACTGACTTGATTCCCAGTAAACAGGTCGACTCCAATCAGGGACTGTTCACCATGGACCACCTTGAGAAGAGGCGCCGACTTGGACCAATTCTTTTGGTCGGTTTTCACCTTGAGGTCCAAGGGCCAGATACTACTGTCCGTCAGCCAAATACAGGGCTTGCCGTCGTCGATAAAGAGATTTGGAGCCCCTCGTGCCATGCCAGCCTTTGTTGGTCGCAGCCAGACGGGGCAGTAGAGGATACTATTGCATGCATAGTCTTTGCCATATTTGAAGTATGAGCAGATCCGTTCTGCGGCTGGCATGGTTTTCTCGTCATTCCATCGTTGGAATACGTCATCCCGGAACATTGTTAGAGTACCACAGTAGTGATCTCGGTCCCAATGTGTGACAATCCAGGCATCGAAGATGAGCTGAGAGTTTTTGCTCGTCTTTCCGTCACGTACGGGGGTTTCTTCGATGTCATCGGGGACATACTTGAAAGTGTACTCCGACTCAATTTTACTAATCGCTCTTTCGATAGCCTCACGAGACTTTTTCCCATGGTAGCCTGGTCCATCGTCGTCGTGGCCTCCGTCGAAGATGAGGGCTGCGTGGACTTCCCCTTGGCCTTTACCTTTCGTAGCGGACCTATTCGTCGGCAAATCGTTCCCGGTGAGCTCAACGATCCGACGGAACATGGGTCTCCTGAATACAGGCACATCTCTGTTCTTTCTTTTCCTCTTGGCTGGGTCTGGAACTTTAAACTCCTGCCCTTCCGTATACCTCACAGCATGCTTGACAAGCAGATGGATAGCGCAGTCTCCGAGAGGGACGCCGATCTGAAATGTATGGACTTCCCAATCGTTACGAAGTCGCGATTTCGCAGGACTGGCAGCCATAGTTAAGCTGTTATTACTGTCTTGTTTCTTGCTTTGCAGCCTCACGGATAACATGTCGGCCGCCTATATGGAGATTTCCTAAAGAATCTAGCATCACAGACTGTGCGAATTTGCGAGGCGTAAACTGTGTGAGCTACAAGTGTCGGAGAACAATCTCCGATAGTGCCAGGAGAAATGTGACAGATCTTTTGGGTAGGTCTCAACATCGTTCGATACGTACTGCACTCACCTATGCATCCATCCATTGAATAATGCGTTGGCTTGCGGGGCAGCGGGGTTTGTCTGTCTCTAAACTCTAACAAGACATACATATCAATATTCTTCGTTAGCCGCATTTACGTCCTGCTTCTATTGGCTTGGCTGCGGGGACAAAAGTGACACTTCATCATACCGATGTGCTAAAGTCCACAAATGGAAAAACATATTTACGAATAGCGAATCCGGCGCACCCACAAGTTAAAAAGCCATGAGCATTTGACTAGCACCGAGCTTCCGGTTATCCCTATCTCGATTTTGCTGTGACCAACCTTATCTGTCCAATATAAAAAGAGACTCAGACACTAACATATGTTTCAGGAAGGTCGCCGGAAAACATTCCTAACTTCGGCCAGTTGCGCATGATCGCAGACGCAAGTCGGCTGAAATGACAACGTATTGTATGGTTTATTTCAGCTTGCCCGTAAATTGACCAATAATAGGCAAATGCGGTAGTCACAGCACCTCCTCATATGCACCTTTGGCGTTCATCACATTGCAAAAGGTGATAGTCAAGGTGATAGGACGCCACAGCGGGACGCGACTATCATATCACAGTCACCGTAATTTCAACCGCACGTTTCTGTGAGACACATTTACATCCTTGCATAATAATATGAGGAGCGCACAGATGCACTCCGGTGCTCCCCGATGCCTTTTCCATTCATCTACTCTTTGATAACCGTCCAAGTATCAATGACCTCATGGTCGCCAACTTCATCGTGGAACTTCTCTATTGAATGAATTACGCCATCCCTTCCCGGCACACCGTTGATGCAACAGCCGATCAGCTGAAAGCTAGCGTCGAAACTTGCTCCGCCCGTAACGATTGTACCCCGCGGCCTCAGCAGCACGGTAAGCTTTGCATCCGAAATGTAGCTGGCGCAAATCCACTCACGGCTGATCCCAACCATCTTGGCAGATGGCGTGGGGGACTCAGGAGCGAGGAGGTCTGCAGCACCTTCCCCAATCGGTATGATGAAGGTGAGGGAGATAAACGAGACACGGTCCGTGATACGCTCGGTCCCCCGTACTTTGAACATCAGATCATGGAGAGGCCCTGATCTAGCGGGAATGTTCATCCCCGGGAAGCTTAGCGCGTAGACGGTCTTAGAGAGGTACGAGTGCCCATCAGGGCTCGTGTGCGTGCCAGCACGACCTTTGGGGTTATCTGCCGCAGGTCCGTGACTGGTGTCACTATTTTGGTCGGGGAACAGTTGCCGAGTACCTGAGCTGCGGCCTGGCGGGATAGAGAAAGGGATCTTAAGCGAACTTGGCCGGTCCTGAAGGTGTACCGCGAGGTACAGGGACTCGGAGTCGTTGCTCAGCTCTTGGAACTCATCCTTGAGAGTCTCCTTGGCAATTTCCTTGCTTGCTTTGGCAATCGTAGATGGATATAAGATCCCCGTCGTCCAGTCCATGATCGGTTCGTTGACGGTGGGGATGCTCGAAGGTTTGTCCTTCTCCCATGTCTTGTCGATGGCGGGCTGTGATGGGGTTCCCTCGGCATGGGTCTTGCGGAAAGAATCAACGTCAAACCTCAGCGTTACTTGCCCTGCGGCTAGTTTGGTGACCCCGAAGCACTGCTGGTGCGGCGGTTGACTAATGGTAACGTCAACTGTTCCCGCAGTAAGATCCAGCCCGGGATCAACGAAGCATAGCATCATATCCCCTTGACGAACCTGCTGCCATATGGCCCCTTGTGAAATGCTTATAGAGAGCTCCGGAAAGGCCTCCACAAGCGCTGAACGTAGAACAAAGCCCTGACGGGCAATCTTCAGGTTGGCGACTGGCTTGGCCACGATGTACTTATTGATGGCAAGACGAATAACGTCGCGAACAGCGTCTTGCGTTCCGCCCATGGCGTTTCCGACACTCAAGGCTCCATCAACAAGGGCATCAATCCACACATCATCTATGTAGAATGTGCTGATAAACTCAGGTGCGATAGCCGCGGGCTCGGGAAACATGGTTAGAGCTGGTATGAGGGACATAGTGAAAATGTGTTTCTCTATCCATGAAATCACCTCGTCCAGACCACCAACTGCACTGCCCAATGTACTGGTCGGGTCTATGGCCAGGGCTTCCGCAACCGGAGCGAGCCACGTGTTACCGCAGTCTTTGAGGCTCCGAATAAGCTTGGCCGTCGACATCGTAGCGGGTGGTACAGATGCCGACTGCGTTGGATTCGTTGTTGAATGCCAACGACACTTTCCCTGCGCAGGTGCAGATTTTAGTCCGTCAAGGCCATTAGGACTAAATAAAGCCTCAAGCTGTTGAACTAGATTCTGTGTGACCTGATCGGTATCTGGCGAAATGATTGGCGCATTTTCTGCACGTGACGTTGCCTTTAGCATGATATTCCTGCGTAGCCTGGCCAAAGGAATTGAGAATCGCGGCGTTCTTGCGGCTAATGAACGCCCGAGATCCCATGCTATGTTGTACGAGACGTCTGGGATACGAGTGTGGGCGTCCAAAATCTGCAGGTCAGTGCCATACATAGACGGATGAATGCCGGGACTGGCAGACGGTGTCTGGGGCACCAATGGTCCCCGATATATGGCCATGGACACTTTTCCAGTTATTGATCGGTATCTCAAGATTGTGTAGCCGTCCTCCATTCGCTTCTTCATCCATTTTGAGGTGGCTTCTTCCTCAGCCAATGCTCGTTTTTCCTCATCAGTCTGGGGTACTTCGGGGGCTTCTGCACTAGTGGCATGGGCCTCCAGTTTGAGCGCCAGTGGCCCAACTTTGTTCTGCTCAAACGATTTGAAGATATCTTTCCCCAAGTCCTCGAGTTTTGTCGGTATCGCGCCCCATTGATAGACCCATGAATGCAAGGAAACAAGAGGAAACACTTCGTCCAATTTGTCGTCTGTTGGATAATTGATCTGTTCGACTCTTTCTAACGATACGAGATGGGCGTATACCTTTGTTTCGGTACCGCCTTCTATGGGATTGCGAAGTCTATGAGCCAGTACCACGCTCACTTTGGTCGGAGATGAATCCTGTGGATTGTTGACATGTACCAAATACTTGTACCGGCTTATGTCTGGACGATCCTGAGGTTTGGTCTCTGCCGGTTTTCCATCGATGCTTGAGGGTGTTTCTTGTCGCATGAAGTAGGCTTTGAAGATGGACGACTTGAGGAAAATGAACTGCGCGACGTCTGATCCCGGATTCTCGGGCAAAGAGTGCCGACCAGGAAACGCATTCGCTACCATATTAAGCGGTAGCTGCAAGGCTGCTGATGCGTTCTGCTTGTACGAGGAGAATTCAGGGACGGCAACGAGTTCCTCTTCGGTGAACAAGAGTAGTGCAAGCCAAGGTAGAGGCGCTTCTCCAGCGGCTGGACTCTGAGCGACCGGCCTCTCCCACGATATGGAACCATTCAAGACGACATGAGGCAGCGTTTCCGCAGGTACCGTCTGTAGGCGGGGCGGGTAGAATGAGTGAAGAACCCCAGATGGTATCGTATACGGTGGTGTCGCAGCTATCGTAAACTTTTGCTCGGTTTTCCACGGTTGAGACGTTTCATTGCCGGCTGCCAGAGTTTGGGAAGCTTCGGCAATATAGTCTCCAGGACCTACGGCAGACTTTTCATAGGCGACCAGCGTGGATTTGTCGGAAGCCATGATATTTGTTACGGCGAGAAGAATTAATGATCGCAAAATATTGTGTATTTTCTCCAGCTGGTAATGCTCAACGAGGATATGGTAGTGGAGATTCCGCCCAATTAACTGAGCTAGCTACTGGCACCCGGGTTCGTCGTAAGCTCCAATATCCTTGGTAGCCGGTACGTACCTGCGGACCGACTAAGTTAGTACCCGTACAGTGTGATTAAGAGTCTGCTGTGCTTCCTCCATGAGTGGGGGTGGACTGAAACGCCATCAGATGGGGTAGTCTGTAGTGCCCTCCACTGGAATCAGGCTTGGACGCCGAAAGCTGAGGACCGCACCATCTGTCCTTGTTTTTATTTCTTTCTTGTATAGCCCTCTTACTAGAGCGCAATTAAGTGGTAAACCTGAACCTGAAGTACTGTCGTTGCTCTGGATTGACGCTTACCTCCTATAAGCCACGCCCTAGAACTATCAGGCTTTCGCTCAACAAGAAGAGAATATCTTCCAACCCTACAGGTCTGACAAGTCACGTTGCAATTCACTAAGAAGAGGATACCAGAACTGCTTCAAAGGACAAACTGAGCAGTTATCAACATGTCTACACCTTCTCAAGAACCGAAAGACCCCGCCGCCCCGGCCAATTCCGACGGCACTGACGTCCACGCTGAACCAGCACCAGAACCAGCACCAGAACCAGCACCAGAACCAGCACCAGTTCCAGTTCCTGTTCCAGTTCCAGTTCCAGCTCCAGCACCATCACCAGCACCATCACCAGCTCCAGCGCCACAAGAGCCTGGGATTACATGTGTTCAAACAAAACTCCAAGCTTTTGTCTTAAACGAGCACATATTTAAAGATGAGAGATACCGCATCGCACCACTGAGCCTTCCTGATCACTCAGCCTTTCTTGACGGACCTTTCTCTGACCCTGATGCCGTTCCGCATATTGATTTACACGCTGCTTATCCCTGGCAACAAAACACCCGCATCTCCGACATCACTGTTACGCCATCTGAGCAAGCCGAGACGCCAGAACAGCTTGACGAAAGACGTCTACGTAAAGACCGGCTCGGGGTGTACTTGCACTGGTGCCTTCCAAAATGCTTCCGGCAGGGAAAGGCTAGAAATAGTAAAGACAAAGATAGTGGAAATGCCGAAGTTGAGGTATGTTCAAGTTATTGCGGCCAAGGCGATATGCTTTTGAATCCCCGTGAGACTAACCGCATAGTAACACAGCATGCTGCGGCGCCGGATAGATGGATTGTATTCCGGTTCATCACAACAGCAAGTACGGAGGGTACGGATTCCTCGTCGCCTGTCCCCGTCTTAACTGCTTTTATGGTTGAGAGCAATCGCATCAGGCGGCTCGGCGATCTTGACAGTGACGTTTGGGGTCGGCCCTTGGACATAGAAACCGAGACAGCCCCCTTTATTGACAATCGCTATCCAGTGGAAGAGCAGGCCAACGTGTTCCTCGGCATCAAACTCCTGTTTGACGACTCTTGGGACGACGAAGATCATCACCCAAACGCTCAATATCACCAGCCTCTTACATTGTTGAGCTCGGCAAATCCCCTCTTTGCGGACTTCCAACACCATAACGCGAATGTGTTTTCGATCCATGACGACCTCTCGTGGAAGGGCCAAGACGGGAAGATTGTCACGGCGGTCCAGGCTAAGGTCTCATATGCCGTGTTCGGCTACTTTGCTCCTCGGGATCAGCATGAAATGCTGGTGTGTCATGGATCGCTGCTTGATGTTGTGTGGGATAAGCACCAGAAGCCAAAGATTATTGAGGCTCTTGACCAAGTTGAGGAATTTAAGAAGAACCAGCCGATAGCTCTGGGTAAGGACAATCTCGATGCCGTCGAAGCGTATCTTCGCTCTCAATCTTCAACCGTCAACTGGACTGGTTTACTAAGCGATATGAAATACGTTGTTGGCCAGACTGGGCGTGGAGGGCCAGTTGATGCTCATGTGGAGCAGGAAGTTCGGGCCGGGTTCAAACCCATCGATGGCGGAAAGAGATGGCGCTTCCAGGATACCAACAAGCTACCTGCTATCCAGGAGAAGGTTCCAAATCCCCAGAGGCCGAGTGACCATGACCTGGAGGTGATATCCAACCTCGATAGGCTGCAGGCGTTCCAGGATGCATTGGACCGGCAAGAAAGACATCTGAGGCACGTGCTGTTCTGTGAATGGTGGAAGAAACGGGCACAACGGCCCGGCAGCATCTCTTCGCAGCAAGCATGTCAGGAGGAAGGAGCAAAACGGCTCAGCTTGGCTTTCAAGGGTCTTGGGAGAATCGCAGATTTACGCAAAGTTCACCAAATCAAGGATGCCGCCGTCCAAGACCCGAGGTTACAGGCGACTGCTCGTCCCCAGTTCTTTAGCCACCTTAATCCAACTGTAGTTATCGGCGGCACTGGCTCAGCTTGGCCCTCCGACTTTGACAAGCCATCTAAGGTCCGCGACTATGAAAAGCTGCCTTTGCGGACAAGCTGTGGCAAAACTTGGGTCAGGAACTGGCTCCAGAAGATTGCAAAAAACAAAGACTTGGATTTCAGCCAGGAAATGGATTCATTCTTCAAGAAGATCACAGGATCTGATATTGATGAAGAAGTTCTCACGAAGAACCTGTCGATAAAGCAGCTACCTGATTTCTTCCGTCAGCTCGCAAACTTGCACCCTTTGAGATGGAAGGTCCCTGGGTGGGTCCAAGACGCGGTTGAGGCATTGTGTGAGGAATGGGCGTATTCCATGGACTCAGAAAACAAGTTCAATTGCGATGACCATTGTCCCCAGTACACAGACATCTCCTGGCGAGAGACGCAGCCCTGGAGTCCTCTCTTCATTGAATGGGAAATCGAGTACTATCATATACCTCGACGATTTTGGTCACTGCAGAGGTCTCCAGACGGTACAGCGGCCTATCAACTCGTTCCTGGTGCAAACCTCTCATCTTACGATAACTGGGAACGCCATCGGCGGGTGATACGCGGCCGAACCCTCCTGAATCCACACGCAGGTCAGAGCATTGTCGCGCTTCTCGGACAGATGTTCGACAAGGTGGACCCTGGAAAGCTCGGCAAACTAACTGAAGGTGAAAAGTGGAAAGACTCTCGAAAAGAAATGCTTCGACAAGCCCTGAATGGGATGAACCTACTCTCTGGGTCACTCGGAATGCTTTCTGACCATCTTTTGACCCTTAATCAAGGCACTCATATCATGCCATATGACAAAAGCACGAACTTAGGACCTGGAGAAGGTGATAGAAGAGTGGCAGTTCCTCCAAGGACGGAAGATGTGTCGATTAGCTCGTCTAGCATTCTGGATCACTTGCTCACGTCTGCCGAAGGGTTTGATGTGACGCCGTACGGAGAATCTACCTTCTCTGACCCCCAAGCTGGTCGGGACTTCAAGCCAGTTACTCACGGTCAGGGCCGGTTTACCAGGTTCCAACTCGTGGATAGATTTGGACAGGTGATAACCCCCATGGCGACGGAGGAAGCCGCATTGTACCCGTGTCTCGGTCCTACCTTAGCTTGTGGACAGAACTCAGCAGAGGGAGAGGGCTTTGCTGACTCTGTAGATCTGGACCCCAAGGACTCATCACAGTACTTCCAACTGGGACACCGTATCAATCAAGATGCAAGACTAAACACCAATTTCGTCGTGAATCCCGACGAAGCGGACTCAAATTCCGTTTCGACGAGGTGGTTCAAAGGTGGTCCCAAGGCACTAGGGGTAGACGATGGCAGTTCGAAGCGCATTTGGCGAGCCGTCACTGAGTACGAGAACCCTGTGTGGGGTTGGCTAGTCGTTGACTACCGAGACCGAGGGATTCAGGTCTACGACCCTAACGGCGAGCTCAGGGGAGAGGCCCTACTTCCCGGCACCCTCAACGGGAAAGTATACTGGCAAGTATACTATTTCGTGGAGAACAAGTCAACAGCCAACAACAGTCAGCTTCAACAGCTATTAGACGCACTATCAGACTCCAGGTTTCTTTTTGGCATGTGGAGCTCGCTCTCGGAAGCGTCTCAGCACATCATCCACAGCCCTTCCGCCTACGACAGTCAATTGCTAAATCTCGTTGGGCGGCCAATGGCCCTAGTCAACATCGGCGTCTCCCTGGAGCTAGCTACAGCACCTCTGCAGACGCAGAGTTACCACGACCTATTTAAACCGCAGGAGTCGCAGTTGGAAGACTATAGTTTCGAGGTGCTTATGGGGGATAAGTCTAATTTGCACGACGGGATGGTTGGTTACTTCTATCTTCCTCCTCAGGAGGCCAAGGGAGCCATGGACTGCATCTACACAGAGTTCGGTTACCCAGAACGCCGGCCCATAGACGCCGAGACGAAGCAGGACAGGTTCGCGAAGCCTTCCACGCGGCCCATTTATGTGAAGCCGTGCTTTGTCGACCCAACAGATCCAGCTTCTGATGACCCTGAAAAGTATTTCAAGGCTTGGGCCAGTGAGGACAACACGACCGTCGTCGGTGCTATCATCGACCCATTCCAGCCCATCCACTTCGCTTCGGGCATCTTGCCCCTCTCAACGCTCACCCTGCCACCTTGGATCGTCGACGACGCTCTTAAGAAGATGCGTATGCTTTTCCGCGGTGGGCCGCTCATGCTCCAAGCCGACTTACCCCAGGGCAAAGAGGGCGAAGAATTCAATCCTCTCAAAGAAACGACGTTGGAGGTCGGCGTTCCCCCTGTCACAGACGACGGGAACTGGTCCTGGTTGCAGCCTATTTATGAGCCTGGCTACCAGACCCGTCTCGCACCGTATAATCTCAAGTCTGTGGCGGCAGACTACCCTCTAATGGAGGGACCGCATACCTGCCTAGAGGGGTTCTATAAGTTTGGCTTGAGGGAAACAGAGGAGGACGTAAACTTGCTCACGGACAGGCCCCTCCTGGATAAACGTTTGACTGCATTGAATGAAGGTCGAGAGAAGAAGGTCAAGCTTAGGGGCACAAAGATCAAAAAGGCTAAGACTTTAAGATTTTATTAGGGAACTGTTAACTTGAATCAAGCTTAGTAGTAGCTACTTTAGTTACTGATAGAAATAGGAAGCAGATTTAAAGTAATAGTAGTAAGCTATAAAAAACACTGCTTAGAACTATAATCTAGTAAGAATAGTAAGAATTAATAAAATCATTAGTAACTAAAAGCGATTAATATTCCGATAAGTATATACTTAAGATGCTAAGTATATGCATGGCTCAGAATAGTTAAAAGCTATACTAAATGCAATCTGATAATAACTAGAGCGAGTTAACCCCAGGAGAATTACTATCGACAGTCACTACCAGAATGCAATAAACTTAGTCTCAATACTCTCCCTCACTTCCTCCTTCTCACTTCCCGGCAGATGAAACGAACAATGATGAACCCCTCCCGCTATGTCACTCCCGTCCTTCTCACTCTCAGTATCCATAATCTTCATAAGCAGAACCTCATCCGGAGTCTGGTCGCTGATCCAGTACCACTTGTGCTTTGGATTAGCCCTGGTCAGGAGGACATCCGACTCGAATGTCCCATGCACCCCCGGCGGGTTTCGCCAGAAGCTAACGCCGTCTTCCTCATCAGCCGTCCAGTAGTCAACAAAGGCCATTGGATCCCGCTTCACAGGTTTGAGTGGACGCCAAGTGGTATACAAAGCCCACCGTCTGCCTTGGTAGTTCTTCGCTCTTCCGCCAGGCAGCTCAGCAGCCTCATCGCCAGCCTTGATAATATCACCAGCCTCGTCAATGAGCTCTTGGCTCCAGTTGCGAAGGGTGTTCCATGCGCCGGATGGACCCCAGTCCTTATGAGGCTTACGTACTGGGCCCTCCTCTTCGCCCTTTTGAAAGCCTTTTGCCCTTGTGGTAGGCAGCTCGTGCTGGGCTTGAACAGTTTGACCGGCTCCCCCTTCCTTGCCGCCCTTGGAGGGCATGGGGTAGGGAGGCGCGAGCTCTGGCTCCTTGAATGGAACATTACGAGACGAAGCAAGCAGGATCATGACCTTTTTGGCTCCAGTGACAGACTTTGCCAGTTCAATGATCTCAGGGTCATACACTTCCTTGCGGACGACTGGGTCTGTCCACGACGAGTGATCGTACGCGGGAGAGCTGACCGCTGATACGTGCTTGACGACCTGGAAGCCATTGCCATCTAGGGTAAATGACGAGACTGAAGGGCGGATATCAGTCACTGCTACGACTTGCTGGGTGCAATCTTCAAGCGTAGTGACGCCAGCGATCGGGGAGGTTGGAAGAGCTGGTCCGCTATGGTAGGCTATGGTAGCAGTAACATTCTTGCCAGCTGGCGATTCAAGAGGAGTGTGCTGGTGAGGCATCGTGACAAGAGTGATAACGGTGATAGGTGAATGTGAGTTGATTGACAAATGATGCGTAAGAAGCAGAATGCAACGGTGGTAACTTACGTCTATCTCAAATCAAAGGCTAGTGAGCGTACTAAATGTATAATCTTGTACCGAAGTTGCGAGTGCTAGGTATCTACTACTCTCTCCATATCATGGCTTGGATCGGCCGACAGGATACTCTCCTGGCTAACATCTTCCGCTTATTCGGCCCGAATTCTGTCAGGCCACAATTGAATTTCTTTTTTTGGGATACGAAAGTGTGATAATGTAGTCTGCCGGACGTTTCCCTTTGGATGGTTGTAGAAGCGGGTTGTCTGATGGCCAGCCGTGCCGTGTGGTTGTAATTCCGACCCCCTGGGTGTACCCATGGCATATGCATGTAACCCTCCAGATTACGACGCAACACCTCCTCTTTTCAAGCTTCACTATGACAGCGGGCCGGCCCAGATCGCCGGAGGAATCATAAACGCCAAGATTATGCGTAGTCAATATTGGGATTCAAAGTAACAGTTGAATATGATATGTTTCCCTCGGCATTTGAGTAATGCCACGTAATCATTGTCCGTAAAGGATAGCGGGGGGTGATTTGAGAAGTGATAGGCCATGGCTGGCTTCTTTCAAGGTTGTTAAGGTGTGCTGTTCGTCCATCCGCGGCGTCCTTACTTGGTGACACTATTCGGGGTCAAACGTGTCCCCAGACTTATAGTGTCTCAATACTTTCTCACTGTATTTCACTTCTTAGGTGACTCTTAGTATTGTGTAACTGCGTAATCGGCTTTCATTCGGCCATAATATCATGTAATTGGCATTGAGTCTAGGTGGAAATCATTGAGATCTAAGAAGGATACTGTAAATCGTTGGCAAACAAGACGCAGAACTACTCAAATGTCACAGTGATGTATTCTGAATGACATTAGGATAGCAATTGCCAATCTGAACTAGAAGACTATCTCAGCCCTACGTACGATATTGCTCATTACTCTTCCCTCAGTGATCGCTTCCTAACGCACAGCCTCGCTCTCGGATCAGGTACCATATCACTATCAATCGTGATATTCCGTGGTCTCCCCTTTCCATCGGGTAACTTGAACTCAAATTGCAAGAGAAGAATCGCCAATGTCAACTTCATCTCGTTCGATGCATAGAAACGCCCAGGGCAAGCATACTTACCATACCCAAACGCCATGTTACTAGAATCAGTCATGGAGAAGAGATATTTCTGTGCATAACTCGAGTCTGAGCGAATATTTGAGTATCTGAACCCATCAAACTCGTTTGGTGGTGCTGGCCCTGGGACATGCGCTGAGTCCTGAAGCATAGCGTGGGAAGGGACTGCGATGCGAGTGCCTGACGGGAGATTCGTGCCGTCTGAGAGTGTTATTGGTTGGTGGTAGATGCGATTGAATGTTACTGGAAGGTTGAGTCAGGATCTAGATAAGTAGAAGGTGAAGGAAGACTTACAGAGAAACACGGGGTTGAAGCGTTGCGACTCTTTGAGGAAACTGTCGAGTTTGTGAAGTCGATTCAGCGCCGTCTTGTCCCACCCACTAGCCCCAACAACGCCTTTGACCTCCTCTCTAAGAGGCTCTATATACTCAGGGCGAGCACACAAGTCATACATAGCATGCGTCATCGTCATTGCAGTAGTGTGAATAGAAGCGAGACTCAGGATAAGCATTCGCTGAGCAATGTTGTCAACCTGTTTCTCCTCCCCAGTCGCAGCTTCTACCATCCACGAGAGTATGTCCTCGTTCTCACTACCTTGCTGGGAGCGAATGATGTCGGCTATGACTCTACGACCTGATGACACGTTGCGAAGAAGTGTTCTGTAAGATGGTAGCAAGGGAGCTACGAAAGGTCTCAGGACATGGGGAACAGCGCGAAGGATGAAACCTGTTATGAAGAGGCTCTCGCTATACTCTGCTGTGGTCGTCAACCATTCCTGATTGCGACAGTGCTCTGGACCGAGAAACACTCTGGCTGAGATGCGTGATATGAGCCTGACCATGATGGAAGCAATATCGACTTCGACCCATTCGTCATCTAACAATCATCAGCATTTATGAACCCACTTCAAGCAGCTGGGGGAGCATTACCTTTCATATCCGGCATCTCTTTAGTCAACGCATAGTCAAGCTCCACCTTCATCACCTTCGTCAACGACACGAGCTTCGGCGTCAACCGCTGCTGAATCACACGGTTCTGCAGATCACTTTGCAGAAACACCATGCCTCGCGTGTAATCGCCAGCAAAGTCATTGATGAAGGGCTCTACCGAGCGAGTCTTGTCCTGAGAGAGCTTTCGGACTTCATCGATGTAGTTTGGCGGTATGATGACGATATCCGTACCAAGCTTTCGCACCTGGAAGATCGAGTCTTTGAACTATGAAATACATGAGACATGGCTGATCAGCTGTAGGAGGGACTGCTTACTTTGTTGTAGCCTTGACTGATAATAGATCCCCCTTCCCAGACGAAGCGTAAACGAAGGAACCATGTAGGCTCAAAGACGCTTCGGTAGCCTACAAAGGGCACTTTGACTGTAGAAGGGGATGAAAGGACGTGGATGACATATGAGCATAGCCAAGCGCCAAAGGCAACGTAGATTAGCCAGTGAATATCCATTAGAGGTATTTCGTCAAGACCCGAGACGAGCTGTCGGACGAGCGTTCCATTAATGGTATTGTTCATGCTGTTGAACTTATTGCTTGTGTTTTGCTGATAGTTGATGAGAGGCAATTCAGACTTGTGTAGGTAGTTGATTGGAGTTAACGAGAATGATTGTGGGCTACGAGTTTGCTTTGGTGCGACGGACTCAGCTCACTGGCCGTCGAGCAAATACTGTTTGTCCTCTGTTACTCATCATTGATAACCTTGCCCGGAATAATCTGTTTTCAGCATTCTTCAATTGGATGGAAAGGATCTTCTCGCCAGCAGCCATGAATTGCAATTGCCAACAGTCATTTCACCAACATGCATCGGTCAACATCCCCTTTGAACAAACCGGGCGTTTCAGGCCTCCGGAGTCATGAGAACGTCTCGCATATCTCACGCATATCACATTTCTCCACAGGTCGCCAAAAGTTCCCAAGATACTGCACCCCCTTCTCAAGCGGAAGAGGATTCCTTCGTGTTTCTACACCCTCGCCTTGGAGGGTTCACTAGACTAAGATACCAGCACCTCAACCGCCCGTGATTGCACGGTTGATTAGTCCCCTTTGTGTTATCGCGGGGAGGTGTGTGCATGAGTGTCTCGGAGGCTGCATCTGCCGTCTGCACGAGTCTGACGCCATAGCGCTAATCCCTGGTGACACTAGGACGCGGCATTTCGCAAGGGCCTAGGTCGTGGAGTTTGTCATTGAGATATACGGAGTATCTAATCTATTTCAGGAATGATCGCCCGGGATGCTGCATCCGGGCTTGTACTTTGAACTGGAGGTCAATGGTCTCAAAGTGAAGCGTCCCGAGTCAACAACGTCTGGAGTCATTGATATGCAACTCATGCTCTCGACAGAGTATTCCCTTCCAGATATCAGCAATAGCTCTCTACTATTGAGCATAAACTTCCCTCCAGCCTTGACATCCTTTGCATTGGACAGTTGTCACAAAATGACGAACCATTCTTCCACTTCTTACTATGGTGAGACCTACAAGGACCACTTTCAGACTATCATCGACTTCCTCAATGAGAACACTCTCGCATCATCATGTCTCGCCTTCGCAACCTGCGCCATTCTGCTATGCATTCAATGGCTCAAACCTCAGCCGCTGATCATGGTGAATGGCAGAAAGTTTGGCGAACTCTCCAACGTCCGCGCCAAGAGGGACTTTGCCTTTGGGGCTCGGCAGCTCCTAGAAAAGGGTCTTAAGATGAGCCCAGACAAGCCATTCCGTATCATGGGCGATGTTGGCGAGCTGCACATCTTGCCGCCAAAATATGCCTATGAGGTTCGCAACAATGAAAAGCTTAGCTTCACCATGGCAGCATTCAAGGTGAGGAGACTGTGATTTATGATGTAGAATAACATCTGACAGCTGGAGTTAGTGGTTTTACGCTCACCTTCCTGGTTTTGAGGGGTTCAGAGAGGGTACCAACGAGAGCCACATCATGAAGCTGGTTGCGCGGCATCAATTGACTCATCAGTTGACTCTGGTGACGGGAGCAGTCTCTGAAGAGTGCGCCTTGGTGTTGAAAGACGTTTACACAGATAGTCCAGGTATGTATAATCCATGCATTGCTTGTCAGCGATTCAGTGGCTAAATCAGTCTCGTAGAATGGCACGAAATCACCGCCAAAGAGGCAAACATGAAACTCATGGCCCGCATTACCTCTCGAGTGTTCCTCGGCAAGGAAATGTGTCGAAATCCCCAGTGGCTTCGAATCACATCCACCTACGCCGTCATCGCATTCCGCGCAGTAGAAGAACTACGTCTCTGGCCATCCTGGCTCCGTCCCGTAGTCCAGTGGTTCATGCCACACTGCACACAGTCCCGAGCACTAGTACAAGAAGCAAGAGATCTGATCAACCCGCTTCTTGAGCGCAGACGCGCAGAGAAAGCTGAGGCCGAGAGAACGGGGGAGAAAGTTACTTACAATGATGCTGTTGAGTGGCTGGATGACCTTGCGCGTGAAAAGGGCGTTGGGTATGACCCTGCTTGTGCACAGCTGTCGCTTTCTGTGGCGGCGTTGCATAGTACTACTGATTTCTTCACGCAGGTCATGTTTGACATTGCGCAGAATCCGGCGCTTGTTGAGCCGCTGCGGGAGGAGATCATTGCTGTTTTGGGGAAGCAGGGATGGTCGAAGAATTCGCTTTACAACCTCAAGCTTATGGATAGCGTCTTGAAGGAGAGTCAGCGACTAAAGCCCATAGCCATTGGTACGTGTCCCGGCGTTGACTTTTAGTAATAGCTCACGCTAACGAACGGTAACAGCGAGCATGCGTCGCTTTACAACCCACGACGTCAAATTATCGGATGGCGTCATCCTCCCCAAGAACAGACTAACGCTCGTATCAGCCCACCAGCACTGGGATCCAGAACACTACAAGGATCCCCTGAAATTCGATGGATACCGCTTCTACAACATGCGGCGCGAGCCGGGCAAAGAGAGCAAGGCACAGCTCGTTAGCGCCACCCCGGATCACATGGGCTTCGGGTACGGGCTTCATGCCTGTCCCGGACGGTTCTTTGCGTCTGAGGAGATAAAGATTGCACTGTCTCATATTCTGCTCAAGTATGACTTCAAGCCTGTTGAGGGGTCGAGCATGGAGCCTAGGAAGTATGGCCTCAACATGAATGCCAATCCAACTGCAAAGTTATCTGTTCGCAGGAGAAAGGAGGAGATTACGATTTGATTGCTGGATCTGGAATGAGTGGGGTTCAGATTGTCACGTTAGCTAGCTAGGAATGAATGCTCTGTATCTATTGTCGAGATTTAATGGCTGTGTCGGCAAGTCTCTTCCAATGCAACATATCTAGCGATGAACATGCAGTTAGAACCCTGTCTGATTAGAGTGCAGTATCGCTTCTAGATCCCCTTAAGCGACGGGACTTGTTAGTCGTTCTGTGACAGCCGTCTATGTGACCCTGGGACGGGCCGGCAGCATAGTGCTTCCAGAGTCCGTTTTTCCAGCGCCGGCCAAACGGAACTGACCATTGGCTTCCGTGTTATGCCTATCCGAGAGCATGGTTATAGGCCAAACAAAAGTGTCAATCATCCATGGCACGCACATCGGCCAGTATTCTCTTTTGGACATTGTGCATCTGCCAATCGTAACCTGCATGCATCACAAGATATCAACACGATGCTACTCCGATAGCGTTGATTCGCTTTGACCTCGTTCACTTCAGCTCGTTTACATTTTAGGCCTAACTTCTTTCGGAGTTGTATACGTATGTCTTCTCGTCAGCAGCCACTAGGATGATGCAATTGACGTGTCAAAATATCGAGGTTCTACGGAGGTTCGGCCGCAAAGTCCTTGCCCAAAAGAACTGTGGCTGAACGACCCACTTATCTCTAGATACATCAAATACATCAAGCGAGAAACCAGCTGCTAATCGTAATCTAATTCTAGGGGCTTCAGTCAGTAATTTATCTTAAACTGGCCGCTATAAGCCCTATAGCTATAGGTCTATTATAGAAGATCCCTTCTATAATAATCTAGAAGCCTTATACCTTATAGTACCGGATAAGGGTCCTTAGTTATGGCGTAAGTTCTTTTGAGCAAAGACTTTTCGGCCCAAGCTCCGTAGATTGCATCCTGTCTATCAGTGACAACACCGGCATGTACCCCTGTTACATAAATCCAAGTGTCTCCACCTGATTAACATTACTCCCTATCTTTATCCCTAGCAAGTTCCATCAGCCATCCTTGGTTGACCGTGTTTGGAACACCATGCGCTCGTAAATTCCACCTTGCATTGGCGACCTGAACCTTATTGAACCCTGGCTGCAGAATTCACTGTCGAGTTCTCGATGAAACTTGAAGACAGCTGAGCATTCGGCACTTGTCTCTCTCGCCACCATCCCATCCCGTACGTGGCACATTCAGTTCTACCTGTATCTATGGGGGTGAAATTGCATGCGTGGCTTCCGTGTCTATTCTTAAGTCCGAACCATGATTCCGAAGCACACAAGGATGGTGATGGCATCTCGGCAATAACTTTCCGATATGCTATACGTAGCTCTATTCGCATTTCTTGAGTTCCCTCGTTGAAATTCCCTTGTGGGGGTTCTCTTGATGCCCATCCATTTCTGAGACCTTTAGCCGAGATTCCAAATTTCCAACTGCCTCTCAGAGACTTCTCCTTCTCTTGAGCGCCCTCTTGAACCAGAGATTCAATTTGTAAACGAGATGAGCATCGTCAATACGATCACCAGCTATGCTGGCAACCAATTCTTGTCCTTCTACATCGCCGTATTCATCTTGACTTTGCTCCCCTGGGCCATCCGTTTCTCCTGGCTAGGACTGTGCGAAGACTCGACCATACCACTCGCTAACCCGCCCAAATCACTCTTCGGCACCGGCAAAACCAGGGTCTGACAGTCTATTGACGAGACAAACAAAACGGAAACTGACTTCTTGTATAGAGAAACTTTGTGAAGCTTAGTCGAGAGATCCTAGCCAAAGCGAGGAACCTGTTCCCAGATGAGCCTTTCAGATTGATCACAGACTGGGGTGAGGTTCTCATCCTCCCTCCGGAGTTTGCAGATGAGATCCGAAATGACCCTAGATTGAGCTTCTCCAAGGCAGCGATGCAGGTAAGTCCCTCCAACGAAGATGATCACGATTTTGTGAGTGCTGACGGGGAGATATTGTTCCTCAGGATAATCATGCTGGAATACCTGGATTCGAGACAGTTGCCCTTGTAGGGCGCGAAGACCAGCTTATACAGAAGGTAGCCCGAAAGCAGTTGACCAAGCATCTCTGTGAGTACTTCACCACTACCAAGTGAAGACCACCCACTAACGACTAGAAGCCGCTGTTATAGAGCCACTATCTAGAGAATCCACGCTCGCCGTGTCTCTAAACTTTGGAGAGTCAACAGGTAAACGCCCTCCAAGATAACATTCCGAAAGCATCATCACTAACCCGCGTCAAACACAGAATGGCGAGCTATGCGCCTCAAGCCAGCAATCCTCGACATCATCGCCCGCATCTCCTCAAGAATCTATCTCGGCGACCAACTATGTCGCAATGAAGCTTGGCTCAAGATCACAAAGACATACACCACCAACTTCTACACGGCATCTACTAACCTACGAATGTTCCCCCGATCAATCCGTCCTCTCGCTCACTGGTTCCTCCCAGAATGCAAAAAGCTTCGCCAGGAGCGCAAAGATGCGATTGGTATTATCACACCTCTGATCGAGCGCCGCCGTGAGCTTCGAAGAGCCGCGATCGCAGCTGGTCAGCCTCTACCGGTGTTCCATGATGCCATTGACTGGTCGGAACAGGAGGCAGAAGCTGCAGGTAGTGGGGCCTCCTTTGACCCGGTGATATTTCAGCTTACGCTCTCCCTTCTTGCAATTCACACTACGTATGACCTCCTCCAGCAGACAATGATTGATCTAGGTCGTCATCCTGAGTACATCGAGCCTCTTAGACAGGAGGTCGTGCAGCTACTTCGTGAAGAAGGCTGGAAGAAGACAACACTGTTCAAGATGAAGCTTCTGGATAGTGCTATCAAAGAATCTCAGCGCATGAAGCCTGGTAGCATTGGTAAGAACTTTCCTTGACTAGTATGTCGAGTTTTACTGACACTCATATACAGTTACTATGCGTCGCTATGTGACCGAGGACATCACGCTCTCCAGCGGCCTGAGTAAGTCAATTCTCCATTCCACCGGTCTCTATCAACATTTTCGACTAACCCTCCCTTTACCTAGCCCTCAGAAAGGGGACCCGTCTAAACGTCGACAACAGGCGTATGGACGATCCCAAAATCTACGAGAACCCCGAGGTCTATAACCCTTATCGCTTCTACGACATGCGCTCAGAAGTCGGTAAAGACCACGGGGCACAGCTCGTATCAACTGGCTCAAATCACATGGGCTTCGGCCACGGTCAGCACTCGTGCCCGGGGCGTTTCTTCGCTGCGAATGAGATTAAAGTAGCGCTGTGCCACATCTTGGTCAAGTATGATTGGAAGTTGTGCCCTGACACGGAGACCAAGCCTGATACAAGGGGGATGATCGCTAAATCTAGTCCTGTCACAGACATTCTGATCAAGCGTCGGGAGTCAGTTGAGTTGGATTTGGAAGCAATTTGAATGGAGAAGGCACCGTAAATTGTTGCATATTACTCTAGCTACTAAATTGAAGTCATATTGCTTAAACCCTTAGGTCTGTATGTAGTTCAGTAACCGAATGCTTAGACTTTCTCTTCTTCTCGTGGCCTCTCAATAACCATGCACCTTTGCTTTGAAACTCTCACTCTTTCAATCTACGGGAGTTTCTTGCAACCCTACCAAGCAATTGCCCTAGTCCCCTCTCGTACAGTTCGCTGGCATCACTTTCGCATACCATTGGCCTCCCGGATCCACAATCCAGTTCTTGTAATTACTCCGGCTAGGAAACTCTACTCCAATAGCCTCGGGATCATTCCGTTCTTTATTCCGTAGGCCCGCTTCCAAAGCGCTATGACGCCCGAGCGCTGAACAGGGAACGGCACACACATTCCGGGTCACATCCAGATACGTGACCTTGTGAGACGGGACGTCCTGCAGCTCTAGCACACCCGCTGCCGTTTGCGAATACAACTGCGGGTCAACATGGTAAATGTAGGGTTGCAGTAGTCTGCCAAACCTAAAATGCTTGGTTCTAGAGTCTAGACCCCGACCCTGGAGAAGCGGGCGCTAAGCCTGGCACTTGATGTGCCGCCTTGAGACAACTGTCCCCCCTAATCTTTATGCCTTTCATCTTTTACAAAACATGTGGCCTTGGGTTCCCTCACTGGCCATGCTTGCCACCTCGGTTTACGTCTCCAAGACAAGTCTAGCGCCGATAACGGCCGAGGCAACGTGGGTGTTTTATTGTTAGCAGTTATTCACAACAAGGGGAGTGTATAATCTTTGGTCTATGATCATATTGAGCAGCTAGAGGGCTTTGACCAACTTGTAGATTCTGCTTCATTGCAATGAGAATAAATGACGCAACATGGACTACCTCTGTAACTGCACACAATCTCAAGTCTCGAGCTTGAGGCGTTCCACCAACGCCCTAAGAGCAGGGTTATCCCGATTCAAACTCACTTCCAAGCTTCCAATCTCGGCTAGAACTCTAGTGTGCAGCATGCCAAGGAGTGCACTCGTCCATTCTAGGCTGCCATTGGCTTTCATCACTTCCAACACTAGCATCTTTTGCTGTGTCGTAAGCCTTCCCTGGACTCGTCTCATCGATAAGATGTTGGTGAGAAGACCACTAGAGTCACTCTGCAGAGCGTGCATCAGAGTTAACGAGTACTTCCCTTCGTCCAGATCCTCGCAGAATCCTTTCTGATCAGTGTACTGTGAATCATTAGCAAAGGTTCTGAGCTTCTTGGAAGTGCCGAGAAGCGGGTTATCCCCTTCTGGTACCCGAAGATGGGCAATAGGCTCTGGGGAACAGACCTTATTGTCAATGAGATTCATATAATCATCTCTGATCTGGAAATATTGCCCGAGCAGTGAAACAACGCTACTGAGAGAGTCTAGAGTGCTACCACTGATGGAGACTTCGGAATTCAGCACCAGCAGCTCAAGTGATAACCTGAATAGGGCACCGGTCTCTGTGGCAAGTTGGGTTAATTGATGAGCAGTGACAATTAGTAGGGGCAACGTACTATCATTGACCATCAGAAGATACTCTTGGATAGACGGAACAGTAGTGTTAGCCGTCCACGAAAGATCCATGGCCTGACCTTGGAAGATTGTGGTTATAGTACTAATTATGTCTGCCAAAGTATCGTGGCTGACAATCTCCTGGATTTTCCCGATTGCCTTGACGATGACGTACGTTGCTGTGTTGATTGCTTGGGCTGGACCAAAAACAGTATGTGTAGATGGCTTGCCCCGCCGAAGTGGGGAGTTATCTTGAAAATCATCGATTCTAAATTATCAGCAGGGTGTCCAGCAATGAAGGATTGGGGTACAGACATGAGAGAGGAGTTGTGAAGCATGCCAATCACCCCTTTGATAACCGAGGTCTTGTCCTCGGGGACTTGGAGCCAGACATTCAACGAGTCAATGAAAGCCCCACGAATGCCTTTAGAGGGCAGGGTCAAGATATAATCGTACGGAGAATCAGCGACCTGTATATCTCAGTATGTGATGGCGCAGGCATGAGGGTGATCTGGATTTACTTTGAGGCGCTGTGACTTCCACCTAGTATTGAGCTCGGAGCTCATAGTTGTTGAGAAGCATAGCTGGGAAACCAAGTCTGGAGAGGGTGCATTGTGAGGAAGAGGAAGGGAGACACGTCGCTCCTCATAGCGAGACAACGAGCCTCCTTCTGAGGAGGAAGAGTCTGGAGGTGTGTCTCTGAACTGGAACGAATCCGTAACTTGAACTGTGATTTCCAACTTTTGGTTGGCGTGGAAAGCATCAAACATGGAAAGAAGATTGGAGATTTGTTGCTCGGCCATTGTGGCAATTGAGGTGTGTCAGTTTGTATCGTTTGGTGAAGGGGACTCAATGTTGAAGAAGAACATGAGGGTGAAAGATTTCATGCGCATAGTTGGTCTATTGAGGCCAAGCAAAGACAAAGATATCCCGATGCCCAAGATTGGGCAAGTTCCGTTCTCCTCCATGAACATTCTATTCCGCGTCCGCATGTCTCAGAACTGCATGCTGGATTCACCTCCTCAAAGCTCACATGCATACTCTGAGAGGGTTAACTGCATCATGTCAAGTCTATTTGCAGCCCCGGATTTGTCCCTAACTCCGGGTACCCGATAAACAGACGTGCAGATGAAAACTACCTGAATTAGAACGGACTTTATTATTATCTCCTTCCTTGTCACCTCTCTAAGATAGAGGGAACTTTTGCCCTGCATATACATAAGTACTCTCCCAGTCAACAGGGATATCACTTAGATCTACACCTCGAATAGTTCTCCTCACTCCAGGGGTATGATCATTGGCATGCATCACATAGCTGCAAGATACTCTATTCGAAGAGCCCAAGCGCCCGCTAGCGACTTACAATCTCCAAACCCACCTTGCGTTCCCAATGAGGGAAAGATGGAGCTTGATGAGTTCCTCCGTCATCTCATGCGTAACTGAGGCATATCCACGCTTTTTTGCCAGCGCTTGTCCCAGATGAATGTCGAGTTGCATCAGACATAAAAACTACTTTCTTCTCTCATTCCGGCATACTCGAGCTTATCTTTACAGAGATCTGAAATAGCGACACAAGATGCCGTATGTATCGAAAATCACTCTGATTAATGAATGATCTAACCTATACCAGTGGCAAAATACAGAACGGTACCTCCGAAGACCCCAAGACTGATAAAGAGTTGGTCTTAGCAGCAAGGTCTCTACTGGACCGGGCCTTCAAGAGTCATGATAGCTATTATGGCCTGTGTTCCACCAGCCCCCAGGTATATGACACTGCCTGGGTAGCCATGATACCCAAGACGACAGACAATGTGAAGCATTGGCTGTTCCCGGAGTGCTTCCACTTTCTTCTCAAGACTCAAGCCGCTGATGGTAGTTGGGGTCATCTCCCAACGACCCAGACTGCTGGCATTCTTGACACTGCTTCGGCTGTTTTCGCTCTCTTGTCACATGTACGAGAGCCTTTGAAGATACTAGACATCTCACCAGACGAGATTGATCTCAGGATCGAGCGGGGAGTTGCCTCTCTGAAGCGACAGCTAGCTGCCTGGCATGACGTCGAGGAAACCAATCACATTGGTGTCGAGCTGATCGTCCCAGCTCTACTCTCCATGCTTGAGAAAGAACTCGGCGTGGCACCATTTGAGTTCCCTTGCAGAAATGTCTTGGACAGTATGCATCAAAAGAAGATTGGCCACTTTGACTTGGAGAAAGTATACAGCAAGCCGTCTTCAGTACTTCACTCTCTTGAAGCCTTTCTTGGCAAGCTTGACTTTGATCGACTTTCCCACCATCTGTATCATGGATCCATGATGGCTTCACCTTCTTCCACAGCTGCCTATCTCATTGGTGCAAGTAAGTGGGACGACGAGGCTGAAGACTATCTGAGACATGTTATGAGGAATGGTGCTGGTCATGGAGATGGTGGTATCTCTGGAACCTTTCCGACAACTCATTTTGAGTGTAGCTGGGTGAGTGATGTTGCACAGCCTCCCAGCCTCTGGCTACCAACTAACCTTAGACGTAGATCATAGCCACTCTCCTGAAGGGTGGCTTTACCGTGAACCAAATCGACGGCGATGGCCTGCGCGGCTTGTCAACTATACTCATCGACGCATTAAGGGATGAGAATGGGGTAATTGGCTTTGGTTAGGATGCCCACCATTCCATTGACTGATCACGGAGACTAACCTATTATATAGCGCCCCATACAGCTGATGTCGATGACACGGCAAAAGCTCTCCTGGCGTTGAGCCTCGTCAATCATCCTTCTACCCCTGATACCATGATCAAGGTCTTTGAAGGCCAAGAGCACTTCACTACATTTGGATCAGAACGTGATCCCAGCTTGACTTCCAACCTCCATGTGCTGCTGTGTCTCTTGAAGCAGCCCGACCTATTTCAATACCATTCCCAAATCTTGAAGACTACCTTGTTCATCTGCCAATGGTGGTGGGACAGCGACAATCATGTCAAAGACAAATGGGTAGGTTCAGCCTCGCACCTATCAGAAGCGCCTACTAACACTGACAGAATCTGAGTCATCTGTATCCTACGATGCTTCTAGTGGAAGCATTCACAGAACTACTTTATCTCATTGATGGCGATGAGCTCGCCAGTCTATTTGATGAGAATCTCAAGTGTAGGATTGGCCTGTCACTTTTCCAGGCTGTCCTACGTATCGTCCTCAGCCAAGACAATGACGGATCTTGGAGAGGATACCGTGAGCAAACTTGCTACGCCATCCTTGCTCTTGCACAGGCACGTCATGTCTGCTTCTTCACCGATATATTGGAAAAGCTACAGGGTTGCATCGACCGTGGCGTCTCGTGGCTCAGGTCCCGCAGTCTTCATTCTCAGGACCTCACTTGGACGTCGAAGACGGCGTATGAGGTTGGTTTTGTTGCTGAAGCGTACAAGCTAGCAGCCCTGCGGTCAGCAAGTCTAGACGTGCCTGTCGCTACTGTTGGCCATAGCCTCACCTCCGCAGTTCCATCACCCGAATTGGAACAGTACATGAGGCTTGTACGCAAGACCGCTTTGTTCTCACCGCTGGATGAGTGGGAACTCAGGGCATCAATCATCGAGTCTTCATTCTTTGTACCCCTTCTACAAGTCCAACGCGTTCAGATTTTCCCGAGGGACAAGATCGCGATCGGCGAGGACAAATATCTGAGCATCATTCCCTTCACCTGGATTGGATGCAACAACAGAGCCCGCGCATTTCCATCCAACAGATGGCTCTACGACATGATGTACCTGTCTCTCCTCGGCTATCAGATCGATGAGTACATGGAAGCTGTTGCTGGGCCGACATTCGGTGACATCTCTCTGCTCCGCCAGACCATAGACAAGATCATAGACAACGCCGGGGTAAAGTCAACCAGGGCCAATGATTTTGCGCACAATGGAAATGGTCATAAGCACGAGTCACCTGATGTTGCACAGGTTCAGGATACTCTCACTCGCTTCACCCATAGCGTCCTCAACCACAGAGATGTTTTGAGGTCTAGCTCTTCCGATCAAAACACTCTTCGACAGGAGTTCAGAATATTCATGCACGCCCATGTCACACAGATAGAGGACAACAGTCGCTTCTCCAAGCAGGCCTCCAGCGATGTTTTCTCTTCCCCAGAACAATCTTACTACCAATGGGTAAACAGCACAGGGGGCAGCCACGTCGCTTGCGCATACTCATTCGCCTTCTCCAATTGTCTAATGTCGGCGACTCTGTTCCAAGGCAGAGACGCATTTCCCTCTGTCACTCAGAAGTACCTCATTTCTTCTGTCATGCGTCACGCTACGAATATGTGTCGTATTTACAACGACTTTGGATCCATAGCTCGCGATAACGCTGAGCGGAATGTGAACTCGATGCACTTCCCCGAGTTCGCGATATGCAATGGAGCGGCACAGAGTCTCGACGGTAGGAAGAAGAGACTTTCGCAGATAGGTACGTATGAGCAAGATTGTCTTGATCGTGCTTTAGAAACTCTGGGAAAACAGTCTCGGGATGATGCAGGAGATTGTGCTGATTCTAAGGAGGTGAGAAAGCTCAAGATCGTAAAGCTGTTTTGTGATGTCACGGATTTGTATGATCAGCTTTATGTGATCAAGGACCTTTCTAGTAGCATGAAGTGAGGACATAGTATCAGCCAGGCGATTTTGATAAGTAGTTTACTCGATGTCATGCTGTTTTAGTCAGTGCTCACCAAATTGGAAACCCACGAGGTCTTTCTTATGTGACTTATCTGGACCAATGAAAGCATAGCTATCGCTTTCACAAAGGAGTTTAGCATTCTACGTGACAATTTGCCTTCAGTGATAATTCAGTGAACTAAACCTGACATGCGTGAACCATTGGACCAATCCAAGTGCCATTACCTTCTACGTCCGTGGTGTAGGGTCGCGTATTCGAGCCGTGTCCCCTTATGCGTAAGGTGTGGTCACACTCGGAAAGCCTGATAAGAAACCCGCGAATCACATCACCTGCATACTGTGATATCTTGCAAGCTTCTACAGCCCGTCTTCGAACAACTATATGCACGCCCAGCCTTCGCATTCAACGCAGGCACTATCATTACAGGATTACATGTTCCCCTTGCCGGCAAAGCGGCTGAATGTGATTCCCCACGCATGGAACTTTTGAGGACTCGTGACGCGGCCTGGTGACGTGTAAAGATTGCCAGTATCTGGGCACTGGCGATAACATGGAGATTGAGGTCGAATCTCTTCGGTAGAGGAACAAGAGTGCCCCTTACTAACCATTCGGCCACTGAAGCTTCTCCAAGCCTACCCCAAGATTAAATCGCACTATGATGAATATTTTCATGATGACAAGTGGGATGCTGGAGATCGCTGACTCGCGCGTCTTGCGTATCGTCATAGCGTCCGCCGTGCTTTGGGGCGCTACAGGACTGCTAGCTTTTGCGTGGTGGATTTACAGGTCGTTCCTAAATGAGAGAGCTCTCTCATACCCCGTGGTAGGCGATCCTCACGCACGGTCATTGGAGGGGAACCTCATCCAGGGAATGGAAAAAGTAAGCCGTATTATCTTCAGCTTAGGATGTCTCTAAATCTCACAGTATCGCGACTCACCCTTCGTCTTGGCTGGATCACGCCCACCACTTCTCATACTACCAATGTCTGTCTTTCATGAAATCCACAACATGCCAAACGAATGCATTTCCATCATTGCAGAGCATGAAGACAAGTTCCAGGGCAAGTACACCCACATCACTACCATCAAACCTGAAATTCCCGCCACTATTCGTCAGGACTTAACCCGCAATATGCCAAACATTATACTGGAGTTCCAGGATGAGCTGGCATATGCCTCTGAGCAGTGGCCCAGGAGAAGCAATTGGTCATCTGTTCCTCTATACGGGATGATGCTAAGAACCGTGGCGCTGTTGAGTGGCAGAGCGTTTGTCGGTCTGCCCTTGTGTCGCGATGAAGGCTGGCTACAAGCCTCCATAGGCTACACTGTTCAATGCGTTTCAATTCGTGATCAGCTCTATGCCTGGAGTCCCGTGCTGAGGCCTATTATCGGCCCGCTTCTGCCCAGCGTCCGTTCGGTGCGAAGACATCTACGCTTCGCAGCGGAGATAATGGCACCTTTGATCTCGCAAGTATTACAAGACAATCAAAAGCAACACCAAGCAAACTCGGACCAGACTAAAGAACGAGACACCTTTGTGTCATGGCTTCTTCGGCATTTACCTGAGGAGCTTAGAACCCCTGAGCAGGTCGGGCTGGATCAAATGCTGGTCTCGTTCGCCGCGATCCACACTACCAGTAAGTTCTGTTAGCCGCGAACTTCGAGCTCTGTTGCTTATCTTTTGTTCTTGATAGCCATGGCCCTAACCAAGGTCGTATGGGAGCTTGCCAAACGGCCAGAATACGTTGAGCCGTTGAGAGCCGAGATTCAAGGCGTCTTTGGACCCAATGTCGGTAAAGAAGCCATTTCTATCAACAAGGATGCTTTATCAAGGCTCCAGAAACTAGACAGCTTCATCAAAGAAGTTCAGCGCTGGTGCCCCTCGTCTTTTAGTAAGCCGAAAACCAACATCTGAGTTAATGCACAGGTACTAACTGAATGCTTGAGTCACTCCCAGCAGGCGCGTCATGAAGTCAATGACAGTATCAAATGGTATCAAGCTACAAAAAGGGACCTCCATAGCATTCCCCGCCCACGCAATCCAGTACTTCCTTATCCCTCCTCTTATTATTGGCTACTTTACTAACTATCTAACAGTATGTCGAAAGAGACGCCAACATTCTCGACAAACTTCAGCTCTGACTTCACAAACCCGTCCCCTCTCATCTTTGACGGATTCCGTTACGCAAAACTACGATCTATCAGAGGACAGGAGTCACATCACCAGGCAGCCACTACAGGTCCTGACTATCTGATCTTCAACCATGGAAAGCATGCATGCCCTGGAAGGTTCTTTGCCGTATCTGAGATCAAGATGATACTCATAGAGTTGTTGGCGAAGTATGATATCAGACTTGAGGATGGAAAGCCAGGGCCTGAGCTGATGCGTGTTGGGACGGAGACTAGACTGGATACTCAAGCGTGTCTTGAGATACGAAGGAGATAAATACGGGGACACTATGAAATGGGCTTTTGTTTTGAGCGGGAATATTGGTCGAGGCTATGTAGCGGCCCAGGTTAATCTTGTAAGGCAAACAGCAGATATGAGCCTGTAGATGAGACGGTCACCAAGATTGTTGATTGGGAGATGTTGAAGCTTTATAAACTCATAGCATCGTATACGAAGAGGCGAATGACACAGGGTGGCTTGTAGGCCTTTGGGCCTTATATAGGTACACACCGCAACTCTTTAGTAGTGCTTATATCATGCGGTTGGACGCAGTGGTGAGCTCAACATAGGGAGATAGAAATTTCATACTCGTAGACCGACTCCTGTGGTTACTTGAATTGTAAATCTTCCCATTTCCCGTCTGCCGTACCTAACAATTCCCCATCCATGATCCCGTGCACATAAGCCTCCCCAACGATTGAGTAACACTTTGACATTTCCGTACTCACTCTGTGGACAACGAAAGGTACGCGCCCACCAGAAAGAAGAACCACTTCGTCACCTGGTTGAGAAGACGGATGAGCGAGACCCAAGTACCCCCGGCTTGTAAGAAACAATCTTCTATACCAAGAGACATGGTGCATGGTACTTTCGTAAAGGCCGCCATCTTGATCCGAAGCCTCCTTCTCTCGATAATCCCCTTTCAACACGTCAAGAAGTGAGTCGATACCTGGTGTCAAACTCGGGCTCTCCACATCTGCATCGGACGAGTTCGCAAAGCGCGCCTGGACCCTTTCCCGAGCCTGCAATACAAACGCGGCGAACTTGGAAACCCAGTCTTCGGCCACGGGGTAACTGCTTGTTCCAAGACCAACATTCCCGATCAGTGTGCGCCAAAAGGCGTCGATCATAGGGCCGGACTCGCCCTCGAGGCTAGGGTACCCTGCATTGAGATCAACCATACTCGCCCACTTCTCTAGAGTGCCGTAGATCGACTGCTCTGCTATAGGAGATATCTTGGATATCCTGTCGACTCTGTATGCTGACATCCCCAGGGTATTTGGGTCAGAAGGCGAGTATTGTATACTGACTTCTCGACCCACCACAGCGGCATACAAGGTCAGTGATTCAGGTCGTGGTGGCATACAGAGAATAGAGGCAACCTGATGTACGCTGTAATCCGGAACCCAACTCGGAAGCTCATGAATCTGCCGAAACTTAACATCTTCGATACCGGAAAGGATGTCAAGGGAACCTTGGCGGATGAGATGCAGAGTGACATCTCGAAAGACTTCGACAACAGACTTTCGATAGTCTGGTCTAAGTGCTGGCGGTAACGCTTCTTCTCTCCCGCTCTCTGCTAGGTTTATCAGCGCGAATATCTTATCCACCGGTTTGGTAGCTTTGAAGCGCCGCGTCGATGCTAGCAAAAGATCTAAACTCTGATGCTCCCCTTCCTGATGTCGCACTCGGCAGTTCATCATAGCCGTAATGAAGCCCGCTGCACCAGAGACTGCATACATCTCGTGGAACAGCTTGATCCATGAGCTCTCAACGAGGAAAGTCGCAGCTCTCCCGACAACATCGAATGGAAGCATCAACAGACCGCAGAATATAGCTGGATTTCGAGATACTGCGACTTCCTGGATGATCCAGGCTCGCTGAAACGCAGATCGCGATATAAACTGCATTAGAGAGCCCCATATTGGGTTATCATGCATTGGTAGGCCGATTGCCGTCATAAAGATCGGGTTAAGCAGAGCGTTTATCCCAGGGTGAGAACCTCCAGATTCAAGTACATGTATCTCCAGGCTATTTAATGATGATAGAAGATCAAAGACTGTTTCTGTGTTCTCTCCCGGCTCGCCGATCCAAAAGAGATCCATAGAAGCACGCTGATAGATCTCACACATCTGGCCAATCTGCTGAATGCACTCGTCCGTGTCGGCTTGGTTGATGCATATCTGATCAATCCAGATGATCCGTTCGCCGGCTGTTTCGCGGTAATTTTGGAGAAAGTTCCAGAGATTCAGACTGACGTTGAGATACTTGTCGTTGATCAACACAGGCCGGAAGATCTTGGGCAGACTCTCTTCGTGCCATGTATAAGACAATGCGATGTATCGGGGAGAATCTTGTGCAGCGAGATCAGCATCAAACATCCTGCAGCGAAGAATATCTTGGCCGCCGTCTGATAGGATCTGAAGTAGACGAAAGCTGGTGGAGCTCGTGAGACTCTGGTATGTCAACCTTGGTACTCCTGGGGGAAGTTCAAGAGCTTGATTGTCCACGCTTGGAAAGATCTCTGATGCGCTGATAGGCTCTCTTTGATGTGTAGATTGAGATGCCATGGTGATAGACCTGCTCAGAGACTCTTCTGACTAGTTCTTCCACACGACTACACAATATGCTTATGAAGTTTCGGGTTGGTTCAGTGGGTCAACGAGAGCTGTTTGCTTACCGCAGTAAAATGAGATTTGTTTTCTTCTTTACGTGAATTTTAAGGACATAAATTACAACGCAAAACACTGCCTCCGACAAGGCATATCGTTTCTGCGCATATCTGTAATATAAGGGAGTGAGATAATGCCTTACCCCGCTTTGCGATATTGAACTGTTTGCTACTCAGCCTCATGGCTGCAGGCTTATTTTGATAGGCTCTATGTGACCAACCGAGTTCACCGAATCTTGTCCGTCCCCTCCAACGAAGCGTGTTGGATCTGGTATGCCCAACGCACCCGACAGGCGATAGAATCATTGCGTTAGAACTTGGGAAAAGTCGACCTAAATGGCCAGATAGAGGTTTTCATCAAATCTGCGTCACTAATAATCCACGATCCAAAGCTTCGCCGTCACAGCGGGGCGACGGGGTTTTTATACCTCTTGCTCCTGAGACAAATGTCCGCGCGACCGCCTCACGCTGCTTGGGAAGCGAAGGGCCCGGATATTTGCCAGGGAGACATTTGGTACAGCGCTCGGTCTAGGCACCAACAGAGAATTACGAATGGTCGCCATAGATGAGCCACGAAGTGATGAAGTGACTTTTTTGGCATTTGATGATGAAGTCTCCCCAGATCGTAACTGTTAGTGGTAGAGCAATTAGGTTATAGTGGATAGGTGCCTAGCCAGCGTCGTACCTCGCTATGCGACAGGGGTGGTTAACTGAGGCCCAGTGCACTTATAAGGCATTTATGGCGGGAGCACGTTCACTAACCGGAGGAGTAGCCAATTTACAGGCCGCAAGAGCAGGGTTTGACCTGAGGAGCACTGGACTTGTAGGACATTTAGCGGGAAAGCTACGGCCCGTATCACTCCGACTTATCTTACATAGCTCGATTTTTCCTCATTTAAAGTGCCTAATATAAATTTACGTCGCCTTGGCCAATTCAACTTTTAACCGGTTCAAGAGCATCTCTGCTCATTTGTTGCAATTAGCTGATCGTCACAGCCTTTGTCGCAAGAGTAGGGTTACTGACATGAGGGATGCATGTGTGTGGATGGACTACACAATGGTTTCTGTCTTGGGATGTGATACAGCGATTGATCTTAGATCAGATTGAGGTAAACTAGAGTGGAACGGGCATCAACCTGGGAGGGGGCTGGGTGAACGGAATGTCTTCACCATCACCAATCATCTTAGTCTAAACGTGTAAGGCAACAGGCTGATTACATGTAGGCAACAAATTAACCCTTACACCGTCTCTATAAACATTAGAAACAGCGGGCAAGAAGACTAAAGGAAAAAGACCTGTCTCTGCGCAAAAGAATACTTGTGCACCCACTCTATTATTTTCCATTGACATGATCAATACAGTGAGCTTTGCTGGCAAACGGGAGAGGACGTCTCCCCGCGTATGCACTTTGTCGCTCCAGCTCAAAAGCCACAGATCTTCAATCTTGGCGACAGGTTGATACTGGCTTATGGCGGAGCTGTTCGCTTTCAAAAATAGACTGAAATTATCCATCGGTTGTTGCAGGAAGATCGACGAGGAAAGAGAAAATATGAATGATCCCTGTCAAGTTATCAGTGCAGGCTACTACCAACCACCAGGTGAGCGTAGAGGATGTCACGCAGGCGGCGATACGCTATTGCAAGAATTTATCACTGTGTATTTGATCTGGCGGACGGTAGATGGGAAATAAACTGGTTTGAGAGTTTGGCAATGGGGTGAGAGATAAATTGGGCTGTGAGGCCTGTGACGGAAGCAAACGGCAGCGTAGGAGGCCCATAACCGCTTCATTTCCCTCCCGTTTATCCGTGCTTTCCAACTACTGTGCAGTGCGGTCAGTAACTGACAACTCTCTGTCAGCAGGGAAATAAGCCTGGGCAAGCCACCCGGCATGGGGGTTGAAAGTCGGCTCATCATTGGCTATCTGACATGTTGTTCGACGAACGGGAAGAACCCTAGTCTAACAATATCTTGATTGGATAAAGCATGAATCAGGCTGCGACCTAAATCTCTTTTCTCTTGCTGTTGGTCGTGCAGTTCCCGTCAATCTCAATTTTATCAGTTCCCCTCATTTTCATTCCCCCCTCTTTTACTTTGCGTTCTTTCTTATGCTGGTCGCGATAGATTGACCCGCAACGCGACACCAAGTTAGTCCTCACTGGTGATCAATATGGAAGACTCTACCCGTATCGCTCAGAGACATGCGGCTGCTCTAAAACTCCTTGAGGATTTGACATCGTCGCTCAATGACGTGGAGCCACTAGGAGATATCTCGCGCGCTCAGGCGGATTACGATGCTGCAGAAGAACGACACAGCCGTGAACAGAATCCAGAGAAGAAAAGGGCTTTATGCAGAGAACTGGTCCGATACGGAGATCGCCTTGAGGAGATACAAAAGCAACACAAGGAAGCCGACGCAAAGCGTAAGGAACAGCTGGACCTCTTCAACTCTAGGTTGTCTAAAGAAGGCTATCTGAAGCTAGCTACTCGTGTATCCTCTAATACCGGCACTGGTACCAATCGCGACCACGATGGCGATCAAACAACCCACCGAACCTCTACCTCTGGAACGCCGGAGAATCCTGTCGCAAATCCAGATCTCGACAGTAGCCAACTTTCAGGGCCTTCCAACGACCGATCAACCCATGAAACGACCAGATCGCCGGGCAGCCTGACCCAAACCCCCACTATTTGGAACACGATCGAGGCCAGATCGACACCCTCGCGTATTCACAGCGCAACACCTTCAAGGTGGTTATATACAGACCTCGGCCAGCAAGGGGTTACTGAGCCGGCCGGTCAAACCGCGCGGCCAAATAAGAGAAGTGACAATGCTGTATCTCGCCCTACGAAGCGCCAGCGACAAAGTGCCTCCAGTGACACAGTCACAGAAAGGACAATTACTTTTGAAGAGGTATATCAAGGTGGTAAAGCTCGGTGGAAATACAGAATTGTTAAGATCCATGAGCTTTACTATATTTTTGGATGCAAGAGGCACGATAAGCATTTCTGCAAAGAGAACCCCCTTCAGGCTGCCATGAGCCATCTCAAAGGCAAAGGACACTCTTCTAAGAAGTCCAATGCCACTCAGGCCCTTAAATCGCTCGGTATCCAGGTCTTGGGCTGCACTGACCCAGATCTTGAGCTGAATAACAAGGCTGTAGATTGTTACTTAGCAGAGCAGGAAAGGAAAAAGGAGCGTCGCGATGCTTCTACCAATGACTTGCTACAGCCCCCCCAGGCCGGCAGGATATACATGGCTTGGTGGTGCGACGACGACAAGGACTATTGCTTGCACGCCTTCTTAGTTATACCGTTCTTCCCGCAGATTGGCGATGGTATGGACATACAATCTGTTTTGCATTCAGACCTGGAGGTCGATGTTCCTGCCTGCTACAAACTGAACGAGACTACTCATTGGTATGAGTGGGCTGAGGGATATAATAAACATGAAAAACACGTCAACAATAGGGAATACCCAATTATGTGCCTTTCTGGGGAAATCCCGCACAAGGTCGATTGGCTCCCAGTCTGTCATTTTCGAAAGCTCAATCTTGAAGACGAGGATCTCGAGGACAAGGACGTTATCAAGGCGTTTATCCGCAGTAAAGGGATAGGCAAGTTCTTCTCAATGACCCTCTTCTGCTTTTCTAGTTTACTAACCAAACCGAATACAGGGCAAGGAAACGAGGTCGAGAGTGATCAAATCAAAAGTCTATACGGAGACCGCGATGTCCTATTCCCCAGACCGGCTAGGAAGTCATGTGGCGCTCCTTATGAGACATTCAAGAGAAATCAACGTTATGTCACAGCAAAGAAACGGGGTAGGAGACGGATTGGGCCAAATCTTCCGACGCGAGAGGTAAAGCCTGAACCCGCGCCTATGGGAGGCGGAGATGAGGCTACGAGACAGGAACGCCAGCCGTCTGTTCGGCAAAGATGGCCATTGGCACGAAAGAATGCTCCCTACATGGAAACTTTAGAGGACAGTGATAGCGAGTGACGCTGAAGAACGTGTTCACGTTCTAGCAAGGATCAATAAGTGTAGAGTGGGCTGACGAAAGGGAATGTGATCTTGGAGGAGGAGAGCGACGGATGAGTATTTATCTAAGGACCATATATATTTTTATCTACAGACTTCTTAATTTCAATAAGCATAAGCTTCGCTACCGTACAGAGGTACCTAAGGTTTTGACCTAGTATCTTCAGCTTCGCGTCTCCATTTTGCGCCAAACTTCCACTGAACAGCTAAGCTCACGACTGCAACACCCTGCACCGCAACACAGGCCGTAAATGCGAGTCCGACTCCGATAGAGTTGATCATTGGCATAACAAAGCTTGTGCCTCCCGCGGCGAATAAGCATCTTGCGAGGTTGAGACTCGCGCTGGCAGCGGCACTGCGATCGTGAAAGACATCGACGAGATAGGTCATGACGACGGACTGCATGGAAACAGCAGACCAACCCATGATGAACGTTGATACAATTGGAACGGCGATGTGAGCCTTGTGGGAATATTGGATTGTCCAGCCGAAGAGCAAGATGGATGCGCATTGAAGGAGGGAAAACAGGGGGACGAGACGGAGACGTGCTGTTTCGAGTGGGAAGTCATTTTCCTGGGCCTTTTTCGTATTTGCAGGTTCAGGATCATTTTGTGTGTTACTGCCCGCAATGCGAGCATCATGCCGAGCTTTGAAACGGCGGTAGTCGATGTTGAGTATCTTGCCGGTAATCAGTGTTCCCACCATGGAGCCCACGCCGTTCGCGATAAACGTCAGCCCGATCTGAGTTACTGAGAGACCGTATTTATGTTCGAAAAGGCTAGACATAGCCGTGATGCTCATCTGCCAGACAGCATAATAGACTGCGAGGAACACAATGATGGGAGCGGCTTGCTTGCTGATGAGGATGCGGAAGGGTCCTGTGACATCGATGTGCTTCATTTCCTCGGGCGATGTAGAAACTGCGCCGTGGTTCCACTGGACTTTGGTCGTTTTTTGATAAACGCGCAAAGGGTATTTTGCGATGGCATGTACAGGCTCTCGGCTTCCATTGCCAACGATAGACCTCAGCGTCTCAGGCAAGAGAAGAACCAATAAGATCAGGAAAACTCCGCTGTAGATGGTCAAGAACCAAAAGATGGATCTCCATCCAAGAGATCCAGCCAGCGCACCTCCGATAATCGGGCCAACGGCTACGGGTACCAGCAGTCCTGCTTGAAAAAACACCCATAAGCCCACCGCGATTATCTCGAGTCGTGATATCGCCGATAACGCCTGAGCCTATAGCGATTGTACTAGCGCTACCAGTGCTCTGAACACATCTCAGCACAACCATAGTGGCGTAATTCTTGGCTTCTACCAGGCCGATACATGCTCCAAGGAAGACAATGAAGGTAAGTGAATATGCAACGCGACGGCCCTTGACATCTGATATTGGGCCCCAGAGACTGGGAGCTAGGCCCTGGAAGATCAGGTATGAAGTCACAGTGAGATTGATTAATTCGATCGAGACGTCGAGATCGTGAGCGATGGTAGGGAGAGCGGGGAAATAAATGTTTGATGCGAAACCTGAGACTGTGGGTGGGTCAATAGGGAGGTTCGAGCAGGATTCTATGGAAATTTACATGTTGCTGCGATAGAGACGATCGTCACGATCAAGGCAGTTTGGCGTTTGTCGAAGATGCTGTATGGCTCTGGCGCAGGCAAAGGAGCCGCTGCAGGTAGTTCTCTTCCATTCATTGTTTACGATGCTTAATGTAATAATTCAGTGATGGCATTCATCTGGTATTGGCATGTTTGAAGAAACGAAGTTAGAGACATGACTTTTATGGTCTTGACTATCTGCTTGATGTCATGACGCAAAAGTACAAGGGCTCCCGGAGTTCGGAGTTGAGGGTTGCTACAGTGGGGATCAAGCGTCCTCAGCTCCGAAGTGCGACAGTCGCCATTTATATCAAACCAATACTACAGACGTAAAAAGGATCGGACTTAAGACCTAACTCCACAGAGGTTTCGTATTTCTATCCTGTTTAACTGATTCAATCAGAGTTATACTATTAAGCTCTTCCCTACAGTGTTTTCTTCATTTAGGTCGAAACATGCCAGTACATGGCGTCACTAAATATAGAGGTCTTGTAACTTGTCTACCCTGAACTTTATAGACCCTGTGAATTGCAAATGACTGACTACCTCATTAGAGCCTGCCACTGACCTTGTGCAATGAGTATTTTTATAAATTGGCCTGATAGCTAGTATTTTCTTGACATAGAAAAGAGCTGTCATTCAATAATAAACATATAGTAATTGCCAGGCATTGGTAGGATGAGCAGTTCCTCCATTGCTACGGAGTATATCTATGAATATTGAAGTTTGCGCGCACGCATCTGTCGGCTCTAGACGTAACGCCACTATATTTAGAGAGGCTTAGTGGCAACGTCTGCAACCCTGCACTTTAGGGCAGAGAATATTCGTATATACCCCGCAAGGCGAACGATGGCTTGCAATCAGCTTCCATGCCAATTTATAAGATAGCATAGTAGGTACTTAGTTATACTTACATTAGTAGTGTGTATATACGAGGCAACACGTGTAGTCTACGTCAGCTCGTGCACGCTAATGAACCCACCGATTTGAAACGAAACGATTACGCCAAGATCAAATCTTAGGCAAACAGTTTTTGTGCTGATAATACCCAAATTGGACTCATTAATTTCCCAGTGTACTCTCTGGAATGACCGCGGTTCAGCTCTCAACTTTATGTTTCAATGCTCGTGAGAAAACAACCCAAACTTGGGATCTACCTGGTTCTTAACCCCTCATCCACGAATAGATCGGCTGAGCGGCTTGCGGACGGAATGCCGGGTAGCCGTCGCTAGCTTCCGAGTAGTTTTCAGCCAGCCACATCCCCATACAGAGATGTGCAGGCTGGCTGAGACAAGTTCACCTCATCTTTGTCTTTTATTCGTGCAATGCCGCTCTGACCCTTTTGCGGCCAAGTCTAGACCATGATACGTAGAGATTGGCGTTTGCAAGTTTGTTGCTTATATAGCCCGATGGCCGCTCTGTTCTTGTTTCCTTCCTCAATTCACATATCTGATCCTGGAATATCTCCCGCTTACCTCTAAGCCCTTTCCGAACCCGTTGAACCTCTTGACCAATTCCACACGATCATCTGATAGACTGATCTTGACAAAATGTCTTCCGAAACATCAGTCAGTCTCCTTATGTTCCGCTGGCCTGAAAGAATGCTCACACGTCAGCAGTCCAAACCTACTATTTACATGATCCGACATGGAGAGAAGCCCGCTGAGGTTGACGGAAAAGAGCCAGATGGACTGTCTGCTCAAGGCAAAGAACGTGCAAACGATCTCGTCAATGTCTTCGGAGCCAATTCACCCTACAACATTGCATACATCATGGCAGAGCATCCTCACAAAGGTCCGTGCCCCCGGTTATATCTCCCTTTCGCAACGTTCTAATTGAAGTAGATGGCGGTCGCGATCGCCCTTGGAAGACCGTGGAGCCATTGGCGGATTCACTTGGACTTAAAGTCCATAAGAAGATTGAAAGGGATGATTACGCTGGAGCTGCAAGCAAGGCTTTGTCCTTTGACGGCCCGGGAAATGTATTGCTTTGTTGGGAGCATAAGTCTCTTGAAGGTATTGCCAAGGCGATTGGTATCCAGGGTTACGCGGCGGAGACTGGGTGGACTGGTGAGGTGAAGTATCCTGGGGATAGGTTTGATCTGATTTGGGTTGTGCCGCCTCCGTATACGGAGATCACTGTGGTAGGAAGTGAGCTGGTTCCTGGCTTGGATGATGGAGTTCACGTTAACGCGAATGGAGATGTTCCCCCTCCTTCGTCTGACTGAGGTGATCATAGCACTATTGAAGGTTTCTTTCAAGCTAGCTATTTCTTATATGCCTGTTATTACTCATATATGGCTCTCAATGGTGCAGGTACTGCCTAATTTTATGACAGTCAACCAGGCTCAATGCAAGTCCCCTAAATAGAAGGCTTGTCGTCAAAGTCAATATCGTCTACCGCGACAATGTCCCCTGTCCTGGCACCGAATCTATTTGCAATGCGCAGTACCATCTCTTGTGTCAATCGAGCCTCCTCTATTGTACCACCAACGCGAACAATACCACGCGTGTGCCACAATGCCTGTGTCGGAGAATTCACACACATGATAGCAGCAGTTGTGCAGATCTGCGTCTCCCTCAGCGACAGGATGGCATCCTCGCTAAACCAATACTCATAACTCCACTTCGTGCAGAGAAGGTCTGGTTTTGGTGAGAAATAGAACAGGAGATAGTAGGGGGATGCTTACAGGCGTCTGGATGGTTATCCCGAAGGAATTGCTTGTGGTCACGGGCCGCATCTGGTGTCCAGAGCATGTCAAAGTGGTGTTGGGCTCGCTCCTCTCTAGCCTTTGTCGCCTCTACGGAGCCTAGACTCTTGGTCCTATGTATAATTCAGTATGAAGCAGCGGTGGATAACATATCCTAGGGGCATATACCTTGGTCCATAAGCATCAATCTTGTCCTTGCCCATGGATCGGTATAGCGGCACAAGCGATTGTAGAGCCTTGGGAATCCCCATGAGGACGCTCGTCTTCAACAAGGCTTCCTTGATGCGTCGTTGGACAATTTTCTCCTGTTCCAATGGAAGACCAGCGACAGCAAGGTAGTACAGGTCTGGAACCCTGTCTCCGGCGCTTGAGGCAGCAAGCGCGACGGCCTAGACATCGCCATCAGAGATGAGCTGGATTGAAGGTTGCTGTTAGTCAACTTACCGCCGCTAGATACCATTTTGCGTAGATGGCGTCACAATCAGCTTCCGCTTTGCGGAAGTCAGCGAAGAGATCGACCAGGTCTGACATTTTTGTGAAGACCTGAATCAGATAGTCTGCGAGTTTGTGTAGTAGAAACAGTTCAGGGATCTCAGATCAAAGAGTGACACTTCAGGAACACCTTATACCAGCCGTCAAATAGCAATACAAGAGAACTTGATTGGTACCTTGGTGTATCCTGCTCAGCAGGATGACATTCTCCCAGAAGTTGCAAGCAGATATTCTGCTAGGTGGCTAGGCGCCGAAAAGTATCCCCGGATGTTCCAAGTTGTCTGCAGTGAGGTCAGCTCTTAGTTATAAGGCTTTCAAAGAGCATATACGCCTTGTACCAAATATATAACATTATATTAACTCACTATTGCGAAAGTATGGGTACTAATATCAGTCGAACCTAAATTACGACTCTCTGATAGGTCTGGAAGGCCTCCTCGGTCAAGCCGCGGAAATTCCGTTCCGTTTCAATTTGAGTTCCGGCAGATGCTGACCCTCGGCATTGCCCCTCTCCGATGACACTCGGCTTCTGTTCCAGGTAGATAACGTAAGCCCGAAGTGCGAAAGGCAAGGTTTGAGGGGATGATCGGTTCAGATGTGTTTCCCCATGAGCCCTCATGATAGGCTGCCGCTCCTTGTTGTCAATGGCTCACATCCGATGATATGCCCGGCATCTGAGTTACTCACTTGGATTGATCGGCCTATATAAGTCCGAGGCTAGTGCAGAGAAGAAGATGTGAGACATGGGCTATACAATCTTACATATTTGCAGAATCTCCAAACTACGTCACTAATCCTATTCGTTCATCATGACTTCTCCCCTGCCCCCTCTCCGCCGCATCGTCACAGGCCATAACAATACAGGCCAAGCGATTATTAAGTATGATGACAAAATCACTGCCAAAGTCGTGCCCCACGGCGCTGCTTTGAGGAGCTTATGGATCACCGACTCTTCTCCCGCCGATCTGTCATCCCAAAGCGACAATGCCGATGCCAAGGTTGGAATCTTCAACAACGGTTCTGTCTTTCGAATTGTGGACTTCCCACCCAGAACCTCAGGTCATATGCATCGCACGATTTCTATAGACTATGCCATCGTACAGAAAGGCACCGCCGTTCTTGTTCTCGACGATGGAAGCAGAACATCGGTGGGTGAGGGAGACGTTGTTGTGCAGCAAGGAACTATGCATGGATGGGATAATCCTACTGATGAATGGGTTCGTTTACTGGTGGTTTTGCTTCCGGCAAAAGCGCCCATAGTTGCTGGGAAGGAGCTGAAGACTGATACATCATCCCTGGGCATGTAAATAGCGTAACATGCACGCACAGTGTTGTATCGACCTCCCCAGTTGTCGCCCTATCAAGTCTATCGTTGTGTGAGATTTAGGGCTGAGGGAGTGCCTGGTTTAAGGAGAGATTGTAAAAAGCCAGCTGCTTATCAAGATGGAGTATACTAGAATGCCATCTGTCGCTTATTGGTATATAAATACAGAGAATTAAAGGCGCGTCTGAGATTCTATGCAACCGGCAATTCACCTCTAAACTAAGGTGCCGTTGGAGCAGCGGGAGTGGGGGCTCGATCAACGAAAATGTCGACAGGCTTTCGGTACGACACTGCCAAGTCGTCGGCACCGAGGAACACGCTATAGTCAGAGCCGGTACTGATAAAGAACTTGGTCCAACCGGTCTCAGTCGAAACAATACAAGTCTGTCTATCACCTGGTCCACTCGCCACACAGTCCAACTTGACGGCAGAGCACTGAAGAGCAGTACCAGCCGCAGGGTTTCGAGTACAGACAAGACGAGCCGTGCCGTACTGGTAGTACTCGGCTGAGCAAGGAGTCAAGGCCGCGCTTCGATCCATGTAAACATACTTTGCGCAGATGGGAATGCCGTCCCGGGTGAGGTATCCGGTGGTGTCATCGACGACGAAGCGGCCGACTGTCCATGTTGATGAGCTTCTACCGAAACTGAGGTAGTCGCCATTTGTCTTCGTCGACTTCAGAGGGAGGCCTTGGGCGAGCCATGGGCCGGCGATGAGGAGATGGTCAGTGGGAGCAGGTTCTTCAGAGGTGGTAGTAGTTGTCACGGCTGTAGTAGAAGGCTCGGCTTTGGTAGTCGTAGCTGTAGACGTCTCAGCAGCTGTTGTATCGGTTGAAACGGCGGTGGTCGTGTCAGCAGAAGTCACTGATGTGAATAGCGTCGTGTCAGAGGTTGCCTGAGACGACGTCTCAGAAGCCGAGATAGTGACATCGGTAGTTTCAACGCCGGTAGAGCCGACAAGAGTGGAGGCTTCAGTAACGGTAGTGTCGATCGCAGTCGTTGTCTCAGACTCAATCCCAGTTGGAGTTTCAGTAGCGAGAGTCTCGACTGTAGAAGTCGCGGACTCAGCGAACGTGTGGAGATCTCGGTTGCAGAGGAAGAGAAGGTGGCAAAAACAGCAGTTGAAACTATCTTGTATCAATTAAGCCATTCGACAAACTATGAGAGGTCAATATACCTGAAGTCACCGGCTTGCATGGGCTGGCAGCCACAAGCCCAAAGGCTAGAGAAAATGAGGCGTAGAAGCGCATTGCTAACGAAAGACTAAGGTGAGAATTAGATCGCCTACAGGTTCACAAACGAGACAATGAATCAGTGGCGGTTCAAGTGGCTTCTTATAAACCGTCAGGGCTTGGCGTTTGTGAAGCTATTGATCTCAGCTGTCAGTAAACCCTGTTATTTCCATAGCCGAGACAGAACTATCGAGTGTCATCCACACTAGCTAACGGTGTTGGGGCTGATTCCTTAAGTAGTGTCCAATAGTCAACGCCACACGTGCCATTTTACTCACTAGCTTTATGCATAGTGACATTACAACCTTAGATACGGGTGTGCCTACTCCGGCGATCCGGTGTCTTATTTGATACTCGATAGTTTCGTAGAGGCATCAGCTATTCCGTTGAGTTGTTGAAGATGAGATCCGTTTCAAGATCTCGGTCGCGAAATGAATATGAGCTGAGCTCCAGGGATATCAGAGAACGCATTGATGCGCACCATATCTTCTTGAGCTCAAGCTAATCAGCCTGTAATTGTTCTGAACGTATTCCGACAAGTACTCCATCTTTCACAAACAATCTCTCTTCTTTAGTCTCCCTCTGATTGAACATTCGTCCTATATCACAAAAGAAGTCTTTCACATTACCCATAAAGTCCTTTGGTGGCTCCTCAACCCGGATCATTCGTCCAACATCCTGATCTGATGCAAGGGTAGCTCTCTCCAAGATCGGTCCAACATTATCGCTCTGAGATATCTGAGCCATGGTGTGCCATGCATTTTCTAAAAAGCTTGACTCAGTATGAGACAAGAAAATGAAGGCTATGACTAGGAATATCATGGTATTCCCAGCTATGATGGCTATTAGCGTGACAAATCCCCATCTCCGAACTGGCTCCTGAACAAGATCGAACGTTGTGATCCTCGCTGGTTGTGCCGCCTCGGAATAAGATGTGATATGGCCATAGTATGCCATTCGCCCTACAAGTGTGGTCAAAGCTTGTATTGCGAGTGCAGGCGAGTTTGTCGTATTCATGATGTCGTTGAAGATCTGCCAAGTCAGTGGACTGACAGTGGCAATCTGAGAAATCTCTGAACTAGCAGAGTCACACGACGAACAAATAGCCAGGTTTGGAAATTTCAGGCTTGATAGCCAACTTCCTTTCTCTTCTCCTGTTTTTCTTCCAGTGGTCGGGTTCTGAAGCCTATCATGAAGACTTCGTTTCAGTAGAGTGGGAGATATATTCAGTATCTGACGCCCAGATGCCTTTTCTCGGTCTTGGGTACCAACAGCGTCGAGCTGTCTCCGAACAGAAGAAGTATCATACTTATTGCTGCTTATGTTGAATTGGTACTCGGGCTCAGTCACGCTTGAAGTAGTGGATGCTGTTATCTCAAGGTGTTCGACGAAATCGACACTACGCCCCGTTAGCGCCTACACAAAATTCCAATGCTTGAGCATAATCCTTACTCCGATCCAAGTCCAGGACCTAAGCACAATGTGGTCTGAATATATTCATCTCTTGTCGAGACTCCGTCTCTCAGCTTCACGCGGTTCCACTGCCGGGCCCACGGACCAGAATTACTCGAGTTCAAAAGAGTCCAGGTCTCATTTGTTGTCTCTGCTTCAAAAGACACCTCTCCACCAGACAGCTCTCTATCCTCTATGAATGATAGATCGGCCAACAGTTTCAAACCATGTCCTTCCCAAGGCGTAGGAGAAAACCCTTCTGGTAGTTTTGCTAATGGTGAATCAAGGGCGACCACATTGCGCTCTCCTAAGGTGTCCCCGCAGAGTAGCCACCTCGTGGATACAACGATCAGCTCCCGTTGTCTCGGGAATTGACAAATAAAAGAGATCAAAATTTGTTTATCATTCTCCCCGGGTACTGAAAAGCTGAAGCTAGTATCGTTATATACGTGATATGGTGGGAAGTTTGATAAGTCTGCTGTTGCATTCAGACACAAGGACCATACACCATCCGTTCTTTGCGAGCGACAGTACTTAGCCGTGAACTTGGGCCTCACGCATATCACGCGAGTATCGATTACTCGAGCAATGCCCTTAAAGGACTGGATAGACTCCCTCTGAGCTTTGGTCGAGATGGGAAGAAATGCTCTCAAGGCTGTGCCTGTATCGTGTAACTCATCAGATGACTCTCCAGGTTCTGAATATTCTGCAAATATCTCAGATTGAGAGGGTACTCCACTCCAGTACTTCAGACTGTCTGCTCTTAGTGGTAGAGGTGTTCTATCCCAAGATGTAACCTCCTTTATCGCTCCAAAGGTGAATCCATAACTCATGTTCTTCCTCAACGACAGGATGGTAAGCTCTCGAAGATCCGAAACAAGCAAAGTGGAGGCGAACTGTGATGCCCCCACGAGGGCAAAAAGACAGATCATGAGGATGCGAAGCCAAGGTCGGAATGTTGTACCAGGAAGCATGTTCTTTCACGATTGCGGTCCGCTATTTGTAAAGCGAGCAATAGATATTTCTGCGAGAGCTGAAATAGGTACGCCATGAAGCTCTAGTGAAATTGAAGCAGCCATAGACGTTGTGATAGCAGCGAGAGTACCGATCGCCCATCTTATAAGAACACTCATCAACGTGATTGATTGGGTTGCCCGTCCACTGAGCATGAATCGTCGCCAAGCCTGACTCCCTGTCCTCGAATCAGAGCCATGATAAAAAGACGACAGCTTCCACCAAGACGATAGAAGACGTGGCGATGGCTGCCCAAACACCAAAACCTATCGTCATCGGGCTGTCATTTGAACTGCTTGAGACATTTTGGCTGACTGGAGAACCCTCTGGTTGGAGGCATTCCGTTTCCAAATTCTCGCCGGCCCTGGCTTTGGTCGAGGTTGCCATAATCAGACTGACGCAGGAGGTCTCTGAAGGAAGATTGACGACTCATGATGGAGAGGTAAGACGAAGCAAGTTACTGCACTAATGGGGTAGACAAAGACATTCAGGACATGAAAATTATTAGGGCCGCGGGATTATATCAATAGCCATCCTGTGAAAACTTTCGAGTCTAGAGGCTTAGCTGTACGACTGTTACACAATTCCACATATACGAGAACACATGTTGCGAATACATTGGTCTAGAGGCGATACGAGTTACACCAAGTCAGCAATATTCTCAATTGACCGTCGTACAAGGCGTATTCTAACCAGCCCTCACGTACGCCGTTTCTCTTAAATAAAGTGAGGGAATACGCCTCGGGGCATAATGAACCGAAGGTGAGTCACACCATGAAATTCTGATTCATTGACCAAGTTTACCCCGAATGATCGGAGGTATTTTGCTTGACCAGCCGCCTGTTTCGGTTTAGTCTCGCCATTCTGGCTGCGGGTGAGATGGTGAGACCCTATTCGGGATTAGCTTTCCTTGACCATTACGACCTCATCAAGTATAAAATCCTGATCCATTATCCTCGAGTTCTGCTTCACATCCAAAAGCATCTCTCAAGTCTTTCATCAGTGTCAATTGTCCCCAAACCTTTTACAATGGAATTCGCCATGCCCCTCGAAGAGCGTTTGTCGCTCCGCCAAGAACTTATAGACTCAAACGACAAGTTCATCCTTGATCTTCCCAAAGTTGAACTCCACGTCCATATCGAGGGCACTCTAACCCCCGAACTCCGCTGGAAACTCGCCAAGCGCAATAACCAGATTCTGAAGCTTGAGCGTACTGGAACTGTGTACACCAGCCTTGAGCAGCTTAGAGCCTCGTATTACATCATGGAAGCCCGTCCAGGTCATCAGATTGACAACGCGGAGGAGAGTTTCACTTTCTTCGAGGCTTACTATGGAGGGTTTGATGTTCTTGTTACTGAGGAGGACTTTTATGACCTTGCGATGAATTACTTTGAGCATGTTGCCGGTATGAATGTGAGGTACTGCGAGTCGTTCTTTGATCCGCAGGGTCATACGCGCCGTGGAGTAGAGTTCAAGACGGTCATGAATGGTTTCCGTCGGGCACAGGAGGAGGCTGAGAAAAGGCTGAACGTAAGCAAATACTGACTTGGATATGATCTTTGTTAACAAATTACAGGTCAAGTCGAAGTGGATCATGTGCTTCTTACGTGACATGTCACCAGAGTCAGCCATGGAGACCTATCAGTCTGTTCTTCCCTACCGCGACATGGTCGCCGGAATCGGTCTTGACTCTGACGAAAACGATCGCCCTCCTCTGATGTTCGAAGAAGTATACAACAGAGCTAGACACGACGGCTTCCGTATCACTGCCCACTGCGACGTTGGCAACAAAGATGCGCATAAACACATCCGTCAAGTCGTCAATGACCTCGGCACAACTGGCGCTGACCGTCTAGACCACGGCATCAATGCAGCTCAAGACGTCGACATCATGCATCGTATTAAAGAAAGGGGCATCGGAATGACACTCACGCCATGGGGATATCTTCGTCACGAACCAGTTGACGAGATCTTCCCTAGAATTCGCACCTTGTTTGACGCTGGTATTCCGATTGCTATTGGAAGTGATGACCCAGCTTATATGGAAGATACGTGGATCCTGCATGATTGGCTTCTGGTCAAGAAGATGTGCGAGTTTAGTAATAGAGAAATGGCGACTTTGGCCAAGAGTGCTATTGATATATGCTGGGCTGAGGATGGGGTGAAGGAAGAGATGAGAAGGGAGCTTGTGGAAGTTGTGGCGAAGTACTCAATATGAGTATCGGCTGTGTTAAGGGAGGTTGCAAGTTGGTAGAACATGGTGTTTCTGCAAGCAGAATAGCTGCCATCCAATTGATCACCTTGACTGGCTTTCCTTCCAGTGCCGGTACTTTATTGTGACTTGTTGAATTGCCGACACGATATCGTAGAGATAGATCGCCTTAGAGAAAGGTTTCCCAGTAACTTCAAAATGCCACTGCGTCATCAAGTTTAAGAAGTATCTATGGGATTACTGCCGCCTATAAGGTTAAGCATTAGGTTGCGAACACAGGTGATGGATGAGGACACAATATTATTTTTATGGTTTTGCCAGGTCAGGTGCCTTGGTCTCGCAGCTTTCGCTAAACAAACGAAAGCCATTCTCATTTATACTTTCGAGGAACTGGGCTTCTCAAACGCAGCGAATCATATCATCCAGTCATGCTTCTTTATCCTGTTTGCTTTTATTACTTTGTTATCTATGCATTTAAACACGAGCCGTCGAGTATGAAAGCGGATTCTCTCAAACCGATATAAGTCTTCATATAAGTTGGTTGCACATCCCTTTAATTCTTTCTTTCAACTTACTACCACGTACCACTCTCCCCACATTCAACTCAAACGTCTTCACATTCTTTCATCCTGCAGGATCCTACTTGACCTCAAGATGCGCTATGGGAGAAAGGCTCCCGCGTCCAAGGGCGAGTCCGAGCAGTCGTCCAGCACCCCAAGTATCAGCTCGTACACGCCAGACCAGAAGCTTCGACAAGACCGTATAATCCACAATATGGGCTGGGCCAATATGGGCTTGTCCGAAGAGAAGCAAAGAGCCATGGCGCAGACCTTTTATAATGAGATCCAGAAGGCCAAGGCTCGCGGCGAGTGGTAAAGCAACGCCAGATACAAGGTGGTTAATGTTAATCTGGGAATTCTAACAGGCTTGGGCCATCGCAGACTGATATTCAACCCTCATGTCTGAGGTAGTTGTTGTCTTTGGGAAAATGGATGACTTTGTCTGGCGTGAAGATAGTCACGGGATGATAAGGGTTATGTGAACTTTGTTTTACAAACTGTGCTCTTAAAAAGACAACTATTCTGAACTTATTCGGCATGGGCCACCGTAAGTTTACCACGAGAGGCTTTTGAGCAAGTCATTAGAGACTAGCCTTATGGTAATCTGGGTACTTCTTTCCAAGCCAACCACGCTACGATCAATTGTAATATGCCAACCACCAACGACAGCAGCCCTAGCAGAACCGACAGGAAAAGCCCTATAATAGCTACAGTCAATGCATTCCTCTCCGACGTGTGCCTTTCAAACCACGAGACAAAAGAATTCGTTGGCGGCGGCCGCTTAACAACCTCATACAACTCAGCCAACCGGGGCCCCCAATATGTAAACAAGAAGCCATCCGGAATTGGTCTCACAAATTCCACCCATGTTGCCTCGGGGTCAAAACCATCCTTTTTGATCAATTTATTTAGTAGCTTCATCGACCTCTTGTTTCCTATACTTGCTACTGGAAAAAGAATGATATGGATGGTAGCGAGTGTCTCGAAGAGTAACCGTGGGGGCAAAATTCCCCTGTGTCGGATCAGCATTGTATCATATCGTGTTAGGGGCACCTTACAGTTTCAAGCTTTCCTCGAAATTGAGATCGAAATCAACATCCTTCCATCGCTTCAACTGGCTCTGAAGGAACATGGTCTGGTGAAACACGTTGAGTACCCGATCTTTGGGGTCGTAGAGCAGGTGGTCTATCAAGTTATCGGTAGGCCGGATCTTTATCTTGTTCCTTTTGGCCAGTTTCCATGCCTTCAATGAGCCTCTGTACCCCTTTGCATCCTGGGCAAGAGTTGAAACCGGGTTTGGGGTGAAAGCTTTCTCCAAAAAGTCGGCAAACCCTTGATCCGGTTCCCACTTTACGCGCGTGGCGGTGGCAGACTGGAATCCTTCTGAGTAGTAGTCCTTTGACGCACAGTTGACCATGAAAGCGGCCCTGACAACTGCTCTAGTTGCATACTCCTTCTCCGCAGGCCTGGCGTCCTGTCCAGAAAAGGTCGCATCGATAAACCCATTCAAGGTTAATGTCGGGTTTCTTTTGAGTATTTGGACGCAAGATAAGACATCTTTGTGCGACTTCAACACAGGACTTTCGATCTCGGCGATGGCGTCTCCAAACGCTGACGGGCTGAGAACTGCATTGTAATGCTTGAAGAATGCGCGGAAAATTGGGGTTGTCGAAGGGCTGTAGGAGGGGACGCCGAGAAGCTCAGTTGCGAGCATCTCGAGCTCTGCGTCGTTGCAAGAGTGCATTTCGAAATGGTTTGTCAAGGCCATGGTCCTTGACTGAACTATTATTTTCGAATGGAACGCAAGTCAAAGTCAGCCTTGGTAAGCACAGCCACCACCAGACACGCCCGGCTACAGTGATGGTGTGATGACATGCAGGGAGACGAATTGCTATAGGTTGACATAGTAGGACTCACCTTACCGGATATGATCATCTACAGTAGCTTGCCAAATCATTCTGCATCTGTATTTTGGCCAATTTGCCTGAACCCCGCCGCAAATCAACATTTTCCCCTCTTTGTCCAGCCCATGGAGAATCTAACACTTGATCACTAACACCTTATGCTTTGTTTCGGACCTTTTCATGTTCCTATGACGGTGAATGAGACTACGTTTTTTCGCGAGTCGGACAAGTCGCTACATGTTCCGAAAAGGTTCAAGACTCTAGCGTCGACTCTCACAGCAAGGTTGGAATGAACTGACAAGTTTGAGACGAGTTGATCTTCTGACCTCATCACGTCTAGTATATTTCGCAGCATTCTTCCAGAACCACCAGCACCCTCCCCAACCCGGCGAGTCTCCTGTGATGTCAAGACTGCACCACATAATTCGACTGCGCATCCCATTATAGTAGAGTCCGCTGATGATGTCGTTCTTCCGGATGATACGCAAGACCAAGAGCCGATTCCCACTGCGGATGAGCCGGAACACCAACAGGAAACTGGTCCATTCCGAGATGCTGTCGAGCTGCCACATGTTTCACCCAAGATCTTCGTATATCCACACAGCGGATCACAAGTCAACGATGTGTTTCGGAGCCGCTTCCACGAGGTGGTGAATCTATTCAGATTGAACACGGAGCAACATTCGCCGTTGAAGGCTCATCTAGAGCACATCGACTATGAGCTAAGGATGTGTGGAACTTCAATCTCTGAAGCCCATCCATCCATCATCGTGTTTTGTCGGCCCAGCGAGTTCAGCGACTTGAGATCACTTCTCAACAGTAAACACCTCAAGATGCAGTATTGTTTGCGCAAGTCGTCTCCGAAATATTCTTGGAAAACCTGGGGGAAGAGCCCTGCAATACAGTCTTCAGACACATTCAAACCATTATTCAATCTGTACTTCTGGAGAGCGCAAAGGCCGCGCATCCTGTACTCGCACATGCACTCTATGGAGTCGGCCCCGGTACTCGCTGAAGGTCCGTGTTCGAGGCTCACCATGTCGGGTAGTGTTGTTGCCGCCCCGTTATCAGGTGGAGGACATTTGACTTCGACAATTGGTTGCATCCTCCAAGTTGATTCAAAGTTCTATGGGCTGACCGCTGGGCATTTGCTTCCGCGAGCACGCCTGCAAGGGACAAAGAGCCCCCAGTCTGGTGACTCGCATTGTATAAACGGAATGGAGTACACGCTACAGGGGCAATATGCGGCTTCAATTATCACACAAGCAAGGGCTACTCCGTCGGATGATGAATCCAGCATGGTTTCAGGCGATGACATGGCCGAATCTGCCTACACAGCACACACTTCCCTTCCAGACTCGGACCTGAATCAACATATGATCGATGGCAATGGCACTGACGATGATGATTTCGTGGATGATGTCGACTACGACGACTTGGTAGAGAATGATTGGGAGGCGCCAAGGGCTGCTGAAGATGCTGAAACCCAATCTATCCTTTTTGAGAATGGTCAGGCGCACAAGACCACCATCCATGCTCCGCCCAGCTGCTCGACAATGGGCGCATGTTGCAAAGTCCCGGACAATGATTGGGCTTTGGTAGCCTTGGATGCAACAAAGCCTCAGTTACCCAATGCCTTTTTAGACACCAACCAAAAGCCCGATCCAGTCTTTTTCTCCAGCACTCCTGGAAATTTACCTAAAGAAGAGATTCCTGTCTTGATAGTTACTTCAAACCAAAGAGTACTGAGGGGACTGCTTCAGCCCGTTCCGTCTTTCTTGGGAGGCATAACCCGCAAGGTGCAGGCCGAGTACTGGACTGTGATCTTGTCTAGAGGCGCAATTCTGCACTCGGGGGACTCGGGAGCCATCGTCATAGGAGCCGATAGTCCGATTCTTGTTTTTGGTCATGTCGTGGCGTCGAATCCTCTTGGTGAGGTCTATGTAAGTCCACTTGTCGCTACCATGAGTCAGATCGCGGGCTTGCTGGAAACCACGCATGTCTCCCTTCCGGAGCCACTCCCGCTATTAACAGGTCTTGCGAGTTATCACTTCGGGAAGGGGGATGACTACGCTTTTGAACTGCTGAAATACCTCGATGACTGTATACAAGCAACCCAACAGACATCAGATTGGTCCTCACTAGAATCCTGGGCTTTGTGCTATCAGCGAGTTGAGCTTTTGGAGGCTGTCAAGGATACTTTGCGTGTGGCGAAAGATCCTACAAAGGTAATCATGACAACACAGCTTAGTGGGGAACATGTGCTTATTAGTCTTTTGAACAGGTACGGCTTCTACAGAAGTTCTCGCCCGATCATTCAGAGAAAGTGCTAGGCTCCGACTTGGTGATGCCTTTCGAGGCGGAATCAACTGCCTTGTCGACGGCAATGAAGAGTAGGACGTCTACTATCTTCACTGAAGACACAGACGATTCGGATTATGAGTTTGATACTGCACAACAGGAAAGGATAACCCCAAAGGAGCCTTGGAGTTGGCCCAGAAACAGTCTTGATGCAGATGGCTCTGCTTCAGATGCTATCACTAGACCCTCGGAGCATGACTTTCAAAGTGAACAGACTGGGAGAGATGGCAAAGTTGATGACCAACGCTATGTCCGAGTCGCAGACCAGTGGCGCTCTCCAGAAGGAGCTGGCCTAGCTAACCACATCGAAGAGAACGTGGGCATCACTCAAGATCCTAGTGAACCATCTCACCAAAGAGTCGAACCCGGTCATGCTTTTACCCGTCAGCGGCGGCTTTCTATCGAAGAAGACATGTATTACCAACATATCTTTCTATCGCAACCACGTCTACCGCCTTCATATTCAGTCTGGGCGACTAGGCCTTCCCAAAGCAGCATAAATGGAGGTCTGTCTGGAACGCAAGCCCAAACCAGGGACCAGGAAATAGCACCTTTCCCACACGAAACGCTGCCAGAGTACCGCTGCGAAATCGATCTAAAAGGTGTATTCATGCACAAGATGGAAATCAAGAACGCGATCCAGCGAGCCGAAGATCGCCAGTGGCGAATGATCTACGTTACTCTCCACGGCACGGCCCTGAACATCTACAACGTCAAGAAGCGTTGGCAGTGGGGGCGAACCAAGGACGAGCCCAATATCAATCCAGATAATCCGCCGTGGATAGGCCAGGGGGACTTGGTGAAGAGTTATAGCCTCCAGTATGCCGACTGTGGCATCGCGGCCGATTACAAAAAGTAAGTTGAACAGCTTTAACGCATCATCAAGACTCAGCTGACACGAGTGAATCAGGAAACGCTATGTTATCCGGCTGCGAGTGGAGACAGACCAGTTCTTAATCTCTTCGGTCGAGCTTTCAACTTTTAACGCGTGGCTTGACGGGCTAAATGCGGCCATCAGTGTTGCGGCGCCCATGGAAGACTGGGACTTTCCCCGTGACATGAGCGTTCCGCGGATACAGCGTATTCGATGGTTTCACGGTCAAGAGCCAGCACCGACCCCTGATCTTGACCTGAGTCAAACTGATTCGCCGCAATTAAGCACAACAGCCGGGGACGACAGCGTATCTGGCAGCAGTGAGACCACTACAACGAGATTGCCTGACGTTGGAGCTGGCTTATCCCTATCCCGGCGCTCGACCGACTCAACCCCAAACAACTCGGTAGATCCAGTGACGGGGAAATGGGCACCGGAACGTCAATGGTCGAGTGCACACGACATGCTATACGCTAAGCTGTGCTACCCTAATCTGCTCTTCAGAAGCCCTCGGAAGAGCAGTTATATCATCTCGAATGGCAAGAAGTGGTATGTCGACTGGAAAACGGGTAGGATGGTGCCGACGTTGCCACCCGCGTATGGATGACAGACTGTATATTATGATACACTAAAGTGAGGTTACGATGTGCTACAGTGCTGTATCTGTGAATGATATTACATATTCTTTTCAGCTAAATATATATCACGATAGCTGCGTTTATAACCAGTCAATACCGTTATCCATAAGGTCATCTAAGCACTGTATTACCAGATGCGAACTAGGATATCCTATTACTTATACCAAAGAGTATTTGATACCACGCGCGCGGGTAGTTGGTAAGGTGACAAGATGACGCTTATTCATGCTCGAGTCTAACCAGAATAAGCAAATGGTCCCCCTGCTTGTGGCTCGACGATTACCTGAGCATCGCTGACCAATGTGGTATGCAATGAAACACCAAGAAATGCACTTACTAAAAGTCGAGATGCAGTATTGGTAATGGATCAAATGATTCATAAATAGCTCCTTTTTCCTGAACGACTTTTGCCATCAATACCATCACTCAGCATCCAAGCATCATATCAATCAACCTTACACTATCAATCCATCATTAACATGTCTTCTCCCATCGTTCTTATCTTCGGCGCTGGTGCCAAGGTCGGCAAAAGTGTCGCCCAAGCCTTCAGCGCAAAGGGCTACAGACTAGCTCTAGCTTCCCGATCTCAAGACCCATCAACTTCAACCGACAAAGAGCTCCATATTCCTACCGATCTCAGCGACACCGATTCCGTCATCCAGGCCTTTACAAAGGTCAAGACCGAGTTCGGCCATCCCCACGTCGTCATCTACAACGGTCAGTGAATCTCATTCGTTATTAAAACTTCATCTAATTGATTGACAGCTTATCATGGCGGACAAAACGATCCCAACGACATTTTCCAAGTTACGCTGAACAGCTTCAAGACGAGCGGGGAAGTCAACATCTTTAGCGCTTACGCCGCAGCCCAAGAAGCTGTCAAGGGCTGGAAAGATTTCCCTAAAGATAGCAGCCCGACGTATATTTACACTGGCAACATTGAGAATGAGATGCGCATTCCGTCGATGATGTCGCTTGGTGTCGGAAAGGCTGCGGCGGCTTGGTTCATTGAAGTCGCTGCTACTTCATACAAGAACCAAGGCTACAAGTGAGCTTTTTGTTGAGGCTGCTGCGAGAAACAATGCTAATAGTTGATAGGTTCTACTATGCTGATGAGAGAAAGGAGGATGGCTCGCCTATGTATAGTGGAGCGACTGCGGAAGGTCATGCTCAGTTCTATGTTGAGCTTGCTGAGGGTAAGGAGCAGCAGGTTTGGCAGCAAACTTTTGTCTCTGGGCAAGGCTACAAGAAGTTCTGATTGATGAGCCAGTACTATTTGTCTCTGTCAGTTAGGTCAAACGCTCATAGTACTCAATCATTCCTAAGAATGTCACTGGTAATAGTTCTCGTTCAACGAAGTGTATTTATAGTAAAGAGATATATACGTTGAAAGTACAGAACTGGTAGCTTTCCTCAACCTCAACAAGAGGTGCTTCAAGCACCTTATTAACCCCTTATCCAACATCCATCCATCCTCCACAGTATTACCGCCTCAGCATAAAGTTCGAGGCCTCAATCGTAAAGCGCTTAGCAAGACTTGACGGAAGAGTACTTGCAAGCCTTGCTGGGACCAGAGCCAATCTTCTTGGGCTCCTTGCCGGGAACGGTACCCTCGTACTCAACGCAGATCTCCTTCACGGAAGAAGCGCAAGTGCCAGTGATGGTGGAGATGTCACCCTTGTTGGAGTTGATGCCAGTGAGGACCTTTCCGTTGAAGGCCTTGACGTTCTTGACGACAACGTTGCGGGTGCCCATCTTCTTGCAGTTACCGCAAGATCGGTAGAGCTTACCGAAGTCAACAACGGTGAAGCCATCGATGGTGACCGTTCCGAGACCGTTGTGCTGGATGACCTTGTCTTCAGCACCGGTAGCACCACCACCCTTGATGAGAGCGTTACCGTCACCCTTGAGGGAGAGAGCATCCTCGCAGACCTTCTTCCACCAGACGTTCTCAATAGTGCAAGAGCCCTCGCAGTGAACACCCTCGATCTGATCAGCGCCAATGATGACGTTCTTGAGGGTAGCGCCGTTCTTGAGGATGAAGACAGCGTCGGCGTCTGTGCCCTCGACCTGGCCAGTGCACTTGACGCCGCGGCCGTAGGTCTTCATGCCGCCGTCGAAGGTGCCGGAGATGGTCTGGGCGCTCTTGTAGGTGACGGAGCCCTTGGAGGCGGGGATGGGGAACGAGGCGCGTCGCTCGAGGGCGCCCATGGTGTTGGGGGTGATGTTGCCCTGGGGGGAGGCCATGGTGGCGGAGGCGAAGAGGCCGGCGAAGACGATGGAGAACTTCATTTTGATGGATTTGTTAGTTGTTGGTTAAAAATGAGGGTTGTTCAGATTTCTTGTGAGATTGTAAAAGAGAGGATAACCACCAGGGCTAAAGAGTGTAGAAAGTTAGATTGTAAAGAGAGACTATTGAACTGCAGAACGAAAGAGATAAACTTGAAGGGAGGATCCAAAGTCTTTATAGCACAATGTCATGAGCATTCCTCTCGTGATGGGCCTTGTTAGGTTCATGTTTCAGATCTCATTCAAGGGTGTCGTTGGCAGAAAACGTCCTCTGATTGGAGGAATATTATTCGCACATCGAGAGCATGTCACCCATCGACCTAATCTAGAACGTGTCACCATGCAATCCATCTACCTGTTTCTCGGATGGAGCCGCAGGGAGAAAAAACACCCTAGCAAGGATCGCATCTAGCAAAATCCCCAGTTCTCTGTATCAGTCAACGCGTATTCGGTGCGCGTTTTGCATCGACCTCCATACATACGAGAATTACAACCCGCTAACTACCAGCATACTAAATCGAGACACGATAAGGTCACAAACTCAATCGCGGTAAACCCAAACAAGTGACATCGTCCGATGGACAGGGCTGAAAAGGTGCCCCCCCCCCCGCCGGAAATTAGAGTGGAATCATGACAGGTGGATTTTTTTAGGGCCGAGAGTGGTCAAGATACGATGCACCAATTTTACGCTGCCCCTGTATGTAACTTAAGTTTAAATTCTCCCTTTATTTTTATTCTGTTAATGCTTAAAAACAAGCTTCATTGGCAGTGACAGACAATTGTGGCGCTTGTTTTGTGAAGCGGGCTAAGCTTTTTGGTAGAGACACCGTAACTGAAACGCAGACATCGAATTCAGCTAGCTGTCTGTGCACTTTAGGGCGCGATGAAAATTAAGGGGCCTACTAGAACAAGATACGGTGAACTTGCTCCAGACTTAAAAGGGAAATCTGGAGCACTCGGGTTTTTGTTCATCCCGACTTCCGGCATCCTTGGGTACAGCAGACAGATGTTAGGTGATGACTCCATATTCCACTGTGGATTTCATGGTGGGAGCCCATATTTCGGCCCTTCAATTGACAATGGCATGTCACTGTTTTATCTCCACAGAACAGAATCAACTTCCAAGGTTTTCTATTGCCGACGGGATTGAGAAAAGTGGTGCGGCGTACTCCGTAGGTTAATTGGCAATGGCTGTTGATCATATTCTGGTCGATTGGCCGTTACCCTAGAGAAAGCCACGATTAAAGAAGAGACGGAGTTCTTTACGCTGCGTAGGACATATTTCATTATGAGCCTACTCTTGTCTATGGTTCGACAAAGATCAAGTGCCCTGCCCCAGTGTTGGTGCTGAAAAAAAAAGGTCAAGTCATGAAGATGTATTAGTGTTCCATACTTGTGATACACGTATATGAAAGGCCTGTACATTTTCCCTTGGCCTTGCTCCCTACGCTTCGAATTCCAAGTGCTCCAATACTTACTCTTATTGAGATTGGCTACTTTATTCGAAGCAGTTAGCAACCCAAAACTACCGAGTTACTCCATAGGCAGGATAGAAGCAGACAAGCTTTACGGCGCAGCGACTGAGTAGTGATTAAACCCCAGGACGCAAAGTATCCATTACTGTGCCTCTCCTATACGACCTCTCATCTAATCAATCTGCGCCCCTTATCAGAGAATTGGAGGCCTGTTCCTGTCTTGTCGGCGCGATGTGCTAGACCCATCGAGCAGAGAATACTGGGCAAATTAGCCCCCAAGCTTGAAACACGCCATAACGCCAATCCTTGTTCACGCTGACTGGACTTGGCTAGCCATCCGTATACGCACGGAACTTACCGTCTTACCTCCTCGATCGATGGTTTACGGGTGCAACCTTGCCCCGAGACACGGATTTACAGGGAGTCGGGTGTTTAACTCTTTGTTCTCGGCCTCTCGGCGTAGATCGATGCGAGGATGAGTGGAGGCTAGGCAAAGTTGCTGATACTTGAATGACTTGGCTGCCATTCTTGAGATCAATATGATGAGTTTTGCAAGTACTGATAAGGAATCAGAGTCAAAGAAGAAGGCCATCCTGGCTAATTCGCGGTTTTCCCTCTCCAGAAATGATGAGGTGTAGATCCGAAGCTGCAATGTAACGTGTTTGTCGTATCACGGGATGTCCGCAAACGGGGGTAACAGAGCCCCAAAAGACAGCATGTTAATACAGGGGATCATACATCTTTATTCGTGGGCTATATGACTACCGGATTGTTAGACAGACTAACCATTATATATTAGTCACGCGAGCAAAAGGTTCTCACGAACACGGTCGGACTTGATCAATAATCACCACCTCGGAACTCGGGGGGTTTCCAACCTGACAACTAATCTCTCCCTAGAGTCTCCCGATAAGCCGGAGGAAGGATCCCCTCCAACGCAGCCTTGATCTGCAAAGCCAACGTCCGCGAGTGCCACCGATGCTGCTGCGTATAACCCCCCATGACCCAATAATTCTCCATTTTCAGGTGTCTCTTCCACATTCCTCGTATTTCACCTTCTGAATCAATGCCCCATGTTGCATCGAGACGATCTGCAATCTCACAAGGTCCCAGAATATTTCCATCACTGGTAGTCTGACTTTCGCCTCCCAGGATCTCAGCGGCAACATCTCGAACATCCCGATCCGCGAAACCGGTACACCAAATCACGGCATCCGCGGCCGCCGAACTTCCATCTGAGAACTGAAGACCGGTCTCAGTAAACGCGGTTGGTTCAACTCCTGCCTTGACGCTGACTTTGCCCTGGGCTATAATATCTGTTCCGCCGACGTCAACGTAGTGTCCACCAGCTCTCTCAATCAAATTAGAGAAGAGTGCTTGATTAGGGTCTGCACTGTCGAGTACAGGAAACCCAGCTTCTTTGAGAGCACTATAGCGATCTGGCTCTTGGTACGCGAGCACTCTGAAGAGGTTTCGCGCAAGTTGACCTTCCACTGCGGATGGAAGCATGAGAAACATTCTGTCGCCGCGTGCCACGTCAAAATTGTACGCGCCTAGACTGACGTCGTTGCAGATATACTCAAATGGGCAGATGTATGTTGGCGATCGCACGACCATTGTTGGGTCGAGGCCGGCTGCATGACAGTCACCGAGGATGTCGAAAGCCGTGTTCGCTGATCCTATGATGAGGACCGATTGTATATGTTAGACTGTGTGACCATACCGAAGCTTTTCTACTAACCTTGACGCCTTGTTCGGCCAATTCTCTTCCATTCTTGTAATCCGACGAGTGGATATTGATCCCTTTGTAGACCTCAGCATTTGCAATGTTCGGAACGTACGGCTTTTGCGAGGATACACCCGTTGCTTGGACTAGTTGTTTAGCAGTCACTACAACCCCTCCAGCAGGAGTTTGTAGTTCAATCTTCCATTTCGCACTTGTCGTATCGTAGACCGTCGACCGAATTGTTGCCGACGTAATGACGTTGAGGTTGAATGACGCGACATATTGTGACAGGTGATTTGCCAGTTCATCCTTACTCAGACGATGAAGGCCCCAGAGTTCTTCGGGGTAGCCTACACGTGTTAGCTGGACCTCCGTCTCTAGAGAGGCTGTTTAGCTTACTCATGTACGGCATGTCGCAGAATGAGGTTGGCACGTGGAACTTCATGCAGTCATAGCGCTTAGCCCAGTTATCGCCAACACGGGCATTTCGTTCAGCCATGATGCTCTCTACACCATAGGCCTTGAGCCGAGCGGCGAGGGCTGCAGCGCTACAGCATCGTTAGTCAAAGCAGAAGAAGAGACTGGGGTAATCGACTAACGCGTTGCCGCCGCCGATAATCAAGACATCTGTATCAATATCTGTCATACCGCTAATATTGCGACCGGGTGATTGAAGCAGAGATTCATTTTCTGGACGGACGTCCAGGTTCTCGAGTTTGGTGCTCAGGATCCAGATCTTCCACTCTAGGCTGCCCTCACTGCCTTCAACCGGGAGGAGTACGATCCTTGCACTGCATGAAGCTGCGGGTGACAATGTTCTGAACGACAACGCGACGTCAATGAATTGCTAGAGATAAAAAAGCTAGTATTAGTCTTTTACTCATAACAAAATTGATCGATAGAAGACCTACCAGTACCGGTGTCGCAGCGATAAAAACCGCGCCTTCCATGTTCCATCTCATAGATGGTCCTCTCATCTTGTTAGTTTCTAACAAATTGGCGGCTATGACTGGAGGAGTGTAAAAGGTTCGCAAATGATAGGTAAATGCCAATGCATCCTTCCAGTACGCTTGATCCGCGAAGAAGCAGTCCTTAAGAGCTTGGATGTCATTATCTCTCAAAGCATCGTGGAATGCTTTGATAACGGCCGTGGCTTGGTCTAATGGATCGGCATCTTTGAAGGATATCTTTTCGATGATTTTCGGTGGAAGAACAGGGACAGGTCGTTCATCGAAGAGTTGAAGTAGACTTGCGGCCGGCGGGTAGGGCCCAGAGATATTGTCTTTCAGGCTATTGCCAGAGGAACAGCGACCGTATCTGGGCAATTTGCTTACCTAGTTCCATGCTGAGATAATACTTTAGGGTTGCGGTTCGGTGAAGCTGTGAAAGGCGAATATTGAATGCGGGGATGTAGGATTGACAAACTGGGAAAGTCAAGGAAGGGTATAAAAGTGGGCGATTATACGGTATGCCCAGAGACGATATAACGACAGGTGACTTTTCATCCAAAGGTATCCATTCCAATGCATGTTTGCTTTCAGCCCTCACCAACCAACACAATCTTATGCAGCTTGCACCAAACCGGTGACGCGTCTGCCTGTCCGGGGTCCGAAGCCCGGAACCAACAGAAGAAGTTGTCGAATCGCGATAGCGCTGGAGACATCAGTTCTGTTGGTTACCAAGGGCCGGTGTAACGCTGGCGCACAAGCCACCAAAAAACAGCCCCGTGAGGTGTCAATCAGTTATTTTGAGGCTGTTTCGACAAGTGTTATCTTTGCTGCTGCAGCTGCTCATATTCCCAGACCCGCAGAATCGCGCAAGATATTGCTTGCAAAGCAAGTGCCCATTGGACAAGGCGATGAACATATTGAGACCCGATAGCCCGACGAAGCGAATTGCAGCATCGGCTATTCGTGATATGTTTCACCGGCTGTTTTATCGGAGAGTCTGATCACACCACTCCACGAGCTTTTTGTGGTACTGCATATGCAGCTTACACCTTGATATTCGCCGATCTGCCATTTAGTGATATTGTCTGGCAATTTGTGAGTCCTACGGAAGCCGGCTCGTTTCCGACTACAATCAGGTATCGATGACTGCTACATAGCAAAGAGCAGACTCTTAGTCTGCTACGTAACCTCACCAAACTACTTTCTGGCGTGACGAATCTCTCCGTTTTGCGTGGTGGGAATAAGGAAATTCTTTGCAATCACGATATTCTTGTTCCAATTGTTGGGATACGAGGCGTGCTTTGAGGGTTACAGTACTCACTTTATGACTCATCAAGCTTGACTCTCTAACAAACTCTCAACCCTAGGGGAGAGACAAACGACAATGACCTTGATAATGGCTACAAGACTATGTGTGAGAATAGAAAGGGGAATTGTAACGTCTCTAGGATTTCCTGTATGTGAAATATAATTGAACCGAAACTAATATGCATACAACCAACTAGGGACGTCTGGCTCTGTATCAGGCAGCCCATATGAGCTTTCATCAACCAGCTCTGATATCTTGGCTTTCAACTCCTTATGTCTTTCTTCCATGTCATCTCCCTCACGAGCCAAAGCAACAAAGTACATGATACTCTCGCAATCCTTCCAGATCCTCGCCCTGTTCCTTATACCCGGCAAAGGGGTCGTCGCAGGGTTGAATAGAAGCCATACTCTCCTCCAATTCATATCACGCCGCTCGCTTTTGCCATGCATCCAGGCTTCCACGTTTCTACGAAAGCTGTGCCAATCCTTCTCTAAGGCCTTCAGCCTTTGATGATAAGGCGCTGTGATCTCCTTTCGGCGCTGATCGTTAATAGTCTTGGTCGCCTCGTAAACCGGCTCCATCTCAGGGTCCTCAAGGATGATGGGTACCCATCGTTCCTCCTCCTCTTCTTCAGACTCCAATCTGACAGGGAGTGTTGGTGGTGGCACATCAAGAGGGCAGAGAGGATCCCATGTCGGTAGGCAGTCACGAGACGCCGGATATTCATTGTTCTCAAGAACCTCCCACAGCCAAGGCATGTCCCTCACCACATATTTTCTGAATATCGGCTGCGCAAGCTTGAACATGGCTCTGCAAGTCCTGGCCGCGTTGTCAAGGTCAGTTATATCAAGAAACGATAGAGTATGTTGAATAGTCTCAGCAGGCAGGGCCAAGAGCCGTGTTGTCTGCTCGGTGTATCCCTTGATGTTCAGGTCTTTCATACACGACTCCAAAACTCGAGATATGCCTGGGATCTCAACAGGGTTTGCAGCAAGCCACTCATCGCCACTGATATGGCACCAAGGCCAGTCCCACTGCTGGCGGGCTCGTTCCAGTTGCGGCAAGTGTATCTGTTTCCGTATCCGTTCCGGAATACGATCATCAACGCCATATGCAGGTGGCAAGTTTCGCATCTCGCGCCAGTGCCACAGTCCATTCAAGTCAACGTATCCTAGACGACGTAGTGAAGCTTTTGCATACATATCTAGACAATATGAATGCACTGGGAGTGGAGCCAACAACTCTTCAAGTTCCTAGCATGCCTGTTAGCAAATACTATAGCCAGAGCTCAGCAAATGAACTGACCAGGCAACCTTCAGTGACAAACAGCCAACTGGTACTTATTTCCTTCAATCCATGTCGTGGTGGATAAACCGAGTGAATACCTCTGAAATTTCTGCTCTCAATCATATTTGAGCCGTTGGATTCCCCAGTTACATAGAACAGATTATCGCGGCTTCCCTCGAGAAGTTGATCACTTGAATCGGCTTTCCAATTCGACGGCTTGGGGACGAGATAGCGGATATTTCGACAGTTCTTCATTTGTGCGACACTGAGGACATGGCCGTTGATGCCTTGCATGCTTTGACATGAGGGTGAGGCGATGTGTTCTGGGGGCGCGTTTGAATGGTCAAGGCTTAGTAGAGACCATTTCTGCGGATGTTGTCGATCACCTGTGTAATAGGCAAGTCCGTTGTGCCATGTGCCATGTGGCAGACGATCAGGAAATTGGGGTTCGCAAAGATCCGTAAGAGGGTACTTGTCTGGTGCATTATTTGAGTAGTCGCTGTCCTCTTCTTCAACAGTCAGAAATAAGACTTCAGCCTCGATGCCTTCGCATTCAGACTCCCATCCGGAGTCATACTCCAGAGGCTCTTCATCGCTGGAACTCTGTGCATCCGGTGTCCAATCTGGGTCATCTTCATCATCCTCGTCAGGCCATACGTTAACTTCCGGAGGTCTAGTTGGACCTCGATCCTCTCTTGCGCATTCTGGGCTCTCTCTGTCCTCAAACTCATCTTGCTGAGGCCATTTACCGAAGCCGACGTAATCGGCACCCTCAAAGTTCCAAGCTGCGCTAGGCGGCTCGTCTGAAGTGCGGATGCGGGCGGTGGCCATGTCGACGCCGCATATTTGACAGTTGAAGGAGTACATAGTTTGGTCAGATACCGAACATAACCTGATTTAGAGAAGAAAATCAGCAAGTTTTGGCTCGGTTCAGCGGCAGATAGTGATATTGAGATGTGAGTCGATGGTGTGAAATTTAGGGGTTTCAGACAAGCGAGATCGGTGGGTTAGTTAGTGGGTCTAATCTCAAATAAGCTAACTTGTTTGTTCATGATCCCTGTCCTTGTTACAGCAAGTTAACCTGTACTCGGTTGCAGTACCAAGAATAACAGCGTGAGACATGTCGGCCGAATAGCATTGTATGTTCATGGGGATCAGCTTTGAAGTTCTATTTACAGTGATTGATAGCCTGCCGAGAAAACAAGGCTAGAGGGCTAAAATGGTTCACTCCTTCCTAGCTGTAAGTATAAATTTGAGCTGAGGCGCATCCAGTGTAAAATGGTCTCTAAGACCCGTGAGAAACGCCGACTTGCTGGCATTTTCCTCGCCGGCAAAGCAGATGTCAAAGCGGTGTAAGATCATACACGAAGCATAGCCAACTTCCATGAGACCCAACTGCTTACCCACACATGCATAGCGTCCTGAAAAATGCGATTAGCCTTGACATTTCAGAAATATTACTACAAAGACGATTGAGACTTACCAACTGAGAATGGAGCAAATACCGAATCGTCCATTACCATCTCTGGTTTTATCGTCCAGCGCTCCGGGACGAAGTCATCAGGAGAGGTGAAGTACCGTTCATCTGTTGGTCAGGTCAGTTTGATACGGTATGTCGAACGGTAATTTGCTCCCCATGGTGCTGCGTACCTCGATAGAGTGTGTAGGATGGGACAGTCACGATAGTATCTCCAGGAATGAAGATATCGCCTACTCGTAGCCCTTCAGCAGGTGTCATACGCTGCAGCCCAGATGGCACTGGAGGAAAGAGTCGAAGTGTCTCATCAATACAAGCTTGTAAATATGTTAACTTGGAGAAGCTCGAGTGGTTAGGCTGTGAGAAGCTGGAGAACAAGTTGTCAATCTCCTCTTGAAGCCGAATGCATACGCCTTTGTTGGCAGCCAATAGGTAGAATAGGCAAGTAAGTGTCACAGAAGTGGTATCACTAAATTCATGATCAGCCGGCAGAATCTACCACGCAAGGACCGTTGCTTTACCTTCCAGCAACGGCTATAAGCTGCATGTCAGCTTGCAGGTTTAGCCAATCTTGTTCTCTGGGATGTAGCTGCGACTTATAATCCTCCAGAAGCCAAGAGAAGATATTCGGAAGGTCTGGTTTGTTCTGTTCCGATACATCAGTCTCGCCATGAAGGTTAAATGCTGTCATTGCATACCTGTTCTTGATGCCGAACTTGGTTCTCGAGCCATTTTTGGAAGATAGCATCTTCCTGACCAAGGAACGGCATCGCCCTGAACAGGGGAAACATCCAGATCAGTTGACTAAAGGCACCGGCCATTGCCATATGCGACTCGACTAGTGCCATGAATGGATGCTTAACGCCATCAGTTAGCATGTTGAAGCTCTTACCAAAGGCTAGGTCACCCATGGTATCGAAGCTGTAAAACTTGAACCACTTCGCAATGTCAATGGGGATGTCCTGGGTCTGCTCTAGACGATCGAGTAGCTGACTGGTGTATTTGACCACACGAGGCTCATAGTCACGAAGAGCTCGGGGAACTAGTTAGCTTTCTTGAAGGTCAAAGGTGGCTTTTGGGTAGTCACCCTTTGAGCTAAATGCCCTGTCCCAGGCTCGTCGTCTACGGGAATGATCGTTCTTGTCCCGCGACATGTGAAGAGAGATGGCCGGCTGTTCGATGTTGTACCAAGGTCCCTTACGGCAGGGCGAATTGTTTGAGTGTATGGCATGAAAGACCTTGGCATCGAGGATCGATAGCGTCGAGGGTCCTGTACAATATCGGATTAGCTTTCCAGTTGTTTTCTAAGGACGTTGCCACTTGCCGACGCGCACAATATCACCATATCTTCTGTGAAGGTCTTGAATCTCTCTGTAAAGTTGAAAGCTAGCGACGGAACGTTTGGTGAGATACAGGTTGGAGACTCTGGCCATAAAAGGACCCGGAAACTTATACAAGCGGTGGAAGAAGCTGGTACGATAAATGAAAATGCTGCAAAAGGCCCCCGAGACCATGAAAGACACCATGTAAATGGATGCTATGATGGATTCCAGAAGGCTGTACGATGATCCATCCTCTGTTGCCCCTAGCCTCTTGAAACTCAGCGCCAAGACGCCAGTGACTGTGAGAAGTCCTTGGAGTATTTTGATTGTGTAAAGATCCCATTCTCCCTTTCGGAATATGAGAGCGTGGGCAAGTGCTCCCGATAATGCCCCGGTTCCGATGGCCAGTGAGGTCGGATACATTATGGAAACAGTAATAGATAAGATGCACCGTCGGAAGAACTTGAGGCGATACCTTTGGAAAGGTTATACAATACTTATTGGTATTCGGAACGATAGGATTCCGGTCGATAAGAGCAGTGACTAAGCGGTCGTACAGTCCTTTCCGGGGCATTCATCAATAGTTCTAGAACATGGACAGGTAGAGCTAGCACCTTGGAAAATGGTAGAAGTGCAGGATAGTTGAGAGACCTGAGCACACTCGTCTGACGTGTAAGGTATTACTACTCGGGCCATCTGATTCCATCTCCCTTTCCCCAGGAACAACTCGGGAGCTAATATGATGTGATGGTATGGATTCGGCTTGATCTGCCTTCTCTAAGCGAAGAACGAGATGGTGAAACGAAACCCGCAGGGATAAATCAAGACTTGTGTAGGATTTCATAGGACATTGCACGATATCAAGGAACTTCGGCATTTTAGGTTCATATTTCCAAGATGAACCGTCTCAAAGCGGTTTTGATACTGTCGGTAGCTCCAGCGTCACCTCTGGCTTTGCAACCTGCCTATTTCGTTGCTCCAATTCCATGCCATGGAAACTTGGTCTTTACGCACACAGCGTATGGACAGCGAATAGGAGCACATAATATCTCAACGCCGCCAACACACCCCTTTGACGGCCTCCAAGAGACGCGACATCCACTCGCGCAAGATTCAATGTACAAATAGCGGCAGTTGAGCACGGAAACCACATTCCGATCGATGTACCGATACTGGCACGCATTGCTATCAAGACCCCTGTCCATCATTCTCTGATCGACCTCGTCAAATCTTAATTGTGAATACCCCTGTTAGCCGGCTTATGAAGCCGTGACAAACTTTCCCCATTCTGTGTTATGCATAGGATAGTTTGCGGAAGTACTCCGTACTTATCACGGAACGTCTCTTTGAGAATATTGCGAGAGGAATATCCATATTTCCACTCGCGTTTCAGACCAGAACGAGAGTATCGGTTCTAAGTTCACTAAGAGCGAGAGTGTCAGTCCGAGGTTGCTGACGCGCCTTTTACTTGCGAGAAATGGTAATTGATCAGACTGTAGGGACAAGAAGTAGACTATTTAAGCGCCTGGCTTGCTTCTTTCACAGGCTGCTTATCAACTCACCTCCTTACACTTTCTTATCATACTTGTCACTTGAACAGCCATGCAAACCAATCAAAAGCTCTGCATCGCTATCTTTGGCCCTACCGCCTCCGGGAAGACCAAGCTGGGGGTTGCCATTGCGAAGGCCTTTCCGAGTGAGGTTATCTCTGTCGATAGCCTACAATGTTACAAGGCGGGAAGTATCATCACTGCCAAGCCTACTGATCAAGAGATAGATGGTGTTCCTCATCACTTGATTGATTATCTCGAGGCTGATGAGGAGCCTGATGACTTCGTGGCCCAAGCTGCTGACATGATGGAAGAGATCACAAGCCGAGGAAATCTCCCCATTCTTGTCGGCGGTTCGACATCTCTCGCCATACCTTTGCTGCATGAGGCCCTCAACCGGCAGTATCGGTTTGTGGCTGCAACTCTGATCCCGCGCCAGTCTACATACTGGCAGTCTATCTATACTAGAGCCAGTGAGATGCTCGAGAGTGGTCTTCTGGCCGAACTTGAGGCCCTGAGGGACCTGCAACAGAGTCTGCTCGATGACAACGCATGCTTCGATAAGGGAGTATGGAAGGCAATCGGGTATCAGGAGTTCTACCCCTACCTTGAAACAGACTCGTCATGCAACGCGCGGCAGTTGTCATTCCAAAAGGGTCTCGCACTCATGAACGCCAACACCTTACAGTACGGCTTCCATCAACTCGAGTGGATACGCTCCGTCCTGAACCCTTTCCTCCATCAGGCCGGTGTAGTATGCATGAGCTTCCCCGTCACTACCAAGGCTTCGTGGATGTCGGATGTTGAGATACCTGCCATTTCAATGCTCAACGAGCTATGCTACAGTCTACGCACCATCAAACTCTCCACCAACGGCACTTTAAACTCTAGCTCCAAGTCTCGAGTCGTGGGTCTTTTGTAGATCTCCCTTCTCTCCTATTTAGCGACGTTGCGCTGACCTATGCTAGTGGCGGATCTTCGCCGGGGAATGACCCGGGCCACATTGATGCAGCCAAAAAGCTTGCATTTGCTTTGCACCAAAATAACTACAAACTCGTCTACGGCGGCGGAACAACCGGGATCATGGGCGCCATTGCGAGCACTCTGGTGCAACTCTCAGGACCAAGTGCCGTCCAGGGCATCATTCCGGTTGCACTCGCCAAGTACGAAGAAAGACTCACCAAGAAACGGGCCGATCCCTCAAAGTTCGGGAACAGAACTGTCGTCAAAGACATGCATACACGCAAGAGACTCATGATTGAGGCAGTTATTGGGGGCGCTGCAGGGAGCGGCTTTGTAGCTCTCAGTGGGGGATACGGTACCTTGGAGGAACTCCTTGAGATAACGACTTGGTACCAGCTTGGTATTCATCGATGCGGCATCTGTGTGTTTGACGTATGCGGGTTCTACCAGGGTTTGTTGGACTGGGTTCGTCAAGCTGCACAGGCAGGGTTTGTTGGCACAGAGGATGCTACTATTCTGCGGGTTGCAATGACGGCTGAGGATGTCATCGGCTGTTTGGGCAGTGATGATCATCGTTATTCAAGGATGGGTGAGCTGGAGTGGGATTAGTCCCCACCAAATTGGAGCAGATAAGTGCCGTAGCATAGCGTTACATGGCATAGCAGCATTACGATATATCATTTTCGCCCGTCACACTGCAATCATTCCACATCATTCTATTTCTTGATGTTCTTGAATGAAGCAAACTGGCGTATGACGAATAGACATTATGCCTTCGCTGCATGTTTTCACGTGTCGATGTGATCGAGGATCAACTGCCGAAGGTGAATTGTCGGAGCGAGCCAATAGCCCGTACCGCCGACAACCGGCATTGAGTGCTACTCAAACACGAAGGGCCTCGTAATTGTCGAGGTTCCATCCCCAGGTGAACCGTGCAAAATCCTGTTGCAACCTTGGCTGATCCGTTATAACCGTAATATTCACTGTAGCTTATCATATGTTTTTAAGTTTATCGGACGTAGGGTCCGTGACCTATCAAAACGACGATACTTATGTCGCATTAGGCTTCATCTACACACGGGGACTTTTGATTGGTCTGAAGTGAAGCATAAGTGTTTGTTACGCTCGTGCTTTAGTGACAAGATCCCAATAACGTCGATTTTTGTATGACTTTCTCAATTAATCCATGCCTACTCTAGAAAGAATTGTCAAGGACAAAGTCAAGATGAGAGGAGAAGGCATCCAGTCGATTGAGCCAGAGCTGGAAGTAGAGAATAGGACTAATGATCTCCGCCGTATACACAGTAACACTCTTATCAGTGATAGAAATCGTGGTATGACGGATTGAATATCCCTGGAGAGAGAGCTGAGCTTTTGTCATTTACGTGTCGCTTTCCCTTGTACTGAAAGATTTATTTCGGTGCTCTGGAAATAACCTCCAAGGTTGCAAAGCTCAGTATAGACAGGTAATCAATGCACTTAGAACTTGTCTTTATTTTCTGTTCTCCGTTCTAACTAGAGACATAAGGGCAGACAGATCAATGAATATCTCTCTTTTGAGTAAAACCATTCACAGTTTACTCTTGCCCTGGCCGGTAACCTTGATTAAAGCCAACCCATTACTCAAAACGACCTTACCACCGGCGACTTGCGTAACAAATCTCACCTCGGACCAGCCATCCTGCTTGGTCCCCATAACCCACGCATGAGTAACCAGCTTATCTCCCGGCCTCACAGGACTAGCAAACCTCGCTTGATACTCCTTGATGTTGGCAGGGTCACCGCCACCTAGCTCTTTCAATAGTGAATGAGCTGTAGAATTCCACGAATACAGCCCATGTATAATTGTTCCCCCAAAGCCCATTTTCTTCCCAGGCTCAGGATCAGCATGCAGCGGGTTGTAATCACCATTCAATCTGTACAACATCGCCGTCTCGGCGGTGGTTTGCACCTCAATTGTAGCATCAGGCGCCTTGTCCTTTGGCGGAGGGTAGTTCTCCGTCGCTGGACCCTTGGGGCCTCCCCAGTTGCCCTGGCCGATGAAGAAGCCGCTGCTCGTAACGCGGGCGTGCACCTCACCAGAGTCTACGTCAACAAGGTCCATCTGCGTCTCAAGGACAGTGCCGGGGCGACCCTTGTCGTAGACGCCGACGACCTTCTGGCGGGTTTCGAAATTGCGGCCTGCAGAGGTGGTTGGGAGGGGCTTGAGGAATTGGATCTTCCGCTGGCCGTCGACGACGCGCGTGTAGTCGAGCTTGGGGACATCGGGGATCTGAACAGCTTTGCTTTCCTTGTAGTAGTCGACTACTTCCTGGGAATCCTTCTTGAAGGCTGTGAAGGGTCAGTGAGTGCGGGGAAGGGCTGGAGTGGCGGGTCTTACGAAGGATGACGGGGTAGGTAGGGAAGACGGCGAATTCGGGATGAAACTCCTGTATTGTGTCAGTAAGAGCTCAGTTTCTCTAGATGTGATGGAGACGGACGTAGAGAAAGTGTAGCTCATCGACTGTAGCGCCGATGGTGTTGGCAAAGAGGAGAACATCGCGCTGCAGCCACGTCACCTTGACGGGCGGATACTCAAAACCAACACCAGGACCTGACATGATGATTGATTGATAATGTGTGTGTGTGAGTATGGGACAAGATAATGGAGGAGAAAGTAAAGAGGAGACGGGCTATCTATATACCCCAGACTTAACTAGGAGCTAAGTCAAATCAGCCGAGGTTTGCGGGGTGTGGGGAAGAGGAGTTGGTGTTAACACCCCCGACTTGATTGGTGGGTAAGCAAAACAAACCGAGGCTTGCAGGATAGAGGGGACAGATATTCTAAATAACAAGCCAGTACTCTGTATGAGGAAGAGTCAGTAGAGCTTGTTATAACTCTTTCACAATACTATAGTTTATATATTTATTTATCCATACTTACTTTAAATTTAATTTAATCTAATTTAAGAAAAGTAATATTTAATTACTTAAGTAGGAATAACTATACCTGCAACCCAGTCTTTATGTCTTGTCCGGAACACTCCTCGGTCTCCAGTTCAGATTAGAAAATATCCTTTTAATGAAATTTCCCAAGTGAGCTGATAATTCAGGGACGCAGGACTATTGATAAGCAATTAGCATAACGTTGCGAATTAAAGGCTGACATATGTGATAATACGACAATTAGTCAGGTAGGTAGGTATATCTTATCACATCACGTAATCCTCACCTTGAGCTGTATTTATAGGCAGAAGTCGACCCCTCGGTGTCTGTATTGACAGAATAGCATTGATTTCTTTTTCAAATGATGGCTACGACAAAAGCTCTCGTTAATATCCGCCCAGGCCACGCTGAGGTACAGGATATCCCTGTGCCCGCCCTTGAGCCCGGTTATATTAGAGTCAGACCCACTGCGTGGGCTATCAACCCAGACGATGCTTACCACCTTGGCTTAGAAGGCGAGGAGAGTTGTCCTGGCACTATCATTGGTACAGACTATGCTGGTATCGTTGTAGAGGTTGGGCCGGGAGTGGAGAGGGACTTTAAAGTTGGGGATCGTATTGCTGGCGGTGTCGTCGGGCAGTATGTCAAGCCTTTGAGATATTGGCATATGGCTAGTATTGACATTCTTTAGAAATATTCTGCGGAAGCATGATGGCGCTTTTGCGCACTTGATTCATGTCCAGGGAGATATTCAGATGAAGATCCCTGATAATATGAGTGATAAAGAAGCTGCGACTCAGGGTGTTGCGCTCATCACGATGGTAGGCTGAGCCCCGAAGCAACTTATTGGATTATGCTAATGAGGATTTTGACAGGGCGTTGGCTTATACCAGCATCTGCATCTTCCTCTTCCTCATGAACCAGCAAAGGAGCGCTTTCCTGTCTTTATCTATGGTGGCAGTACAGCCATGGGGATCACAGCAATCCAGCTCGCAAAGGTCGGTGGTACTACAGTTATTACCACTTCGTCGCCCAGTAACGCAGATTATGTAAAGTCCCTGGGTGCCGATCACGTCCTGGACTACAAGTCCCAGACTCTGGTTGACGACATCCTCAGATTATCAGGCGGTCCCCTCCTCCATGTCTTCGACACCCATCCCAACCTCACCAGCATCACAACCTCCGCAGCAATCCTCCAAAAGTCCCCCTCTGCGATCTACATCTCCCTCAACTCCGGCCTGGAGCGCGAAGTTAAACGCCTCAACCCCGACGTCACTGCCGAATCAATCCTCGCATATTCAGCGACAGGCAATCCGTGGATGTATGAGAACAAGTTCTACGAGGCGGTACCAGAGGATTTTGTATTCCAGAAAAAGTTTGTCAAAGTGGCTGAGAGGTTGTTCCAAGACGGGCTACTGAAGCCGGCGCGTGTTTATCTGAACAGAGGGGGGAGCGGCTTGGGTGGCATTGTGAAGGGACTGGTTGACATAAAGGAGGGGAGGGTAAGTGGCGGGAAGCTTGTGTATACGCGAGAGTGAGGATTATTAATCATTGAGTTTTGGGTGCTGATCTCTGATGACAAGTGTAGCATTGGTGTAAATGGGATCAAATGTGGTCTGCTAAGCTTGTAAGAGCCAGCAGCCAAACTGTAAATTGTATATGCTGTCAGCGTGTTTCTTAAAAAGACCTCACTATCACACAACAGAACTATAAGCTTAAGAACTGGTAGCTTTCACACCTTGCTATGGAACCTAAATATAAAGATAATATGCCTATACTGCTAATGCTGTAATGGACAGCACGTATTTTATTTCCCTGGTACATTTTACTTCAGCTACTAACTCAAACAATCTCCCATAGCAGGTTAGGATGTTATTTAAGCTATAAAATATATATAGAGCTTATGTAGATTCTTATACCGTACCGAGTCCCTAGACTCCCTACTGGCCTAGCTCTATATATTTAATTAGATCAGGCATTGAACTATGATAACTTAACCTGTTTTCTTTAAAAGAACCCATAGGTAGGCCTGGTTGCTAATTTTCCCGTCCGAGTAAGCTATAAAGTAGGAACCCTCTCCTTTGCTAGCTGCTAATGGAGCATAATTCCTTATTCTCGAAGTTTCTGGGGAACCAATTCAACAGTATATCCGTCCTATGAGTGATTATTAGTGATCAACCTATCAACTATACAGCAGTAGCAAGTTGGCAATTATTGCTACCTACCGGATCTTTCACAAACGCAATCTGTCCAAATATATGCTGGTAACCAGGATGAAGATCACCCAGTCCAATTTTCTTTTCAGCTTCCCATTGGCTTAAGGGCACATCTTCTCGACTGACAGCACCTAATTCCTTAACCACCTCAACACCATGATTCCTGAACCGTTCAACGGCGGAGGGAACATCAGGTACGGAGAAGCCAATATGTCCGAGGCCCAGATTCGGTGGTTGGTTTCCAGTACTGTAGTAGCCCTCAGGCTCATTTTCTGACCCGTGTACATGGTACAGCTCAATAAGTCCCGGGGTGTAGGCTAACTGAGCTAGAGTATCACGTCCAAATTTACCAAGATCTGCCCGATGCTCGTCCGTTTGAGGGTAGCCAAGATAGTAAATCGTAAAGGGGCCGGTGTCCATAGTGAAAACTGTTCGCATTCCCATCAGGTCGATATAGAAGTGTAAAGATTTCACAGGGTCCCGGATGCGTAACATGACGTGGAACAATTTGTAACCAAGTGTAGGGTCCTCCGACGTCAAAGGCGGATCGGTACCTAGACCGTTGGGCATAAATTCCCCAACCGGCACCTCTGTGGATAAGCGTGAGGGTAACTGAGACATCGCCGGAGATGTAAGAAATTTCACGTTATGGTAAATTATCATAAAGTTTATGCATTAACCCTGAAGAGTATTTATACAGAAGGCTAATGTTTAATGTATGTACGCTGCCGCAGTGGGTTGCCGCGGTGGATTGCCGCAGTACGCTGCCGCCGTAGAGGTATGTTGGAATTGGGGACTTGGAAAATTACTCAAAACTTTATTATATACCCTCAAATCCTATCTCAGTAGAGCTATTACGGTAACCAGTCTCAATCTAGGCTGTGTTCGCAGCGGGTAATAATCTATAAATACCTGGACAGCAATGGGTGGCTAATAAATTAGACATTGAAAATTACTAGTGATTATTGTATCTACTAAAAAGCCAATCCAACCGTCGAGCTCGCTGAGCTGTTGGTATAATGAAAATAATTCAACGGAGCTGGTGCTGTCGCAACCGTTGTGGCAACTGTCGTCTCAACCGTCCTAATGATCCCACTTCGGCTTTCGGGCCCCGAGTGCTCCATCTCAAAGGAGCTGTCGCGATCGCCAGCTTCGACGAGTGTTGTGACGTTTCCATGTAATGCTCCAAAGACACCCGAATAGGTGGAAGATGGTTTGGTTATAGTATTTGTTGCCATAACCTTTGCAGGGTTCGCGCTGGAGAGGGGAGCATAGATCTCTTTTCCTGTTGTGCCTGATGAACGGATAATCTTCGAGATGAGTTCGGCCATTTTCATCTCGATTTGGAGTTTGAGAAGGTAGCAGACTGGGTGGAACGAGAGGTAGCTGGACATTGTTAGTGAGCGCCAACAAGATGCGGGCTACAAGAACACGTACACCAAGGTACTTGGTAAAGACATGAGGCCAATTAGGACAACCTGGAGTATGTTAACGGATGGGATATAAATCCAGGTTACTTTACTTACATCCAATGAAAGGGAGATGAAAATGAGAAACAGATTCATCCGATAGAGGGGAATGTACTTTGTTAACCCATTCTCGATAAGTCTCGACCGAACAAGGTAGATGAAATATGCATTCAACGCTCCATCGACCAGCGCAAAGATCACTTTCTCACACCTATCCCAGATATTGTTCAGCCATATCCATCTGTCGCTGATCTGCAGACGCGCTGGCATCCAGATGACAAAGACGCTGATGTTGACTGCCAGGATAATCGCAAACACAATCCATTTAAGACGCGCGGCTTGGCCGGGGACTGCCATCAAGAGACCGAGGCGGTTGAGGATGATCTGAAGAAGAAACTGGACTTGAAGTGCCCAAAACAGAGCTGGTTTCCATTAGGTCTTTGTATGCACGTAGGGGGCTTGACGAACCAACGGAGAAGTAAAAGCCAAAGCTAAGTATGTCATAGTCAGCTATTATATGTACTGCCGCATTACTCACAGGAGAGGCTCACCTTGGGACGATGTACTGCCGCTGAAATCCCCAAGCTAAGCAGCCCAGGACCATACTGCTGAGCCAAACCGCCCAGATCATGGCGACATAAGATGTTACCCGCTGACATCTCTTCCATACCTTCCAACTCTGCTTCGATGCTTTGGCAACTGAAAAGACAGCAACTCCGAGAGAAAAGCCCCAAAGAATGCTGGCGGTATTCATGTCGACTTCTCCAGGAACTTCATGGACATAGCTGTCCGGTACTAAAAACCCATAGTGGCCCATATTAAAGATGAATAAATGAAAAGTATAGAGAAATAGGGCCAAGCGAGGGGAGTATCCATGATGAAGGGCTTGAGGTTCTTAAATACTGCATGTGTTATTTGCAGTTGAGATTTGTGGCTGGGAGTTTAATCTAGCATAGAGGACGTTAGTGAAATACCTATTGCAAGTTGCATTCTCCATTTCCTTGACCATGGCCTTGGAACGAACACATGGCTCGCGTACTGACTAGACCCAAATCCGGGGTAGAATTTCAAAAAGTCCAGGTCTAAGTGAACCAGAGCGCCACATGACAGCTAGACAACCGCTGGAATAACTAAAACAACTGTGCCGTTTCATGTGATTGGATCAAGGCAATTGACAGATCAGAGATAGAAACGGATCGTGGCGCTGAGACTAAGAACCAAGTTGGGCGTGGCTTCAGGGTCCCCCCCAGATCTGCAGAAGGATTGTGATCGGCGGCCGAACTTTGCTGGCCTATCAGATTGAGTGCCACATTAAGGGTTTGTCGGTTTGTACTTGGTTGATGACTTTTTAACTTGCCGTGCTAAAATTGGAGTATTACTTAGCCTGGAATCAAGGTTGAGCTTTTGTTAAGAGTTTGGTGATGCAATTGCTCGGATGCCGGACGGAATTCAGTTGAGGGACAAGCCGCAGACTAAAAGTTTACTATCGATCAGTTCAGCGCCGAGGACGTGCACGGATAGTGTAAGATTCGATGTTACTTGTTACCAATCAATCGTCTGGCCGTTTCACATAGAATGTTAAGTAATATCGTGACTCGAGAACGAAACCGTGATTATGGATATAGCGCTAGATTATTATAACCAGGATCCATCAGCCCCGCTTGCAAGGCAGAGTCTCAACATCGTCAGCCAGGCTGACTTGATCTCACTCACCGTAATCCTCAAAAAATGGCCTCGCCAGAAGAAATCGCAGGTAAATGGCTTCTCAACCTCTGCAGTCGAAAACCATCCGCCGAAAGAGATGAAATCCTCACCGATCTCGAAAAGATAAAGTTCGACGAATTCTTCAATCTGTATGGTCAATCACCCGTTTTCAAGACCTACTGGGTCGAAGCCGTGCGTAAGTGTCTGGCGAAAGAGCTGAGGGTCAATTATCCACTGGCGCGTGCGCTGCTGGAGAAAGATGAGAGCGGAGACTTGTTCGTTGGGGAGAGGGATTTGTTGCAGGTTGCGATCAAGAGGGCAAAGGTTGACCCGGGATATCTGGGCGACGACCCGAAAAAGTCGAATCCCGAGCTGTTGGAGATGGTCAAGTTACTCATGGCTCATGGGGCGGCTATGAATTGTTTTGATGATGAGGGGTATTCACCGCTTGTTTATACCTGTATACTGGGGTATGGAGAGCTGTTCCGCTATTTGATCGAGGCTGGTGCGGACATTTCGACCGTCCAGCAACGCAGATCTCCAGAGCATCTTGCCAAGATCCGAAAGGCCGCTATGAATGGGGACAGCGTGGAAGATGAGCCCAAGGAGCTGGTGAACCTTCTTCAAGTCACCCTAGACGCTCTGATCTCACCGCAAGAGGTCGTCGACATGACGTGGGTTGGCTGGCCTCCTGGTGTGAACTATGACGTGCCCCTATGGGATCTTGATATCGAAGATACCTGGGGCGGCATCATTATGAATCTACTGGAGCAAGGTCTTTCATGCCCTAAAAATGACGCGGGGCTAGTGATGATGCTTCATATTGCATGTCGCAAAGGAGCGCTAGATGTTGTGAGGAAGCTCTTGGCTTATGGCGCCCAAGCTGACGTCGCCGGCCCCAGGATGGTTGATGGAGGACAAGGCGAAGGATCGACTTTCGGAACGGCGATGCATGCTACAGCCGCAGGCCGTAACATCGATATCGCTTTGGCTCTCATACAACATGGCGAAAGTGCCAGCTGTCGTCGACGCTGTATTTTCAACCGCGGAGGTTCCAACGGAGATATGACGCCCATCGAAGCCGCGATAGCAGGAGACCGTTATGGGAATGATGATGATGACCTCCTCGCGTTTTCAGAGCCGTTCATGGAACGCGCGAGCGATCTTGAAGGCTCTGACTACCAGGCCGTGCTGGAATACTGCGCGCAGAACAATAAGCTTGAAGCAGCAAAACGGCTTCTTGACACAGGGACACGACTCGAAGAAGTATCAACCTCGGTGTCGAGCGTTGATATGGCAAAGTTGCTAGTGTCTCATGATATCAAACTTGATCCAGTGGCCTTGCAAGAGAGAGCGCTGAAGAGAGGACGGTTGAGTCTTTTGCGGTGGTGTGTTGATGAATATGGTGCCAAGCTACCTGATGATCCAAATTCCTGGGGGGAGATGGTGACTTGGCTTCTCTCATCTGGTAATATGTACCTTGAGCAAACCAAATACCTCATCACTGAGTATCCGGGCCCGCATATCGATATGGTTCTCATCTCAAGACGAGTTCTCCATCGGGAGAATCACAAAGCAAGGAAGACAAGTTGGCTTCATACCGCCATCATTAAGCATATCCTGCCGGTTATCAAGATGTTATTGGAGGCCGGGGCTGATGTTACGCTACCTGGGTTACATGCCGATGCAACCGCTGTGATAAGGAAAGGTGGTCGAGGGACATTTCGAAGTATCAGTAAGTGGCTGGAGATTGTTGGAATGGTGGAGAGGAAGATCTCCGGTGATGAGGGGTGGACTATGCCTTCGTATGCTGAGGTGAGGAAGCGCATTGCGCAGACTGTGGCGACTGAAAGACAAGCTTGGGATGAGAAGATTGAGAGTATGGTCAAAAGCAGACAGGAGGTCCCTTACGCCACTCTGGAGAGGGTAGATGACCCAGCGCCATCTTCTCCTTTGGGGATTGCGTCCTCGGCAGATTTGTATCAGCCTCTCGACGGCAGCAGTTCCTTTCGACTTCTCGAACTGCTTCCATCATGCAATCGTTCTGATCCTCTCGTCGGGCGTCTGGTCGATAGCGACATCACATTTCAACCCGACTACGAAGCTCTCTCCTATGTCTGGGGAGANNACCTCCACTCGGCGCTCATCCACCTCCGCTCTCCCAACACCGTACGAACACTCTGGGTCGACGCCCTATGCATCAACCAAACAGTCCACGGCGAACGAAACCAACAAGTCCGCATCATGGGTGACATCTACAAATCAGCCCGTCAAGTCGTAGTATGGCTCGGCGACGCAGCTGATGATTCACATCTTGTATTCCAACATCTCAACGACGAAAGCATCCCCGACTCATTCCACAACGATTCACCTCCACCAGAAGATAAACGACGTGCTTGGTGTGCCCTTGTCAAACGACCTTGGTTCTTCCGCACATGGGTCATACAAGAGATAGCCCTTGCGAAAAGAGCGGTCATGATGTGTGGGGAGGAGTCGACGCTGTGGAGAAACGTGGAGGCTGGTTGGAAGCCTGACTTTTCGGGTGGTGCTAAGGGGCTTTCAACTTCGCGTAGCGGTGGAGGTGATCATCCGCTCGAGGGGTTTGATCCAGATAGTCATGTTTGGAGTCTGAGGATGCTTGGTGTCGGTAGCGATCCGATGAGTATTCTGAGGTACAGCCGCGTTTGTCAGACTACTGAGATTCGGGATAAGATCTATGGCATCTTGGGTTTATTCGAGCCGGGATTCATACCGGTTGAATATGATCTCCCCGTTGAGGATATCTTTCGTCAGTTCACAGAGGCTGTGATCAAACTCACCAAAGATCTTCGTATCCTCGAAATTGTCGGTGCAAAGCGCAGTTATCCAAACCTTCCATCTTGGGTCCCTGACTTCACGGATACTTCGACCAACAGTCTCCCTGAGCGTAATTGGTACGCACCATATCGCAAAGACGCGGAGGAGAATTACGATGTTCGGTGTGCAGATGGAACGCGACTTAGCTTTCCTAGGGAACGCTTAGGGAATGAGTATCTGCCAGGCTTGAAGTTCTCGGAACATGGGACTCTGACGATCAGGGGAAAGATGGTTGATACGATTCGAGAGCTTGGGCCGGAGCTTAAAGCCGGTGTTGGCCATGCACCGGGAACTACAGGGTTTGGAATGGTGATGAAGGAGTGGGAAAGTCTTGCTGTCAAACTAGTTCCGGGGTGGAAGGATACCAAGTCTTCATTGAGCAAGGCTGTTGCAAGGACACTTACAGCAACCCATGGCTCTGAGCTCTTTGGCACCGGCGTTGGCTTCACGCAATGGTATCGACACTGCGGCGCCGGTATTCTCGAACCAAACGATCCATCAATGTTTCTTCGTGATCACGAGTTCTATCTCTGGTGGTTAAGCGTCGGGAAGGACTCAGAAGAAAAGGACCCCGAAACGAGTTCTGAAGAAAAGTCCGATGAAGAGCCTGGTGTTATTGGGTATGATCTCAGAGAGTTCTCCAAAAAGTTCACCTTTGCGAGCTATGGTCGATGTCTTTTCACTAGTGAGAAGGGGTCGTTGGGACTAGCGAGTCCGAGAGCGAAAGCGGGGGATCGGGTTGTTTACTTTCCCGGGTCGACTGAACCGTTTCTGTTGAGGAAGAGGGAGGAAGGGGGGTGGATGTTGGTGGGTGAATGTTATTTGTATGGGCTTGACTTGGATATGTTGTTTCATGATGCGGAGCATTTAGTTGAGGAGTTTGAGATATTTTAGCGGCTCGATGTCAACCCAGACAGGTCAGTAAGAAGTAGTAAGCGTCTTTTGACGTCAGCCAAATCTCGAGTCCTCTACCTGGGTCCTTGCCATTTCCAGTACGCCTTGCTGTTTGTTGATGTTGTTTGATGTTCAGATAAGCTATAAAGTCTTGATGTTCGCAATTGAACAAATGTGTTTTCTTTCATCTTGTCTGTTGTTCAGAGTCTTCATATTCACGGCTCCCTTCTCTAATTCTCCCATAAAGCAGTGCTTGTGTTCACCAGCAGCCGGTTCGTCTGTCACTGAACTTCAAGGACTCAACAGCGCATTGGCAAACAATACGTTTGAGTCTTGGTCACGAGACCGGACTGCCACTGGTAAATGGTTTGAGTTATGCCAGTGCCAGAAGATTTCAAGTTCACTGCCCAAGGCACGACCCTTGTTGTCCCATCTCTCTGCTTTCGACCTCCCGAAAACCTTTCTTTCCTAAACATCTTCATGTCAGAAAGTTCGGACACAAGAACGCCCCAACACTGACGACTTCCTCTCATCAACCATTCTCCAGACCTGCAACTCTGCGTCTACAACCCTACCCTCGGCTCTTACGAGTGACCATCGACAACACTCTTAACTACTGGTCATCGTCTCTACCCTCGTCCTTGGCCATCTGTCAACCGCGAATTTCAAACATCGTGACAGTGTGTCAAGATCTTGATATCAATAGTAAGCAACAAGCTTCGATTGTCTTCTGCTACAGTCTCAAGCTAACCTCAGTACGCTCAGTTGACAAACCACACCCCAAGTCCCCCCATCATCCCACGTCTTCTTCCGACACACCTTATAGTCAGAGAATCGTAAGAGGCAAGTAAAAGACTGTTGCTCTCAGCATATACCAACGCCTAAGATGACAGGCCCCGGGTTACTTGACCTTCCCGTGGAGGTCCTGATCAAGATT